ACTCTAGAACATTTATTATACTACTAACAACCTCAAAAACCATATTTATTCAACATAAATTCATCCCTCTTTCAGATCTTAAATTTTCTACCACTACAAAATCAGAAACCAAAGAGAAATGATGACTAAAAATTTTTTTGAGAACACTTACTTAGTCTTGAAAAGCTTAAAATCACACCCTAAATATCCTATTAAAAACTCTTACCTTAAAAACTCAAATCTCCTGCACCGGCGACTCACGCTCACCCTGTCTCAGCTCGCGCACGAAGGAAAGAATAAAGAAATGAAGGAAATGGGTGAGTTTTTATAAAAATTTAGTGGGTCCCACATCTTTTTTTTATTATTTCTTCTTTCCTCTCTCTCCCTTTTTTTTATTATTATATAGATAATCATTGCACCGAAAGCGCTCACGTTTTCTTCCTTCTTTCCTTCTTCTTTCTCATACCTTTTCTCTTTCTTTCTTTTTATAATAATAATAATAATTTAATAATATTTTATTTATTTATTTTTTAATTAATTAATTTTTTGATTTTTTTTATTTTAATTTAGAATTATATCCTAAATTAGATTTAATAATCATTTTCTACTAATTTGCTTACCTCTAAATATTTTTTAAAATTTTTATTAACCCAAATTAACTATTAAAATTTAAATTGAAATATTACACCTTCTAGCCTAAAAAATAAAAATAAAGGATTAATCTGTAATTTGAACCTTGAATTATAAGTTCAGGGGCAATTTGAACCCTAAAATTTAAAAAGATATATTTTTAACCCTAAATAATTAAAATTAAGACAATTTCACCTATATTATTAACTTTTAACAAACGTTAGTCAAATTTATTTGGTGAAAATTACACATTAGGCTCCCAATTTGATGGATGTTTGTTGAAAATTAACAATAGAGGTGAAATTGCTCCAACTTTAATTATTTAGAGTTTAGAATGTACATTTTTAAAATTTAGAGTTCAAATCACCCCTAGACCTATAATTTAAGGTTTAAATTACATATTAACCCAAAAATAAAATATCATCACCATCGCTATCTAATTTTTCCATTTTAAAATGATTGTTACATGTATATTTTTTTGATAGACTAAAAATATTTAGTAACCTTAGTTAAAAATTAATGATAATTTACTAAAATATCACTACATAAATACTCTTTTAAATATGCTGTTGAAGTGTATTAAGATATTAATAAAAGGTAAGTAAGTAAATAATTATTGCTTTCTTTTCTTTTTTTTACCTTCCATAATTATTTGGAAAATAGTGAAAAATTCATTGTGAAGATTATTTTGAAATAGATGGAATATATATATATATATATATCTTCTATAAACTCTCAACTTATAAAAAACTTTTAAAGATAATTGAATGTTCTAAAATATAAAACACTCTAACAAAAATAAAACTTCATTATTTATATTCTAATATTACCTTTCTTCTTTATTATATTTTCTCTTTCTATTTAAAGTTTTGCATTATATTAAATGAATATTAGTTTTGAAAATTTATGTTTGTATTTTTAAAAATAAAATTGTAAAGTGTATTTAATATATTTTTATTGGCATGCATAATTTACCTAAAATTATCTTATAATCTAGTATGGGAGGGAGTATATGACATTTTATAGTCTATGTAAATTGCAGAGCTCAATTTCATAGTATTATCAAACATTTGTAAGTCTTGACATCCGTGATATGTTAATTTTATTTGTGGTTCTATTGATTTGTTGGCCAGTTGTTAAAACCATATTCTTTGTTAAAACCATATTCCAAGTCAGGCCAAGAAAAAGAAACCATATTCTAAGGTAGTTTGTAGTAGTTATTAACAGTCATTTAGTAGCACCTAATCCATTTGTTTATTATATTTGATAAATCAATCCTGAGTTAGTTTTCACTCTTCTGTCTTCACACCAAAACTTTTGCGACTTTATAAATCCAAGTCAAGCTGAAAGGCTAACGGGTCATCACAGCTTAGCATTGGTGACTGTTTTATAATTAGGGCAAGCATGCTTCTCATTCGTCCCTCGATGAGGCTTTTCAATGGAAACATATTTGTGTGTGCGTGCATTTTTTTTTTTTTTTGTTGAGAGCTCAAATAATTCTAAAATATTTTAATTGAAAAACTCAATGAGAAGAAACTAAGAGCACGTTTTTATTTTTTAAAAACAGTTTTTTATTTTTTAAAAAATTATTTGAATGAGTGTTTTGAATCTAATTGTTTCCAAAATTATTTTAATTTTTTTAAAAAATAAAAATTAGAAACATTTTAAAATTATTTTTATTTTTAAGGTACATTATATTTAATTATTGAAAACTAAAGTTACCTTGACCAATAATTATCATAAGCCACTACTATTATTCATCAATAATCATTATTATTGACCAGTTTTTTAATTTTAAAACTATTTTTTAATTAAGATGACTAAATTGATTTTTTTGTTTTATTTTAAACAACAGCTTTAAAAACTGTATTGCAAAATAATTTCCAAAAACAAGAAATAAAAACAGAAACGAAACAATCCATGAAAGTGATTTGAGGATTTGACCGTAACCCTTGAAACGTTATCCTTTGGAGTTGCGCGCTCTAGACTAGGTGCGGACTGCAGCAAAGTTCGGACAAAAAGCTCCAACGGTTGAATCATTAATTTTTTTAAAATTTTTTTAAGCATTAGTATTAATATTTAATAATTACTAATATATTATAGTCTTTCCAAATCAAAATATAAGATGCTTGATAAAAAATGTAGGAAATTTTTAATATTTTAAAATATAATTAATATATTTTTATCAAGAGTGTTGCTAATAGTCATTTTTTATTCATTTTAAAATAAAATACTTTATTAAATAAGAGTAAACATAAAAAAATAACTTTAGTTAAGAGACAACTAACTACGATATTGTAGGGTATTATTTGATTAAAAATGTCTTACATTTTTTAATATGTAAAATATATTTTTTCAATTATACCCTTATTTTATTTTATTCTATTCAAGTAATTAATAATGGATTAATGGTGTTTTGAATAAATCAATTATTATATTTATTTCATTTAGGGTATGATTAAAAATATTTAAAAAATTTTAAAAAATAAAGATATTAACTTTTTTTAAAAAAAAGGTAAATTAATTAATAATTACTTATATTATAATTTGGTGGGAGTATATATTGGTTAGGGGATTAGGCTCCGATCAAAGGTCGGATACAGACAATGAGACACGTGGGTTCAGGGAGACCATCCAATCTATCCTAATGCATGCAGATTTTATTTGGAAGAATCTCACTTACTCATAGTATAAAACTTTATATTTATGACCCAATATAATATAAAAACTTTTTACAAACCCAATGGTCTTAAGTGAAAATATGTTTTGACAAAAAAAAATATATTTGCCCCTAGATATTTTGTTGTCAGTTACAACATATCGCATTAAGAATTTGTAAACAATGTATTATGCATTTATAAATATTTTGTTGTTTTCTCATTTTGTACAACTTGTATATTTCAAGTTAAAATATTTTTACTACACCAATTATACATTACAGGATAGTGTGTTATGATTTTATAAATATAGTATTGTGCATTTATAAGTACCTGTTATTTTTTCATCTTGCATAACTTGTCCATTTCAAATTAAATCATTTTTACTAAATTAATTGTACATTATAAGATATTGTATTGGGAATTGATGGATATTGTATTATGCATTCATGCAAAAATGGAGAACAAATGTATCTTTTTTCATTAAAATATATTTTCACTTTAGGCCATTAGACTTGTAGAGAGTTTTCAAATTGTATTAAACCTTAAATGTAAATTTCTATGCTCTTAGGGCCTAAGTGAGATTCTCCCATTTTATTTTGAATGCTGTCATCTTCATTCTCATTTGAACTTTTTTAATCAAAGAAACAGATTAAAAAGACCGACTCAATTAATTAATGTGTGATATGTGAAGGGCTGTTTTTTAAAGGATTTGAATTTCATCCTAATTCTTACCCTGACTACTCTATCAATCTCATGCTAACTTATTATTCATAATTGTTGAAATATCAAAAACAATAAATTATGGACTTATTTGAAACTTTTTATTTTTTATTTTTTTGAGAATTATGATTTTATAAAACATGTTGAAAAAAAGAGAGGCGTTTTTTGCATTATTTCTCATTTTTCATAACAATAATTTAAGAATACATAAAAGATGTTTTTATTTTTTTTATTTTCCAAAATACGTTACTAAACAAGCTCTCTAATTTTAACAACTATGAATGATACAAGTCAAATGTCACATATTAATAAGTAAATATTCAAAGATTTAAAAGTGAAACTTCTTATATTTATAAATTAACTTCTTAACCTTTATATTTTTCCGGAGAAAAGTTAAAAAAAATTATGTAAGTCCTGCATGTTATTTTTTAAATGAAAAAAAAAAAAGAAAACAAGATCATATCATCAATCCACAGCTTCGGAAAATTCATCTATCGTAGAGAATATCCAAATATGCAAAAAAATTATCATTATTCCAAGTATTATTTTCTCTTCACTCTTCTTTTCTTATCAAATGAGGAAAAATACAATTTTTCCTCCTACTTTCTCTCCTAATTTTTTGCCCCCACACTTTTATTTCCAACCATACACTAGGAAACAAAAGTTATGGTTTACTTCTGAAAATTTTAAAAACAATTTCAATTTTATAAAATTTAATTATTACCAAATATCAATAAATTAACAAAATTTATAAAACTACCACAATTCATAATCTATAACTTATGAATAATTATGCTTACCATAACTAAATCTATCTAGATATTATAACTCCTTAACTGTGATATATTTTTCTCTTTTGTTGAATTAACAGTTGGAAAGCAGCAAGGAGGGGGATAGCTGTAGGTGCCGTTTGAAAGAGGGACCCATTCGTTTAATTCAAAATTTTTCCGTTGGATTTGAAATTTATTGAGAGGGACGAAAAGGTGCAACGACTCTCACAAGTCGCAACTTAGCCTTGCCAGCACTACTTCCTAAATTCAACTCTCCTACACTCTATTATTCCATTTTCCTCTCATTTTTGTCCTCCTTATTTCTTGAAAATAGCGGAGAGTCCCCTTTTTTTAAATTTTTTTAATATACACAGTGCCCTTTAATTTGCCCAGAGACCAGGATCTTCATATCACACTGTCGTCTTCTTTCTTCACTTCCTTTTTCAATTCTAAGGTTTAACTCGAGCTCTTGAGGAGTCAGTGAGCAAGTCATTCCCTACTAACACCAAAATTTTTAGAAGATGAGTGCTTCCAAGTTCATTAAATGCGTCACAGTTGGAGATGGAGCTGTCGGCAAGACCTGCATGCTCATCTGCTACACCAGCAACAAGTTCCCCACTGTAAGTCTCTTCAAAAAAAAAAAAAAAATTCTTTTTGTATTTCGGCTTGTTTTACTTATATATGGTCATCAAAATACAGATATATGATAAAAAAGAAAGTGTAAAAGAAACTGGGCCTGTCTCCGTGGATAATATTTGGGTTTAACCTCTATCTCTCTGTATGTCCAGGGCATTTGTTCCATACCTTAGAAGATGTTTGATGATACGTGTTTCGATCAGTTCAGTTTAGACTCACTTGTTGTTTCTTTCTTATTTTGGTGAAATCTGGTGTATCAGGACTATATACCCACAGTTTTTGATAATTTTAGTGCCAATGTGGCCGTGGATGGGAACATTGTCAATTTAGGACTCTGGGACACAGCAGGTATTAGAATTCTTCTTGCTCTAAGTACCTCTACAGCTAAGATTTTAAAGTCGAGAGCAGCGGTGTGGTTTGGTTTGGTTCTTCCTCTTCATTCTTCATACAGTTGCGATTCTGTCTTTTATAGGTCAGGAAGATTACAGCAGGTTAAGACCACTGAGCTATAGAGGTGCAGACATTTTTGTGTTGGCATTCTCATTGATTAGCAGAGCCAGCTACGAAAATGTTCTTAAGAAGGTATAGAATTTTAAGTCAAACCCTGTCTTTGCATGGGATTTGAATCCTTGTTAAAATCTACACTAGTAACACAAGTGGAGTCCACTTATGACCTTCTTGTTTTTATCTTAAATGTTGGTGTCCTCGAGAAATTTTGAGAATCTCAATCCATCTTCTTCCTCCTCTTTTTACCATTCTTGTTGTTCCAAGTTTTAGAAAGTGGGTATTACTATTTTCTGCATTTAACTTTTGAGGAACATTCATTTCAAATTTCCTTCTATTTTGTTTCAGTGGATGCCAGAACTGAGAAGATTTGCACCTAATGTCCCAATTGTTCTTGTTGGCACAAAGTTAGGTAAGCAGCGAACTGAAAATTCTGTGATTTCATTATGCTCATAACTCTTTCTGCACAGAGGGAATATTTCAATGACATCAAGAACTTGGCATGCATTCCAGATCTTCGTGAAGACAGGGGGTTTTTGGCTGATCACATAGGATCTAACGTTATAACATCTAACGAGGTTTATATTCTTTATATCAGCTTTGTTTAATGAATGATCATAAAACACTTATCCAATGAAAGGAGCTCATTTACTGGTCATTATTTACTCCCAATAGGGGGAAGAACTGAGGAAACAAATAGGGGCAGCAGCTTATATCGAGTGCAGTTCAAAGACTCAACAGGTTTAAGAATTTAGATATTTCATATCTGTTGGTTTGTAATTGCATGTACAGTACATTATGACAGAGCTTTTGACAATGATGATTTTTCGTGGTTCAGAATGTCAAAGCAGTGTTTGATACTGCAATTAAGGTTGTTCTCCAACCTCCAAGAAGGCAGGAAATGGAAAGGAAGAAAAGGCAAAGAAAATCTGTTTGCTCATTTGCGTAAGTTCCTCACTTTTATTTTCAACTATTTTGTGGCTCATTTACCTTAAAGCATCAGTTTTAGCATTTAACAATGATTGTCAGATTCCCTCCTCCCTTTTACACTTTTATTACTGCTGGAACCAATCCTCACTGGGTAAGGGGAAACAATGTTTTGAAAATTACAACTCTACCCGTGACAGGTCCAGTGATTTTAGCTTGTTAGTGTTTCATGAATGTTTAATCTGCAATATGAAAATTCCCATGCTAGTGTTTCTAGAACTATCTCTTTGGAATACACTAGGACTTTTGAAGAGAAATTCTAACAAGGTGTCTCTTTTGCTGATTGACAGAAGTATTGTGTGTGGAAGCTGCACAGCTTATTAATACACATCACTGCAAACCTACTTTTGATTTGCAAAAGCCATCAAGGTTTCCTGACATTTGATTACATATGTATCCATTTTGTCTGTCTTGTAGCTTCTGTAAGATGATAGTATATCAGGAGGTCAATTCGCTTCAGACTTATTGGTGGAGGGAATTATTCATTCTCTCGTTTGTTATTACTCAGCATTATATGTCACAAACACATTTAACAAAGAAAGCCTTTATTTGTTTAACTATACTCGGGAAAGTTTTCCAGAGAAGTGATAAGCGATGGCTCGCTTTCCACTCTCATGAATCAGTAAAGATCTATAGGAATTTCACCTTTTTACTGACATATTGAAATTTCTTTGAATGCTGACTTCAAGATATACCAAATAATTATACCATGCGAGTTTCATAAGTTTGAATTTTAACTGTGGTTGCGTTCCAATACTACGCATAGATTTTTGTCCCCACCTTCCCCATTTCCATGAAACAAAAAAGAAGGGACATAAATGTTATAGCCTTATAGGATAAAGGCCAAACGCTCCCATGAAGCATGTGGTGCATGGAGTGTAGAAAGAAGTGGTCCTTTACTTTTCTAATCAATGGTGGGTTGGTTCAAGTGAAAAGATATTGGATTTGCCTTAAGAAATGTCAAAGAGTTTAAATCTTGTACTATTTCTAATTAAACTCAATAATACTCGAATATAACTCGATAGCATTGAAAGCAGATAATTATATACGTCTGTGGTTAAGGCAGAAAGGAGGAGGAGAGATGTTATAGGAAGGGATTGATTGCAGGGTGCATGTGCCATTACTTTGCAAGTGAAATGAAAATGACCCTTACAGCTTCATCCATGAATGTTGCTATCCAACATTAAGACGCTAGGCCACAGAAAATGAAACATGCCCTTTTTGAACCTGATTTATTTCTATCCTGATGCAACATCTTTTGCTTGTGAATCATTTCGTCGGATGATGAAAGTGAAAGTTACTTTTTAAAAACATTTTTATGACAATTTTATTGACTTTTAGTGATGCAAGGGTCATTCCGCTTGTTGCTTCTTTTTAATGCTTCCTCAGCTTTAACAATCGTTTTAGAATTGGTCAACCATTTAGATCCATAGGTACATGTATGAAAATTTGAAGATAGCAAGTAAATTAAGAAAATAATAATGAGTGGATGGATATGTATATGGTTTTCTTTCTTTTGATATAAAAAGTTTAAATAAGTTGGGTATCCATGTCTCACCACAGTTATAATATGCTTGTAAACTCAAAAAATATTTGTAAATGTACTTATAGATCTCCTTCTGTCAAAGTCCTCATTTTAACGGTGAAATTTGATCTTACAATTTTATAAATTATGAGTTAAATTTTTACTAATTAGACTAACCTTTGTTGATGACATGTACATGCTCATTTATAATAGATAACTTGAAAGGGGATAGTTAGTTAAGCCCAATTGTATAGAGAATCCACAGCCTATAAATATGGGTTTTTATGAGTTTGTTGCTGCCTTTTTGTAGTTAAAGAGGAAAAAAATGAAAATAAATATCAAATTTAAAAGGAAAAATATAAATGAAAAAACATACTCCTTTACTCTGTTTTATAAATTATTTATATCAATTTTATCAATATCAATGTAGAAAAGTACAGAGAAATAAATGTATAAAAATCTAAATTATGCTCCTATATAATAAATCTAAAAAATAATTTTAAAAAATCACATCATAACTTATAAATGAAATTAAATAGACATTTTAAAATGTAACTTATAAATAAGACGGAAGAAAATAAATTTTAAACAATATACATATGAATAGGGAACAGAACACTTGAATCTAACATTTTAAAATTTTGATTGAGAAGTATTCAGAATCTCCTAAAAACATTAAAATTTAATTAGGATTTTGTAAAAATTTTCAGTTTGAAAAACATGAGAGGATAAATAACAAATTTAAAAATTTAAGTTCTGATAAGATTCTAATTTGATATTAATTTTTTGAGGTTGTCATTCTCCTAAACAAAACTCCACTAGCACACAAAAAAAAAAAAATCATCTTCGAATTTTGTTTTTTAATATATTCCTTTTGACAATGATCTATTGATTGAAATTAGTTAATTAAATACTAACTATTTCCTATTAAATAAATACCCTATCAAACCAACTGAAAATGTAAAAGTAATCTAGGGACAGGTCCGTGGGGGAAAAAATAGTAATCTGCTGGTCAAAAAATTAAAGTGGGGGAAAAAGAAATCTTTGGATGGACTTGGATGTACGATTTAATTAATTAATATTGATTGAAATTAATTAAATTAAATAAGTATAAATTCAGTTTCGTTTGGCTTATAAGTCGAAATCCAAAAAATAACCACTTCAGGGGAGCGAGTCCCGTTGTCGTCGTCGTCCCTGGGTAGAGTGAACAATTCTGGACGACTCGTGACAGTGTCTCTGTATTCCGATGTCGGACATGGACCCTCCTCCCAAGAGCTGGAGCATCTACACCCGAGCTGAGATTCTCGCCAAGTACGAAGTCATGGAGCGAGTCGGCGCTGGAGCTTACTCCGACGTCTACAAAGGCCGTCGTCTCTCCGATGACCTCATCGTCGCCCTCAAAGAAGTTCACGATTGCCAATCTGCCGTCCGAGAAATCGAGGCCCTGCGGATCCTCCAGGGATACCCTAATGTCGTCGTCTTGCACGAGTACTTCTGGCGCGAGGACGAGGACGCCGTCCTCGTTCTCGAGTTTTTGAGAACTGACTTGTTGACGGTCATCAAAGAGGCCAAGAAGGAGGGTGCGGGTCTAAGCGTTGGGGAGATTAAGCAGTGGATGATCCAGATTCTTAGCGGGATCGATGCGTGCCACGCAAATATGATCGTGCATCGAGATTTGAAGCCTAGTAATTTGTTGATTTCGGAGGATGGCGTGCTGAAGTTAGCTGACTTTGGACAGGTAACTTCTCTCGTAGATATAACTTGAAATATTATGTTCTGGGATTTCGCCAGAAAGCGAAAAAATTATCAAGAATTAGTCCCAAGGTTGTATATTCTGTACTAGTCAAGTCTAGGACTATAAAATGAATTTCTAGTCAGATCGCTTTACCGTTTTGATCAAAACTACATGTTTCATCAATTTGGTTAGTTGTCCGAAAAGTTTACGCACTATCAGCCTTGCGATCTATTTTTCGTTTTCCTGAGAAGCGGTTGTTGGCCGGCTTATAGATTATCGAAATTTTGTCGCTACAGCGTTCTCTAGAAAATGCGTAGTTGCACATAGGACAATCAATATGTTTCATTTTAGGATCGTTTTTGTGGGCTTTATGAATCTCACTGGCTTCTGGCTTCACAAAAGTTTTTCATTTTTGCTGAAGACTGCAATCTGAAATAGATTTGTTGCCTCATCCATCTTGGCTTTTACGTCCATGAGAAATTTTTTGTTTCGTTCCATTTACAGGCAAGGATACTTATGGAGCCCGAATTTCATGCTATGGATGAAAACCCACCACCTTATGAAGACGATACTTCACATACTGAGAGACCACTTCAACATCCTGAAGTCTTTCCTCAGACACACAACCAAAACCAAGAAAGCTATGGAAATCAAGAGCAGGAAACGGAAGCTCAAGATGAATATTATAGAGTATTAGAAGAGATAAAAACTAAGGGCTCGATAGATGACGTGGATAAGGATACCAACTTTCAGGATGGAAATACATCTTGTCTTGCAACTTGCACAATAAGTGACATAGAAGATGATTTTATGAAGACTTCGTTTACGTATGAAGCAGATGAGAGAGACGATGAAGAAGGTGGTCTCACACCATGCGTTGGAACCCGATGGTACAGGGCTCCTGAACTGCTTTATGGATCAGATGACTATGGGTTAGAGATTGATCTCTGGTCATTGGGCTGCATCTTTGCAGAGCTCATAACTCTTGAGCCCTTATTTCGTGGGACAGGTGATATTGATCAGCTCAGCAGAATTATTAACGTTTTAGGCAACCTCAATGAGGAAGTTTGGTCTGGTTGTTCCAAGCTTCCTGATTATGAAAAAATCTCGTTCACCAAGGTGGAGAACCCTCCAGGTCTTGAAGGCTGCCTTCCCAACCGATCCCCCGATGAAGTCTCTCTAGTGAAGAAACTGGTTTGTTATGATCCGGCTAGAAGAGCTACAGCAATGGAGCTTCTCCAAGACAAGTATTTTGGTGAAGAACCACTTCCTGCGCCTATTTCTGAGCTGCGGGTTCCTTTGACAAGAACTGCACACGATGAAGACTCTTGTGGTAGGCCTTGTGATCTCAATGAGCTGGGTTTCGATTCTGATTTTGAGGACTTTGGCGCTGTGCAAGTCATCAGAGCTGGTACTGGTTACTCTATACGATTTCCCTGAGTCCAAAAAATTCAAGGTACATTCTATGTTTCAGATGGTTGCAGCCATTATCGTCATTTGACTGGTTTTTTCTCTGTTAATTGTCACATGTAAAATCTATGGATGTCAAGTGAAAGTTTTGAGAAATTCTGTGATTTTTTCCTCAGAGGATGTTTTTGGATTACCGAGTGTTGAACTGTAGGATAAATTCATCAAAAGTGAAAGCGGATGAAGCAACTATTGGATCCAAACTTGATATCAAGTTAATTGGGTCCAAACCTGGTATGACATAAACTTGTAATGAAGCATCGATTAAACGCTAAACTCAGCCCTATTTCTGACTGGACAGAAGCAACTAAGCCTGGTTGCCCAGCTTCAAAGAAAGCCACGTTTGCATCCGCGTGCATATCTATCTGACGCTTGTTAACTTATTTTGATCTATCTGTTAGACAATCAAAACAATGAAAGTGAACCAAGCATTGTGTGTGTGGTTACGTGTTCCTTTTTTTTTTTTTTTAGGTGGGAGTATATTGTTTTAAATAATCTATAGAATACATCATTGTTTGGACTCTTCATAGCACGACATATTGTGATGTTTTCAGAGAGCTAAATTCAATTGTAGATTTCTGGCACTCTTGGTTCTGCGAGGATCTGTTTTTCCTAATGTTTCAATTGTCATTTGCTTTTCAAGGTCTTTTGATTGTGAACACTTCATACACCACAGTGATCTTTCCCTATTTGTTAATGCCACCTGAAACTGAAAATAGATTTGGCGTGTGCTTTTGGAACGCTGCTTATAAAGTTGAATCCATGTCTTGTGAATTGATTTAATACAGTTTCGAGGCGGGTTTTGTTCTTGTTTTCTTTTATACATACGGGGTCAAGGAGACTTCGTGTGTGGCGAGAATGAATTGGAAACATCACAAAACCCCAGCGCATTCGTCAGCAATGCTGCATTCTGACACACTGCTAGCGCTTAAGCCAAGTTAAACTGAACATAATGGCAGCTTTTCAGGAGCTACCTTCCATCATTATGGAGGAAAATGCGAAGAATTTTACCTGTTACGATGTTATTATACCTTTGATTTGCTTCGAATAGGTTATTTACATGCAACCAACTTTTATCAACACGCACTTGATCTTTTTCTTTCGGTGTCACATAAAGATGTTAATATTACAATGCAATACATTTTTTAATGGTTGATGAGATACACGCAATCCTCATCAGTACCATCCTAAAACATCAAAGATTTAGAACCTGAAAAGAGATGAGATGTTTTCACCCGCCTACGGAACACCTACTGAAAAGAGCATAATTCCTGCCTTGAGCTTCTTGACCTATCAAGGCGGACGACACACGGACTGTGTTAATAGATGAAATACTCAATTCGGATTCAGTGCAGTATAGTGAAATCCTCTAGTCCTGTGGAAGAAGTGCAATCTCAATTTCGTGAAGTGACTTCCCTTTGGTTTCTACCACATTTCTCTTCACTAAAACTACTGCCATTATGCAAAAGGTTGCGAAGATAGAGTAAAGCAACTGTGGCCCAAGTTGCTGGAGCAAACGCAAGAATAGCAAACCAACAAAGAAATTTATGACCTGCACAAATTCCAATCATGAATATGATGAGAAAAAGATTCAATAAACCAGCGACGTTTGCCTCTTATGAGTCACTACGAGACCAGAAATAAATACAATTTTAGTAGTTTGCTAAGGCAGCTGACAATTGTAAGTTTTAATACGTATCGTCTTGTTAACTTCGCAGCTAGAAGCTTGGCAAGATTATAGAGCAGTCAACCCGTAGAATGAAGACTACAAATTTCGTCGAGACTGAAGGGTGACACGAGACAGCATGCAACAGAAAAGTGTTTTACCATAGGACTAAAGAAAGCATAAATGCTCAGAAGAAAATTACCCAATGCACTGACATACAGACCGCCATTGCCTTGGCTCTAATTCGGCTTGGAAAAATTTCCGGTAGAAGGAGACCTGGGACTGGACCAGCCCCAAGAGCAAATGTTAAGACAAACCTGCATGAAGTACAAGCATCCCACAGGTCAAATATATAACATAATGATTTTATGATTTAGTTTTACCCATCATCACCAGTATGGTTGCATCTATCACAAAATCCATCTTCTCAGTTAAAAAGACTTACATTAACATGCCGCCAACAGATAAGTATAATTTCCCCAGGTCTGGTACAAGTGAACTTGCTGCTGCGGCTTGAAGGACCATTGCAATAGCCTAGGCAATACAAATACAACAAACAAATTTCTTGATTAGAGGCTAACTTCATTTTGTTAAAATTTTTGTGACATGTAAACCCAAGAAAAAAGGGGGACATGCTCCTCTGCTTTGTCGTGTTATACCCTTGCACTAGTTCATATTCAAATTCCCGCACTGAATCTGATATTCTTCTTACACACGATAGCCAACTTTAGCATCATGATAATTACCATAGGTGACAGATTTTTTTTTTTTTAAAGCTAAACTTACCATGCCAAAGAAGCTCCAAAACAGAAGCACCTTCCTTCCTAGTTTATCCATTAAAACCATTGATATGACAGATCCTGAAGACAGAAAAATAAATATTGGCATTCAAGAAGAGAATAACATGATAATTCAAGAAACATAAGCTGAAAACCAAAAAGGTAAATCTGTACCTGACAAATTAGCAACTCCTATGCAGACATTTGCAAGGCTAGATGGCACTCCAGCACTTTTAAAAACAGTCGAAGAGAAATAAAAAACAGCATTTATACCAGATAGCTGTTGTAAAGCAAATAGGGTTGATCCAATAAAAACAACTGCAAAACAAACCCGTGAATAACACAGAACTTTTGCCGCCCAAAAGAAACAGTAACAAGAGAACAATGAGGGCCAAGTCCTCACCGACGCCAGAATAGAAACAGCAGAAACATATACCTCTAAAGTGGCGACCTGCTAGCAATTCTGAGAGCTTCACAGTATCACTGTCATCCCCTCTATCCACCTTGGATAACTCTGCAAACGCAAATTTTGCTTCTGATCCTCCAAGAAGCTTCTCAAACTCAGCTTCTGCTTCAGTAGTTCTCCCTTGCTAAATCACGAAAGAGGAAATTATTAATGTCCAGCCTTATACGAAAGATATTCATACCAAAAAGCATTTTTCAATTTCAAACTTCTAGGGTAAGCAAAAGTAAATGATGATGATGACAATTAATATATTTCGATAACAATAATGGGAGGGAAGCTTGATCCAGGTTAATAAAGGATTAAAATTGCTCTTTATATAAAGTCATTTAAATAATAGAGCATGCAACATCATCAAGGGATGCATGCAGTTCATTAGAAAGTATTAAGCAGTTTCACTACTTAGTTTTGCTTTCTGTGAGTAGTGGCAGAAGAATATACAAGTAAATCCTGCAGACTTAGGATTTTCTTTCCATTAGACTACTGCCATAATCTTCTAGAGAAATATTTTCCATATATTTTAACACTCCAGGTTAATTTTATCTATTTGAGGTGAAGTCCACAGAATTGGAAAAATATACTCTACAGGGACATCATGGTCCTGTCCCCGTGAGGATAATTAAAAAACAAAGAAAAAGAAAAAATAGAAAGGGGGCCAATGAGATACAAAGCATCTCTGCCATTGGAGGTGCCATGGCAGAGGATGCAACCTGCCCCCACCTTTTCAAAAATAAAAAAGAAAGAAAAGAAAAGAGAAGATTCAGCTTCACAAAATTCAGTTTCACGAGTGTATGTCAACTACAGCTCCTAGTAATAAACTGACAAGCTGTAAGCACCAGCACATCAGCCACTGGTCGAAGGTCCAATGATATATTGTTCTCTACCCAAAAAATATAATAATTGGAATTTAGAAATGGCTGTCTCTTCTATAAATTGAGAAGAACTTGAAGCTCCAGTACCATGAGTGATACTCATTGTCCTTGCTAATCAATAAGCACTTACAACTATTTTGAATAATGGAATTAGCAAGGCTATAAAGAAAATCAGGTGTAAGTTTCTGCCCAAACTCCTAAAGCATTCCATCACATACCATTTGATTCCGATAGAGGTAATATTTGTAGGGGGGAGCAGGGTAAAAATGGTGCTTGAATCAATAATCAATAAATAGGAAAATAATCTAGCAAAATTAATTTGCAGCATGGCTCTGATCCATTTTGAATTATGATTATCACCGCTAAAAAGAAACAGGCCATGACAGTGTAGGTAAGAATACCATGACAACTTGATAACTTAATTCTCTAGGCTGTGTGCGCTAGAGTATTCAATTATCGTAATAAAAACAAGTTATCAATTAAAAATGGAATGTAAAAGAAACATAGACAATGAAAGCGAACATCAACAAACTAGTTGCATAATTAATATAGAAATTCCAATGATCTGGACCAAAAAGGTAATGATATGTCACCAATGACACTGATAACATCTCAACAAGAACATTATGTGCTGCTCACCTTGTATAACCAGTGCGGTGACTCTGCACAAAAAAACATAGCAAGAGCAAGTGTAGCAGCTGGAATGATTGATAACCAGAAGCAAACCCGCCACCTGAGCAAGAAATGATGGGTCATCTTAAATGTATCAGCTGTGAAGGACGGATAAAGTAAATTCAATTTTTCATACCATCCAGATATTTCTTTGACAGGGATTCCGATAAATAGAGCCCCCATTAAACCGAGACACGTTGCAATTTGGATGAAGGCTCCATACGTACCCCGCACAGAAGCAGGAGAAACCTATTGAGAACATATGAAGAGATTAATTAGTACATCAATGAGCAAGAAAATTTTCACCCTAGTCAATTAGAAAAGATGCAGCCATTGGCATACCTCTGCCACATACAGAGAAGCAACAGGGGGACCAAGACCCAGGCCAGTGCCAACAAATAACCTTCCAACAAGCATGCCAAACAAGTTGTTTGTTGCCGCACTGAAAACAGATTTTTCCCATCAAAGCATTAACCATAAGAACTCGTATTCTAAAACGTAGAGGAAGAAATTTGTCACTTGACCACAGTGAAATACCAAACAGGGTGCCAGGAAATGGCGAACCAACCTAGCAACAAAAAAGAATGAACCTTAAATAATATGTGGACTCTATTGTAGTATAACAACAAAATGTGTTATCCCATTACCATGAAGCATAAATTCTTTCTCTAAAACAAATTTAATGTGCACCATAATAATAGGTAAAGACAAGAGAATGAAGAAAATGGAACATAATGACATCAAAGGACACCAGCATATTACATCCTGCATTTCCCAAGCAGCCAACTTACAAACCTTTTACACAGAACTACATCAATGAATTGAATAAAAAAAATAATACTCCCTCCAGTCTTATTTATAAGTCACATTTTAAAAAGTTCATTTGATTCCATTTATAAGTTACGGTGCAGCTTTTTAGGTAATAATTGAAAGATATGTTCAAAATTACCCTTTATGAGAAAGAAAAAGTAACATCACATTACCTTTTGAATTTATTATACAAGGGCATATTTGAAATTCTACACGCTTTTATTCCTTGTATTTTTTTTTGCATTGGTATTGATGAGGTTAGTAGAAATGACTTATAAAGAGAACCAGAGAAGTATATTACATTGGCTAAACTATATGAGCATAAATAAAATCAACAAGCTTACTTTCTGCAAAGAAAGTACGTTACACAAGAATATAAATCATCCAGCTCAACTAAAAAAACAAAGATGAATATGGATTCCGTTATAGCAAGAAAGATAGAAGTATAGGGGGCTGAATTAATCCAAATTTCCCATGTGTCAAGTTGAGTTAATTACACAATATATTTTTGTTCTAGAAGTACAACCTCAAAGAAGCACCAATTATCATTGGCAAGGAACATAATTGGAAAGCTTTACGACGGCCCACTCCATCAGCAATCCAACCACTGAGTAGACATCCAATCAAAGCACCGCCAAGACATATACTCACCACCAGACCTTAATTTGAAACAAAAAAAATAATTATAATTTAATGGAAATCATAATCAAAATCACTGGAAATAATCAAAGGATAAGGAGGAGGTCAGAATCTTTTGTGTCACCTTCTGCCAATGTATTCCCGCTAAAGCCAAGATCCACAGAAATGCTCTCAAGTGGTTCATTAACTACTCTGAATAGAAAAAGAAAGTATAATCAAATATGAAGCACTAACTCAATTTTCAATCAATGCTAAGAAACCACGAGAGGATGTTGTAAAGGAGAAATACCAACCCAAGATGGTATCCAAATAAGAATGAAGAAATAGTAGCCACAAGTACATGTGGCAAAGAAAGCTTCCACGAAGGATTTGAACTTTCCTTGTCCAAGCTATTATCTACAAGAGCTTAATCATGAAAAATCAGCAAGATTAGTAATCAGCGTCCATACCTGAAGATCTTATCAGAGTTTGCATTGAATCATTAAATTATGCCATGTGTCTCAAGTGTATCATGATATTCCGAACTGCATCTTTTTAATTTTCATTTTAAGCTCCAAAGACCAATGGCAGATTATCAAAAACAGAAAGGAGAGCAAGTGGTATACAAACAAAAGCTAGAACCCTATTAAGATTGATTCGTTTGTCATTTACTTCAAAGCACGAAACTATGAAGAGTTCTACAGGAAAAATGAATGTAGATTCTCAAGCAGGAAACAATTCCAATGGGAAGTATTAACGTAGATTCTAAGTTCCACAATACAGAATAAGTCCGTATATGTTTTTGTGTGTGTGTGTGTGTGTGTGTGTGTGGTATAACCAAAGATAAGATAAAAGTTCACATCAGTTCAATAAAAGGAGCTACCTGAGTTTTCTTCCATGTCTACCATGTTTGTATTATCCCTTGAAGACACACGCTTGTACATAGTCATGGATGAAATCTCACAATGACGACCCCACATGCCAAAATACCTGCCTGCTTCCTATATCAGCAGATTCTAAAAGTATCAGCATCACATGCGGATGTAGTATAAATGTTATATTATACAAGAACTGGACTAAATTTCAATAGCAAGAGACCAACCTGCTTCCGCAAAATCAAGCAAAAATTAAGTAAACCCAAACAACTTATTACAGGAAATAATTTCAAAATATCAACCATCCTGCTTTTTAAATTAAAGATAAATAAAAAATTGAACTCATAAATATGAAATAAAGGGTTTACATCAAATTTTAATACATCCCCCTATTTTAGGATGAAAGCTTTTTTTTGAATAAACTTGTTCTAATGGGTAGCAAACTAAAATCATAATTCAATGTTTAATTCATTACATTGGTTTCCATCAGGAAACAGATAAAATGCAGATTAACTATAAACCAAAAGGAACTTATTTAACAACATATCAGCTTTAATAGTGGGATCGTCTGTCCAAATGCGTATGGCTGACGCAAAAGCAAGCAGCTAGCAAAATGTCTGGAAATTTCAATGTTAACACTATGCATACTATTAAATGGTTCAGAAACATAAGCATGCAATGATCCAGTCCCTGGATGATAGTATAAACATCTGATGTCAAGTACTAAACTGTTTTACATTGTTTATATTGTCAGAGTTTAGACGGATTCAGACGTAAAGAAAGAGAACTCAACATGCGTAATGTAACTTGGCGATCAAATTAATCAATGCTCAGCCGTAAGGATACTCCTTAAAGACTAACCGAGAGCAGCTACAGGCTATTTAACAAGTAGATAACTAAAGCCAATACGCTGTGACAAAGACTAGATTGGCCCGCGCAATGCTAATTGATAACGTTATCAACTAAGGAGCATGATCACTGATCACTCCATCAGCCAGTCAGCTTATACAAATCAAAAGCCCTAAACCAAGGATCTGAGATAATATATGGAAATAAAACTACTATTATGCTTCTCTCTCTTCAAAAATCTTGATTCAATTCAGATTATGCTCAAGCAGGTCGACGCAACGAGCAGACTGAAGTAACTTCAGTAACCCATATGTCTTATAACGTACCTCAAATAAGTTCCCCTGTTTTTCTAGACGATCAAGCAGGATAGAGGGACCAACACAAAACAATAAATAAATACAAGAAAGAAGAAAAATCAAACTCTGCGCCAAAGCAGAGTTTCCTAACCAACTGCAGAACGAAAAAAAAAAAAGCAAGTAACATCGAACTAAACTTGATTAATGAAGCAGGTTGAAACAAAATCTGCAGACAAATACATTTTTAGCTCGATTTTCATACAAAAGCGTAAATTAGAAAACTAGCGGATTACGCACCAATCATTTAACAAACAGAGAGGATCTGATATCTATTGACAAACACAAAACTCGTTCACGGAGCTTATGCCTCTAAGTTCCACGTTCCTCCTCTCTGAGAATCCCCCAAGAGCAGCCGATTCACGGAGAGAAACAAAGCCAAAACCCGAAATTCTCAGAGCAGTTGGCAGAAAACCTTTTTAGGAATGGTGTGACAAAATACCGAAAGCGAAGGCGCTAACGTGCGCCGCGAGCGACGAGGTAGTTGTTATGTAAGATGGCTTGCTGGATTTCGAAGAAAGAGATGGAAGCTTGCAACAAACCAATCAATCGTGTTGGGGCAAAAAGGAGTGAGAAATCCAGAGAAATCTAGGGGGGAACAGTATAATGAAATATATATATATATATATATATTTTTAAAGGTGTGTAATGAATTTTGTTTAAAAGACGAACTAATTAAAGAACGAAGTAGACGGTTACCAGAACGCCACGTGGCCATTACTAGCCGACGAGAATGGATTCTACGATGAAGATTGAGACAGGTGTAGAATTTAGTATGAGGCTATCGAGATAGTGCGAGTCCCTGTTACATACTAAAATAAGACCCTCGGTAGATCTTTGTTCTTTTCCGTGTTTTTTCTTCGCACACTAAGTTCAACAAAATTACCACCTTTTTTTTTTTGGGTCTTTACGTGCTTCCGCCAACTTTCTCCGCGCAAAATCAACAAATATTAGTGTGCGGGGAGATTAATTAAGCAGAAATTGTGGGTCATTACTAAAATAATTACGATGTTTCACTCGTAAATAATAAACTCGGAATCTCTTTCTAAAAAAATTAGTTGTTTTACTTACTTACTTGGCCTTTCATCGATCTGGCAACCATTATTAAATACTCTATTTATTAAAAAAATATAAAATATTTTTAATTAAATTTTATTTTAATAAATAATGAATTATTTTTAAATTAATATCATCTTTGCATGTTTGCATGTTTATTTTTATTGAATGAGCTGTTTCATTTTAAAATATAAATAAAGTAAATTATTTATTATAACATTTTAGAAAAAAAATGCATTAATTATGCATTAAAACTTTCAAAACTAAAAAGCTTATATTTTTAGCATCTAATTTTAAAAAAATATCTTATATTTCTTTTAATAGAGGGAGTAAATAATAAATTTAAAAGTCAGTCTCAATTATAATAATGTCTGTTTTATAAGTTTAGCTGTAGGAGGTGCTGCTTGCTTGGCGTATTCTATTTCTTTTCTATTCGCATTTGTAGTCAACATAATATAACAATCTAGCCGGGTCTTTCACAGCGGTAATCTACAAAACCAGTGGGTTACAAAAGTGAAAGGCAAACATACGGTCCAAAAACAAAGTTTTTGTTTTGGGCGCGGTCAAAGGCTACAGAATGATTTGGCATGCCTGTCACGATACGAGCTAATTCCATATAAATCTGTTAGAAATTTCGCGTCTAACAGACCAAGACCATAGATGGCTTTTCTTTTACCTTTCTTTTCTTCCTTCTTTTTGCGTGATATGGTTAATCGGAGTTCAGGCTTCAGACAAATTGGGACCACTTTCTGTTTTTGATCATTCAACAATCAACATTCAACCCTGACGTTTCTATAATGTTTAGTTTTTTCCATATATCTTAACCAAATATTATTGTTGGTTAAAAAAAAAACAAACATTATAAAACACTAAATATAAACATCTTCCTTAATAAAAATTAAAATATCCCTTCACCGTGATGGATTGGTCACTTCACTAGAATCAATTTAATTGATATGAAAGAAAAAGATAGATAAATCTCAATAAAATCAATTAATTTAAATTAAATATACATGTTAAAATTTAAAACACAATTTACAAATTCATTATTATAAAATTATAAAATTGAAAGATAAATTTTTAAATTTTTAAAATTTAACACCTTAAAATATAATTTAAATTAATCAATATTTGGATGTATATGTCGTTCTCACTAATATAAATATATAATGTTAGCTTTTACCACGCCAATCTTGGCTCTTCAGGCTTCTCTCGCTGCTGTTGTGTCAGCAATGTGGATTTTTCTAGGTACCTTTTTGACTCTCCACTTGACATCTTTGTCGGTGATTTTGTTTAAAAGGAAATTTAAATTTAAATTTAGATCAATTAGAAATAGAGAAGAAATTTTCACATCCAAGTCTACTTTTCACGTTGAGAATGAAGTTTCGCGCTTAATCCCCAAGATAATGTTTATCCGGATACATTTTTGTAGTCTTCGTGTTTGTTTCAAACCATAAATGAAAGCCAAGAAGGACCTGAGCTCTCTCACCAATGAAGTGGACCACGCATGCAAAATCAGTCCAAGTGCGGTGATGAGATTAAAGGATTTATATTTTATTTTGTTTTATTTGAATGGATTTCAATATCAACCGACTTCAGATGAGCACCGAGCTGCACTGATATTTATATTGGAATGAATCAGCGTCAAAAGATAAGAAACTAAGGACGCTAAATAGTCTTTTATCAATCAACAGTCTATCAAACACTTAAAAAGAGGAAGTTCGTAAAAAAAATGGATTAATTAGTAGTTTTAAAAATTAATCAAAAATAACACGTGATCCATTAAAATGTCGATTTATCAGCGTTCAATGCCACTGTCTTGTCACTCTACTAGGACTTCATACTTGAAGCAATCCGGGTTCCTTATATATAAAACCCTAGCAAATGACCCGTGTGTTGCATAGTTATTGTAATTGCATGTAAATAAATTTAAACAGTGAACAGTTAGTCTCGTTCATTACTTGTGTCCCAAAAAAAAAAGTCTCATTCATAGTTGTCGCAACTGGACTAAACCAGCTAGTCAAACCAAGAACTGATTTGTGGTTTGGTCCGGTTAATTATCACAACAGGAGCAAAATTAGTGAATTAAGACAGATCTGATTCGAACTGGCTTTTCATTTTAAAAAATCTCAATAACTCAAAAATTACATTATTTAGTCTTTTATTAGGCCATGTTTGGTAGGTTGAAATTGTGAAGATGGAAATGGAATTGGGATAGGAATCTGAATAAAGTGATGTTTGGTAGATATGAATTACAATTTCTGGGAATCCTAATTCTATGGAAAAAAGCTAATTTTGATTCCTTATGTAAATCTATGGAATTGGGAGCAATTCTATGGAATTGTAATATTTAAGACACTTTTACCCTCATACAAATTCCAGAAAGACAAATTTGCCCTCAAAAAAAAAAATAAAACCCTCATATGCTAGCAAAAAAAAAGAAAAAGGGAGTATAAAAGAATAATATTTTTTCTCATTATATATAAAGCGTTATAATATATATATGATAGTATTATATATAATATTTGTATATAATTTATATATTTATAATATTTTTTTGGTATAAGAAGTAGAATTGATTTGTTTGACATTTTTCTTCTAAATCTACATGTTAGTGTATTTATTTTAAAGTAGAAGGGATGGGAACCATTGCCAATTTTATTTTCAAGAAAATGTTCCCTCTGATGATAAAACTTTTTGTTTGGCCCAAGCTAGTGAATAATAGTTACAAATATAATCTATGATTTATATAATATTTTATTAATATATAAAATGCATAAGAAAATTGGTACACAATTAAGTTTTTATTATGTTTTATTTTAATTTTTATATAGGGGTATTTTTGTCTTTTAAGTATAATTCCATTTCCATGTCTTGCATACCAAACAAAAGTAATGCAAGGATTACATCTAATTTTTCTGACATACCAAACATACTTTTATAATCCAATTCTATTCCAATTCTGATTCCAATTCTGATTCCAATTCCAATTCCAATTCCAATTCCATCAAAAACTATTCCATCATACCAAACGGGGCCTTAGTTTTGTGGTTGGTTTTTCTCTTTGTATGTACGTGCGTGTGCGTGATTCATTGGTAATTTGAGTTAATAATGATCATTTGAGCACTAATTGAAGTTGATAGAGGGTTTGGGAGAGTTTTCTCTCTAGTGTTGTGCGGTTCTTCTCATGTTGTTGGCTTGGCTATTTCCATACTTCTTTCTAAAGTTAGTAACATGGGTAAACCCATGAGCTAGCTCATAGTTAGCGAGTCTTGAGTTTAATGAGGTGAGTTGATATAACTTTCATCTTACGTGGGTTGTATTTTCATTAATTCACTACGGGTGAGCAAACCCACCAATAAAAAAATATTTTATATTTATATTTTTAAAAATTTTGAAAACTATAAATTTATTATAATATTATAAGATTTATCTATCATTAATTATTAACACCACACAATTAAATATTGAAATATAATTAACATATAGAAGTTTAGAAAGTAAAATTAAACTTGACATTAATTTGAGTAAAGGTTATTAAGCTAACTTTTTTTTTTTTGCTGGTTGAGAAATTTTGAATTCATTAAAATAAAATGTAATAACAAAGACAATGTAAGAAAAAGTAAAGTTAGGATTTGTTTGCAGCTTGACAATATAGTAACTCATAATTTAAAAGTTGTTAAAGATAATTTGAAGATTGATATATAGACCATTTTAAATGACTCTAAAAATGATTCATATACTATTTAGAATGGCACCACTTCAAATGGCAACACAACGATAAAGAATTTCAATCCCATGTAACCTTTGAAAAAAAATAGATGGATGTATTGGTTGTGCCTGCTTGAAAATATTTTCCTCAAATTAAATTGTAAAAAAGTTTTTAGTTAGTTGCATGCTACACTAATGCACTTGATTGATCATGGATTTATAGCTATACCGACTAAATAAATGTGACAAGTAATAACAACAATAGATAACAAGCATGTAATTTGAATTATTCTAATAATTTGAATAATGATGAGGGTTTGAGAACTAAGAAAATGATCCTGTGATTTCTACTTAAAAAAATAAGCGAGCCAACCCACCAACCCACAGGTTAACTCGTTGTGGGTTTAAGCTATATCAGGTGGCCAAAAATGCCTCGCATAGAAATAAACTAATTTTTTTCCCAACCCAATCCGCATTTTTTTTGGGTTAATAAGTTGAACCTGCGTACTAGCTCTATCCTTTTCTTCCATTTTCTTCTATCCTTTCAAACTTAAGATTCGGTTCCCTCTTCATGCTGGGGTCATCATGGATTCTGTCCAAAAAAATTACTTTATGGATCTTCAATGGTGCAAGTCTCACTATCTTTTTGCTAAGGTTCAAGATAATAAGCGTTTTCATCAATCAAATATCCTTTTTTAGGCCAACCATCCATCAAAGTTCCAATCCTATATTGATTGGTACTGGGACTTTAGAGGTGCCGTTATGTCATTCAATCTTACATTCTTGCAATAATAATTTCCTGATCTATTTCTCCACTCCATACGATCTTGAGTTCATGTTACATGCTGGGGCGTGTAGTATTTAACAGCTGCCTTGTTCTTCTTCAACATTTGATGCCTTTTGTGAAGCTATAGGGTGTTACTTTTTCTTCTGTTCCAGTATGGATCCATATATATACATATGGCTTGCCAATTTAGCTATATGCTCCTTTAATTCCTTTGGGAACTTGAAAGCCAGGAGGTTTAGAGGCTTGTTTACAATCCACGCCCTTAAATTGATAAGTTCCTTTTACAGTCAACATTAATGGGCTTTTCTTGGATTTGCTTGATGAAAGAATTCCTTCCTATTCACGTTGTGATTGTCCTGTTTCCGTTTTTGATTCGTCATTGATGTTTGTTTCAGTTTTCTCCTTGGGGACAATTTTGATTTCAACATTTTCAGCTTACAATGTTTTTTGTTGTTTTCTATTTTAGGACATAAGAGAATAGTCTAATACATCTTTAGAAACATCATTTTTGACTTTTAAAAAGTACTTTTTCATTTTTAAAATATGAAATGTTGGTTAAAAAAAAATGAAGGAGAACAAAGTATATCATGAAAGTACTATAAGTGTTTGTTTTATTTTTTATTAACTAAAAATCGGTTTATCAAAAGTTAATTTGATAAAATTCAATTTAGTAAAAGTAAGTAGTTATAATAAAATTTATATTTAAATTCTTTTTTTAAAAAAAGTCACTTTGTCAAACTTTGCAAGAAAGCTATTGAAAGTGAATTTGGTAAATGTAAAAAGATGGAACTTTTAAAAAGTAAGATGTTATTTAACTATACTATCTCAAATTTAACCTATTATTCTTTTATTTAAAAATATTGTTAATTCATTAAAATATAATCACCATTTAAATAATAATACTAATTAAAGATCAAATTTTTAATATTACCTATTAAATAATTAATCATATTAATTTTCAAAAATTGGTGTATATTCAACTATTCATATAATTTTTGTCCAAAAAAAGTATTTATATGATTTTTGTCCAATATATCAAATTTTATATTTTGTAATTTTATTATTTAATATATCAAATTATATGTTATTTAAAATTTGTGTTAACTAACAAAAGTCTCTGTTCAATTGATTAAACTTTTTTGAATAAAAAATTTATTATATATATCTTAATCGTGATAATTTTTAATATTAATATATGTTGAAGTATTTATTATATAATATTTTCAATGTATCAAACTTTATATTTTTTTATTTTTATTATTTAACATATCAAATCTTATGTTATTTAAAGTTGGGTTAATGAGCAAATAGGACTCTGAAATATTACTCGAAAATCACCTTGAACCCTAAACTCTTAAAATATGCAAAAAAAAACCTGACTGTTAACTTTTTAATACTATTACTATCCACGCAGGTATTGTTCAAGATTTATTTTTCTATAAATTTAATCCTGATTGTACAACACCGGCATGGATAATAACGGTGTTAAAAAAAAATTAATAGACAGAGTTTATTTTGTTATAAATTTAAAAATTTAGGATTCATTTTGCATATTTTAAAAATTGAGGGTTCAGGGTAATTTTTGAACAATAGTTCAAGATCCTATTTGCTCATTAACCCTTTAAAGTTTTCATCACATTTTTTCAATATTTCAAATATTCTATATTTATATATATAAATTATAAATCATCATAAATTAACATTTTTTTAGTAATTTTATGTTTAAAAGTATGTTTTACTATTATGATTCAAACAATTTTTAATTTATTAAGCTGATATTTAAAAAATATATTCAAATATAAATTTTGTTATAATTAACTTTTACTAAATTAATTTTTATTAAATAAATTTTTAATAAATTAGCTTTTGACTAACAAAATACTGAACACACATGCAAGGCCTTTTGTTTGTACTTATTTTACTGTGTTTAATAAATTTGACTTCAGCTTTTTTAAAAGATAGTTCGGGATGAAAGCTTATGTTAGTTTATTAGTTAGGCACTTAATAGAGCATATTTGATTATTTTGGTGATTTACAATGGACAATAAATAATTTTACTATAATGTTGGTGTAGTTGACTGTAATTAACATGTATCATGTATGATAGGGATGTGAACATATATTGTCTAAATTATTTTTATTTTTCATACATATTCAAGACACTATTAGAAGAGAGATAAAAAGATGTCATCAATATGTAACTTATTTATTGTATAATACATGAGCACATTAGGCAATAGGCGTGATAGATGAAATTTTCAAAACACTTTGGATGCAAGCAGTTCATCAAGTATTGTCGCACTAAGTTGTTGAGAACTTCTCTTTATCAAAAGCATTCAAATTAACTGGCTGTTCATTTTGGATCAAGAATTAGAATTTTTTTTTTGGCCTGAAGAATTGGAATTTTCAACTTTATATACTTCATACCATGGATAAATTAACTGGTATAAAATTGATACGGTGATGAATTCAAATGATAATCATACGAATAATATCAAATCAAATTCAGTAATTTTTGAACGGTCAATTAAGAAGAGATTAAAAAATATCAAGCATCCTTTAACAATTAAAATTTATTATATGGAATAAGATAACCCATTGTTAAAACAACATGCTGCATATGCATGCTACTTATTTTTTGAATTAAAGTATATTTTTACCTGGAAATATTTTGAAGAAATTCTAGACATCTTAAAAAAATATAGTCATTTATAATATAATCTTTTAAACATGATGCAATGTTGTCCCCTTTTTAACAGTTAATATTAAATCAATAAATAAGAGTTAGGGGACTTTTTTACCCAACATTGACTTAACCTTAACTTTTTTTTTAAAAAAAATAAAAGGGTGAAACTGAACCATTTTAAAAAGTAAAAATATGAAAGAAAATGAAAGAAGAGAACAACAACAAAAGTTGATGTTCTTCAAAACTAACATATCATTTATACTTTTCAAATTTTATTATGAACTAATATTCAATTTGAACCTTAAATTATAATTATAGATTCAAAAGTAATTTAAACTCTAAACTTTTAAAAAGTATATTTTAAATTTTAAATAATTAAAATTAAGATAATTTTATCTCCACCGTTAAATTTAAATAAATGTCTATCAAAATTAGACCTAACTTGTAATTTTTATCAAATGAAGGTAGGAAAGAGAGAGTAAAAATTAGTAAAAATCACATATTTCACCCCAATTTTTTTAAAAAACTAATGGATATTAGTTGAAATTTATTGGCGGGATAAATTGTCACAACTTTAATTATTTAATATTAAAAATGTATCTTTTAAAAATTTACAGTTTAAATTGCCCTTAAACCTTAAGGTTTGAAATACATATTAACCCTCTTATTATATGAGGCATTTTAAAAGAGACGTGTGATTCTTATTATAAGTTACTTGATGCTCTATCAATCAAGTTTTTTTTCAATGTTATTCATATTTAAAGTTAAAAAGTTTGTGAGGAAGGATATAATATAAATTTTAAAAAATGCCCTATATTGTTCAAATTTGATTACGTTAAATAGCTATGTGATTTTTTATTTAAACATGAGTAAAATTACAAATTTATTTTTAAATAAGGTTAATAATTTAATTATCTCTCTTTAATTTTAATGAGATAATTATAGGCAAAAAATTATATATTTAACCAAAATATAGTTAAGATACTTGTTTTCTTTTTTTCTTTTGAGGCCAAATTAAGATACTGTTTTCAAGTAAATCAATATATGTTGATCTTTTATATGTCATTTATGACATAACAAACTCTTTTGATTAATACGATTAACACATCAAATTCACTTGTCTTAGTTTATTTAGATAACAATATATTAAATATGTAAGACAAAACACCCAAGCTTTAATCATAAATGGGACATTGACAAGTCAACGATGATGTATTAGATATACTTCTCTTGTGAAAATTATTTAAGTAAATCAGGTGCATCGTATCATTTATGATCTATCCAATTAAAATACTATAAATTTTCATCTTCCAATGGTTTTCTTAATCTTTTATTTGAGTCACTTTTCTTGTTTATTGTAACATTTGATATACAAAAATGCTCTCTAAAAATTCAAAAAAAATATTTTAATTCTTAAGAAAATTATTCCCACACATTAAATCACTTAAAAAAATTAGAGGAAAAATTAGAAACCAATTTATTTTTAAAATAATTTTGTTACTATAACTAACTTACCTTGATCTTAATGAGTTGGTTGGAAATGATTTAAAAAAAAAAGTTATGAAATTCCATCATAAATTATAAGGCACACAAAATAATGTATCCTAACAAAACTTATTAAATACATTTTATAATTTTATTTTTAAAATAAAAATTTAAAATTTAAAATTTAAAAAATATCTTTCATTTAATACTTCATTTATTAAAGAATATTAAAGAAAAAGAATACAATGAGAAGAGTAATATTAAAAAATTATTATTAATAAAATTTTATTTTTATCAGAATATTTTATATTTTAAAATAGTAATTTTTTTAAAAATATTTTATAATTTAAAATAAAAAGTACAGTAAATTAGACTAGATTCCCCAGAAGTTCCCGTGGGGGCGGCACGACCCTGAACCCCCTTGAGACTTTTCCTCCCCCGCGTCAACAATCACGCTGGGACCCCTTCTGTTTTAGCGCCAAATTCTCTCTCTTTTCACGTTTAACGGAGTGGAGACAGAATCTTTACCTTATTGTGTGACCATCCAATCAGTAGTGCACACGTTGCCACAATTCATGCTACTCGACACGTGGCCTCCCCGTACTGAACATCCTTTTTTTTTTAAGTGGTTTTTGTTGCAGTTGATAATTGTTTCACCTCAGAGTTCAGAGCTCGGAGTCCAGACCATTTAACTCGTCCTTTGCTCGTGGAAAATTCTTTTTAATAGAATCCAAATCCAACGTTCAGTAAGGAAATGTCACTGATGCTTCTATGAATTTCCACCTTCCAATGGATTATTTGATCACAAACCGTCCGATTAAGGAGAGGGAGTGATCTAACCGTTCACTGTATACGAACTTGAATTTCAAAAGCTGTGAAGAGAGAGGGAGGAAGGGCGAAGACGCAAAATGGTCCCTCTCCTCTACCTGAGGAGTGTCTCTCAACTATTCTCATCTTCTTCGTTGTTGCTGCGTCCCCAATCCCAACCATTTTTGTTTCCTCACTTAACAAATTCTACAATCTATATCTTTCTTCTAGATTGCTATAAGGCGTTTGGATCGAAGCCCCTTCAATTGTGGGCGCTATTCGCCGAACTTGGCCTTACATCCTGAACTGCATAATCGCGAGGTTTTGTGCGCCTTTTTTTTATTACGGGGGATTCGATAGCAGGTTTTGGATCGGAAAGCCAGTATATTTGTGCTCATTTTTGAATTTGTGGGATATTGAGGGAATCATTCATGGGTTTATGAGAGAGATGAATTTGGAATTCGCGGAAAATTTTTAATTTTTTCTTCCCATCTCATGGGAGAAGGTGACGGGGGTGATTGCCCTGTGAAGAATGTGTTATCGGATTCTGTTGCCGTGGTGCTGCCGTTGGATGGTCCAGGGAAGAAGCTAGCGAGGCAGCTCGATTTTACGGGTTTTGGTGGGGTATCTGGTACTGTGGCTTCAAGCGAACATCCGCAATTACAACTGCAGCCTCAGCCACGTCCACAGTCAGTGCCTCGGGGACTGACACAGCAAACCATGGTCGTGATGCCAGTGCCGCCGCAGGTACCTCATTCTTCAGTAAGGGTTGGGTAAGTTGGTGACATTTTGACTGTATCTCGACTGACATTTTTATTCTGAAGGATGTTGTTTGTGCAACCTTAATATTGTGTTTCTGGGGGGAATTTATATTTGCCCAAGAGAAACCAAAAGCTGCCTTTGAAATTTCTGGACAGGGCAGTTCATGTTATTTATTATGGTTCCGTGTAAAGTTTCTTTCCCATCTTGATCTATTTTCAATTTATTAAATTACTTCATGGTTTATTTTGGAAATCATTGTTTCCTTTGAACGACTTGTATTTCTGCGTGAGTCTCTAATGAATGTGCGATGTTTTGAATGTCATTTAACTATGCTGCCTTTCATATTGTCATTTTCTTACCATTTCCTTTTTGCTTCACTGCTTATCACCAATTTGTTTATTACTTCTACTGGTTTGTTCTTATAACTCCTTCCTATGTGAAAAAGATGGTGGGGGAACTAAACTGCTTGGAGGGGCAACTTAGTAGAGCACCGATATAGTATAGGTTTCCTTTCAAGCTCAATGTAATAAGTTGTCATGTAAATATTGAACCCTTGGTTTTAACAATGCTAAGAAAACCAATACTGTAAATGAGGCGGCCATTTTTTAACAGCATCCTATGGAATGCTGAATAATTGATTGAAAGAATTGTTCATTCCTTCTTTATTGAAAATGATTGTGAATTTAAATTAGTACAGCCTCTAATGATGAATATTGATATTGAGCATCTTCATTTATTGTATGTTTTAGTGAGCTAGAACTTGTGCATCTTCAAATTGGATCCTTTGTAGTTGTCGGAGAGATGGTGACAGCCGATTCTGGTTGTCAACTTTTTGTTTGGCCCGAATTTTGGGGTTTCAGTTAACTCACAATTTCTTTATCCAGGAAACCAGAATCTCCAAAGTCAAGATCAAGACCTAACTTTGAAACGAAAGACTCTACTCCAAAGAAGCAAAAACAGTGCAATTGTAAACACTCAAGATGCTTAAAGCTGTAAGTAAAACTAATCTCTGTTCCTCCTTTTGTGTGCGCGTGCTTGCAAATATATCATTTCCTGTTCGTGGACATGTACATGTCTTCACATTTTTGTGATAATATAATATGAAATGGTCTTGCACTATTCACCCACAATCTTTTAAGGGCATGCCGTATTATTTTGCTTTGTACTACATTAATAGTGTGCTCCTATTGCCAGCAGTTCATTTTTAACTTTCATATGAACTAAAAGGGTGACTTAGATGACTTCCCATTTATTATTATTTTACTTTTGGCTTGTGAATAAGCCCATGATTTTCTTAGGTTGGGCTGGACAGTGGGAATTTGACATTAGCTCTGGCATGTCTAATTGTGTTTCATTTCCCATCAAGCCAAACCATAGAGACCGTTGGTTCTACAGGAAAGGGGCTTTCCGGAGAGAAATTTTTATTCATTAATGTGATCTTCTGGCACAATCATCAAAGTCACTATGTGCAATTTCTAAGTCCTTTTTTGCCATAGCAGTTTTTGTATCCAACAGACTCAATTTCCATCTGAATAATATTGTTCCGACCTTATATTTTTATTCAAAAGGGGGCAAAGGAATAGTATTTTTCAAGGTCATTGTCTGTCTGCAAAAGAGAAACTGCTTTACAATGATTATAAATATATGAAGCTGATATTCACATTGTCTTGAGCAGATATTGCGAATGTTTTGCATCAGGAATATATTGTGAGGGGTGCAACTGTGTAAATTGTTTTAACAATGTGGAGAATGATGCGGCGAGACGGGAGGCTGTTGAAGCTACTTTAGAGCGCAATCCAAATGCATTTAGGCCAAAAATTGCTAGCAGCCCTCATGGAACACGTAATAGCAAGGTAAGTGGGTCATTTAATGGTATTTACTAGTTCTATTCAGCTGGTTTCATAAAAAAAATGGGCCAGTTATCTATGGTATGTTTTTGGTAGTTCGTCGAGGATCTTCTTGCAAAAAGTTGCTATTCTGATAATTGCATTATTCCATTCTAAAGAATTCGGGTCTTTTACCAATGACTGAAAGAACAGCTTCTTGATATTGCAATTTGTTTTATAAATAATGTAGTTCTTTCATATTAGTTTTTTTATTGATTTTATTAATTTCTTTTATCCCCTTTCAATAAGTTAATTTAATTTTCACCAAGTCCTGATTTTAATCGATTTTTTAGATGACTCAAGATTATTGCCTTTATGTAGGCACTAATGCATTTAAATTTTCTGATTTATTTTTTACACTCAAAAGAAACATGAGAATATAAGTCTTTGTAAATTTCTCAAAGTTAATTTGATGAAACTCAGATTTCTGTTCAAGAAAATGAGAAAAGAAGTGACCTAAACAAATAACATTTCTTTAGTCATGTGTCTTTGTCAAGGCTGTCAAGATTGATCAAGCAACTATGGAGATCGATTCATAAGATTGGATCAAAGATTGGTTGTTCGTACCTCTGAATATGTCATTTATGTATATGGCAAATTCTTTTGACACATGCTCTCCATAAATGAAAGATAAATCTTTTTCAACTTAACATTTTTTTCTTGTTAAAACTTTTATTAAACAATTTATTATGGTATATTCCTTTTTTATTGTATTGACTATCTGTGAACTTCAAAATAATATAGGAGGAGACCGGAGAAGTTTTAGTATTGGGAAAGCACAACAAGGGCTGCCACTGTAAAAAATCAGGATGCCTTAAAAAGTATTGTGAATGCTTCCAAGCCAACATTCTTTGCTCTGAAAATTGCAAATGCTTTGACTGCAAAAATTTTGAGGGAAGTGAAGAAAGACAAGCTTTATTCCATGGAGATCAAAATAACAATATAACATATATTCAGCAGGCAGCTAACGCTGCCATAACTGGAGCTATTGGAACCTCTGGTTATTCATCCCCTCCAATATCCAAGAAAAGAAAAGGTCAGGAGCCTTTTTTTGGGCCAACAGTCAAGGATCCATCTGTTGGCAGGCTTGGGCAGTTTCAACAGGTAAAACTGCATCTTGGCATGAGTTGCCAACGAATCAAAAAACAGTTAATATACAATTAGCATGCCAATTTATATTTTCCTAACCTATGGGGAGTTGACATTTCTATGATTTTTTTTAATAAATGTGCATAAACAAAGTGAATATTTTCTTTGATTGAACTTGTTTGTCCTCAAAACATTATAACACTGATTGTTTTCTAGCTTCATGATATGATATTTTTTTTTAACCAACTTGTGTCATGATAGTTTACATGCTACTCAAAAGGCTTAATTGTTTATTACCAAAAGAAAGCTCAATTGTGTAATATAGTGCAGAATTTTATCATATAAAGCTAAGAAAATGATCTAATTATTGGATTTTATTATTCTTTTCTAGTTTGGTCCAATGTGTCTGATTTTGGATGGTGGATGTATTTGTACAAGTTGAGTTTGAAGTCAAGTTTCAATATTATGGTCACTTAAACAACTGCTCAAAACCTAAAGGCCTATGCATAAAAACTTTGCTAGTTCATAATAGAATTGCTGAAGTTTACGGTAAAAGCTTGGGTAAGATTTTTGCTTGACTTATACAGTGTCACTATCATTTATTATTTGTGTTTACCAGGCAAACAATGTCGGAGTTCCTACACCTTCTTCTTCCTTGTCTTCTGTCCCTGGTGCCTGGGTTGGAGGTGCTGCAGTAGGTCCTTCAAAATTCGCATACAGGTAAAATTGGTTATGTTCAAGGTGATGAAGATAATTTTTCTTAATTTAATTACTGACACAATTACTGTTGAAGGTCTCTTCTAGCAGACATCATACATCCACAGCACTTGAAGGAACTTTGCTCTGTTCTGGTGTTAGTATCGGGACAAGCTGCAAAGACACTCTCAGGTATATGGACATTTCAAGGCCTTAAACATGCTATATGGTTTCAGAAGGACCGTTATATCTTCATGCACGTTCCCACGTACTAACCTACTAGCATAGCCGTAGTTTTGTATGTGCCCAAGTAACCTTTAGAAGTTTCAATAATTCCATTTATTGCTGCCTCCCTGAAATATTCAGCCAACCTAATACTGGGTTCCCCGGGGGGGGGGGGTGACTTCTTGCCGCACTTGGCTAGAAATTTTATTGGTGAAGATGACATTGGTTATTTAGCGTGTAAAGTGAGGATTATTTCTCAAGTAATTGAACATTTGCTTGTATTTTGGATTTTTCTGTTTATATATCAGCAAGAGCTTTGAGGATTTAGTTCATTGATAAATAACTTTTAATTGTTAAGTTAGGCTGCAAATAATATTTTTTGTTATGGAATAGCATTGACTCATTTTATCTTATCAATAACTGATATTTATAGGACCAGATCAGAAAACTTTATTGGACAAGCAGCGTATTGAAGATCAGACAGAGACTGCCCTTGCTTCATCTACTCAACAGCAATTGCTGAGTCAAGTGGAGACTGATGTCGAGAAAACTATGGCTGATGATTGTTTGAGTGCAAACCAGACAGATAAAATTGACCCAGATTATTCCAGTTCAGATGGCGCTGATGTCTCAAAGGGGAGGCCAATGTCTCCTGGAACTCTAGCCTTGATGTGCGATGAGCGAGATGCAATGTTCATGACAGCTCCCTCTCCTAATAGTTTGATGATGACCCATGACTGCAGCGCATCTTCACAGTCTGCTTGTGGACAAGGCATGACAGAGGTGCATGCAGAGCAAGAAAGGATTGTATTGACAAAGTTCAGAGATTTTCTAAATAGGGTTATCACTATGGGAGAAATAAATGGCAAGTTATTGTTCTCCTTATATAGATTTGATATATTTTAGGGAAAATCCTCAGAACCATCTCCCACTTCATTGTTTACAGTGGCTAATTTTTTTCTATTCCCGATTTCAGAGACAAAGTGTTCTTCATTAGCTAGAAGTGTATTGGAGACTCAAAAGGACCCAGTCAACAATAATGTCGGGAATACAAGTACTAAGACAACACATCATCAGCAGATTGCCACTAGTAATGGTGTTGCCAAAGCTGCAGTCCCACCCATGGCCACAAACATGAACATAATAACTTCGACAGCTTTAATCCCTAATAATCTTATTCCCGATGGGGAAAATAAGCCAAAGATCGAAAAAGAGATATGAAAAGATGTAGAAGAATGTGCAGTGAAGTCATTGAAAGGAATAGTCAGAGAATACTACGAAGGTATGCTACCACATCTCCGTAGACTGTAGCATTATTCTCACTGCCGCTCTCAATTTTCTGGCTTCTGTTGGAAAGGGGGTTTAAATATAATCATACTGGCCTCGCTAACAATTGAAGTAGGATGATTTAAAAAAAAAAAAAAATTCTGCGTTTTTAACTGCGAAGCTTGTAAATTGCAGAGCTGTTATTTCATTAATTATCATCTAGATTTGGGGTTCAATGACTTCTATAGCTTGTAATCTAAATTTTCCCTTTTCAAATAAAGCTATTTTATGTCACGACGTGGTTCACATAATGTAAATTGCCCCAAATTATAATTTTGCAGTTTAACTGATATGCTTTGTTTATTTCTTGTATTTTCATTCTCACTCATTACAATCTCCTAAGTGACCTTGGTGATTGTATTTGATCCATAATAGGATGACGTGCACCATTGCACTTGTATTTGTCACCGTATTTATTCAGTGTTGGGGTCATTATCTTGGATCGGGTCCCATTTCATTAGTTCTCAAACCAAGAATGAGCATCACATGCTCATTTTTAAGATATGGACTGCTCAAATCTAATTTGAGCATTTTAGACTTGAAGTTTTAAATTCCTGATTTTTAAGTGATGAATCCCTCAACAAGTGGTAGTCAGATATAAATAAATAAATAAATAAATAAATATAAGAACAAAATGAACTTAAACTTGGGCCGTCAAATTTTATTCTAAACTATTCACATGAAATATAACTGCCCATCCTCTTCTTTTAAAATGAGCATGGAATTCACTTTGTCTTGGATTTGTTTTGGCCTTGTAAGTATTTTTATCATAGGTGTTGCCATTGTTATTTACCCTATTGGGAGGGGTAAAAAAATAAAGACATCGCCTCGGTGTTGTTAAACTACTAGTACTATTTTTTATAATGGTGTTGATGAGCTGTTCCATTATTAGTCAATGAAGATAAGTGAGTTGCTTTTAGCTTGGTTTTCTGACGGTTCTGTTCTTGAAGTTGAAGGTACCTCTCAGGGGAGAGTGGACCTCTTTCAGAAGTCTGAACGCTGCTTGGATTCCTTCGTAGGATTAGAAGTTCGATAATGAATTAATGAACATGCAAATAAAGTGAGAACTGAGAAGTGAGAACCAAAAGCAATGTGTAAGAGTAAGTGCTGGCTTTTGTGAATAGGAAATGCTGCGATATCATCTCTGGATATTGTAACGGTTACCTCTTCAGCATAGAAGAATTTAGTAGTAGTGCTTTTGGTTGCTGCAAGGGTGTTGCCGATATTTTATTTATGTTTTTTGAGATAAAAATAATGTAATAATAGGACCATTTGAGGTCAATGGAGGGGGTGAGGTGAGGAGTATTAATGATGTAACAATCAGAAAATATGGTAAATAGAAGGCTGAAGTTTTGTTTGTCTTTCATTTAGAAACTCCTGAATGTACGGAAGCAACAACATTTTGCATAGTTTTGAACACTGGATTAGTTGGTCTGACTAGTTGAATTGAGGATCGATCCGACATCAAGTCGAAGATATCAAACAACTGATTAGGGCTTGAGAACCAGGTGAACTAGCCTTGAACTGGTTGAATCAGTTATGTATTTTTTATTTTTAAAATTTTAATCAATGTTTTTAAACTACAATTTGTATATATCTATGCTTGATAAGCATAGGTGGCCCAAAACAGAACTCTGTAAGCATGGGAAAATAAGTATATGCACATTGAATAAAGAAAATAAGGATGAATAGATATTGTCTTTCTTTTTTACAACTATTATTTTTTGGGCGTAAAAATTTATTTTTATCATTATGAATATCTTTCTTCTTATTTTAAGCATATATAATGTAAAATATATCAATGGATATTGCTTCTTGACCGCCAAACCAACCTGATCCTTGTTAATAATTTGCTTTTAACAAATGACGCTTCAAAGTTCGTGTCAACATACATCGAAAGGTCAAATTTCTCTTTCATTATTAAGAAAAGAAAAGAAAATGTTCTGTCTTAACTCACGAATGGTGGTTTATCTTGTTTTTACTCGAAATTTGGCAGTAAAAGCTGAGTTCCATCTTCTCTCTCAGGCGATGGAGGAGACTGAAGCCGTGGCCCTCAAATTCCAGATCTCCAATAAAAACACATGGAGCACAATTGCAAATCTCTCTTTCCCAATCTCGACGGCCAAATCGTCAACGATGATGGCTAGAAAGCTTCGCAATGCTATCAACCTGTAATCAGGACTAGAATGGATTTGAGGATTGTATTTGCATTTGTCTTTCCTTGCATTTTCAGATCAATTCTCCGTCAATGACAGAAGCTATTTTTGTCTTTATTTATTTATTTATTTATTTATTTTTAATATGCCAGAGGCGGTGAAGGAACGAGCCATCTCAGTGGAAAGGGAGGCTGATGGATTTGATTCCATGAACCAAACACCAAAAATTACGGTAATGTCTTTTCCATTTCCATTTCACTTCGCGAGGTCTGATTTGTGGAACTATAGGGGTCCTTAGTGGAATTTGCTTGACAATTTTTTTAAGAATTTTTTTTTTTGGTAAATAATGATAATAAGTTATAATTAATTTATCACGAATCTCAAATTGCAAGGGAACATAGTAAAATTCAATTAATAGCCATCAATTTAATTTCTCACATCAAGGGATCTCATTAAAAATAAAGGATAAAAGTGAGCATTTGATCATGTAACTTTACATAATATTTTATTATAAGTCTATTAATTTTATAAAGTTTTTTTAGTCATTTAACACTAACATTATTATTTTTATTTTTTTAAAATCGACATTGAACTATGTTGAAATATTAACTTGAATTTTTAAAATAATAGTGAATTATATAAAAAATTATTATTTGAGATTAAGAATGTTAGGATTAGAGGTTGAAAAATATTTTATAAAACTAAATGACCGAATAAAAAATTCATATAAAACCAGGGGATTGAATGTGCATTCTTTTCGTAAAAAGAAAAAAATATACTTGTAATAATAATAGCCACACTACTTTTCATAAAAAATAATAGCTAAACAACTCATGGTGTTTTTTTTTTGAATAAAAGGCCACAGGAACACCGTGTAAATGATATGTTATGTCATGTCAGCGTATAAAAATTTCTACATCTAAGTGGTGGACTGTAGAAAATGTGAACATTAAAATTATCGATAGAAGTCTGATATGTCAGCTAATCCACACATTTTTTTGCCTCTCTATAGGCATGATTAAGGTGACCATCCGGTCTTTCATAATAATATCTCTGATTTTGTTGATAGTAGCAGTTAGAGGGTGATTTGTAGAGAACTCATTACGTATTAACGTGAGAGCTTCTATAAAGTCAGAGTAGACATGAACTTTGTCAATCTTTTCATCCCAACAAATGTTTAGTCTTTCTAATATGCCCAAAACCTCAGCTTCCTTGCACGGATGGTAACCAAGATACTTGAAGAAGCTTTTAATCCAATTTTCATGCTCATCTCATATAAATCCATTGCAAAAAGTAGCACCTTGATTATTAACTGAGCCATCTATATCAAGTATAACCTATCCATCTTTAAGGCATAATCATTTAACATTTGTGCTATCGCTCTGTTGATTCAGAAAATTAATTTTTGATTGAAGACATTAATCATTGAGTGTATCCTGGATGCTGGTAAATGCAATGTCTCTGAAGATTATCTTCTACGGAGTAGCATTTATCTTTCCAAATATTCCAACATACATGGTGTTTGTTTATATGTATATATATAGTTTCTTCTTTTGGCCCGATATATATATATATATATATATAGTTTTGTATGTAAGTAATTACTCTTTTCATTAAAAAATGTAAGGTATTTTTTAAGGAGTTAGATGTTAAAAAATGCAAGGTATTTTTAATCTTTTGAGGTGTAATCATTGTCTTTTTTTTCAAAAGTTTTCCTATTGATGTTGCCTTTATATTTATTGTAAGGTGTTTAATAGGGGTAAATATCAAAAAATAGGATTAGTTTGAAAGTAGGTAAGTATTTTATTAGAGGGTGAGATTCGATTAAAAATTTCTTACATTTTTGAACGGAGAGAGTATTTAAGAATACTTTTAATTGGCTTAATGATAAATCCTTGTCTGAATTAGATAGGATAGATTTTAAACTTTGGAATTGATGGGAGTAAATTTGAAAGAATTTAGGTTGTGTTTGGATGAGTAGATTTAAGTTGGAAATTTAAATTTAAAATCTCACATTTGAAATTCATAGATTCTAAATTCTTTACTTGGATGATATAAAAAATTTTAAATTATAATATTAAAATATTTTATTTGGATCTAATTTTATATTTGAATTTAAAAAAAAACTTGAAAGATTAGTTAAATTTGACAATTCAAATGGCCGACTTTCAACAAGATCAGACAAACAAAGTCGACTGGGACTGTGACACCGGTGATGATTGGGACAAGACCTTCGACTTCTACTGGGATTGGATAGTCACAACGACTAGGACGAAACGGTAGACATCTATTGAGACTAGACCGATGGTGACGACGGGCATTAGACGACTGACTTCCACTAGGATCGGATTGACAATGACAGGATGGCTGACTTTCATTGAGAAAGGACCGACGTTGACGACGGGCACTAGAAGGTCGACTTCCCTCGAGACTTGACCAACATCAATGACAAGGACCGAATGGCCGACTTCTATCGGGATTAGACCGGTGATGACTACGGGGACCCAACTGAAGACTTCCACTAGGCCAAACCAACGCCAACAATAGGGACAAGATGACAGACTTTCACCACAATTGAACTGATGGCTACAAGAGGAACCAGACGACCAACTTCCACTGGGATTGGACGATGATGATGACGAGCATCGGATGATCTACTTCCACCAAGACAGGATCGACAATGATAGCCGATGACAGGGACCGAACGATCGACTTTCATTAGAACTGGACCAACACTGATGATTGGGACAGCATGACCGACTTCCACAGGGATCGAACCAATGCTGATGACGGGGACCAGACGGCCGACTTCCACCGACACCAGATTGATGGCTACCAGACTGAAGGGATAGTGATCGAAGGCGATCATCTGATCCTCGTCCAGCAGAAGTTGGACTTTCAGTCCTTGTCATCATCGTAGGTTCAATCCCGGTAAAAGTCAGTTGTTTGGTTCACATCATCATCGCCATCATCAATCCGATGTTGGTAGAAGTTAGCCATCTGATCCCCGTCGTAGCCATCATTTCGGTCTCGGTGGAAGTCGGCTATTTGGTACCTGTAGTCCTCATTGGTTTGATGTTGATGGAAGTCAGTCGTCCGGTCCTCATCGTCGTCATTAGTTCAATCTTGGTGGAAGTCTACCGTCCAGTACCCATCGTCGTCATCAGTCCGGTGCTGATGGAAGTCGATCATCCGGTCCTCGTCATTGCCATCAGTCCTATCCTGATGGAAGTTGACAGTCCTATCCCCCTCATCGTCGTCAGTTCGGTTCTAATGGAAGTCGGCCATCCAATCCCCGTAACTGTAGTTGGTTCAGTCCCTGTGGAAGTCAACTATCTCGGTGAAATAATAGAGGTTTAGAAAGGATTTTAAATTTACAAAGAGATTAAGGGATAACTTGGATTTGAATTTGAGTCAAATCCAAATCCATACATTTTTAATTATCCAAATAATGAATTTGGCTCAAATCTAAATCTAAATCTAAATCCATATCTATCCAAACATAGCATTAAAGTTCTTTTTTTAGTAGAAAAATTAAAATTTTATTCAGTTAGGTAAAATTCCACAATTTGCTCATCTTACTTATAGAATTTTTTTTTAAAAAAGAATTACATCTAGGTTCCCTACTAAACAATTAAATATCATAAGGTTTATTGACAATTGGACATAGCAAAACAACAATGTTCAATTATTAATAGATTTTGTAGTATTTAACTATGTTATGGGAGCTTGGCATAATTATTTCAAATTTTTTTATTATATATATTCCTTGCACACATGGTACATGTTATCTATGTTGATAATTTGATCCCATATTTCACCCTTCAATGTTATTTTTATTCTTTAAATTACATTATCATATCTATTGTTTGGAACCATAACAATAGATATCAAACACATTAGTATCAAGGTCCAGACCGGCCATTAAATTAGGAAGTCAAGGTATAGTGGTCAATTTGTGATCTGATTAGTTTTATTTAAGTTAATATATTTAAAATTATATATTTATTAAAAAAATAATAATAATAATTAAAAACTATTTACTCATAATTATACAAATAACTAATATAATATTCATCCAAATGCACATACCATCTAATTTTTTGTAACTTCATGTTAATATTTTAGATAAGTTTTAAATTATCTAGCAATTATAAATCTGAAAATTAAAATATTAAGAATATAATAAATAAAAATACATTTCAAAAGATGATGGCCATGAAATTTGTAATACTCTCAAATTTTAAATCGAAATATCACAACAAATGAAGTGATAACCCAAAAGCTAGCCTTTAAAACATTTATTATGATAGAATAATGTCTATCATGGTAGAAAGAACAAAAAATATTATTTTAAAATCTTATTATAGTATAAAAGAGTTTATCATGATAATTAAGAACCAAATTAATTTTTAAACAGCTTATTATGGTAAAAAAATAATTTTTTTGAATTAAATAAATCTAACTCAAAACTAAATACCATGGCAGAAAGGATTCTATCATGGTAAAAAAGATTAAATTTAATAAACAGGCATACCATGATAAATACTAGTTTACTAAAATCATAAAAAGGTGTAGCTAATGGAATACCATTTCCAAAACAAGATTTGAAAAATATATTATGTAATAAATTATATACATATGAAATTAGAGTTCTTAGGGACATTTTTAAACTAAAACATCACATGATTATTTCCAAAATACCTAAACAAGATATTCAAATGTCCACCCTAAAATATATAGCAAAATTTGTTCGTTGGCTTTGACTTAATACCCAAACATTTTTATATGAAAAATTATATCTACAAATCCATTTAGAACCCAAAAGATAATTCTCAAACAATAAATTTCACAAACACAAATCAAAACCAACAATTTAGTGTGAACAACTTGACCATAACCTAATTATCTACCACATCATATATAATTCTTATTATTAACTAAACATAGGTGAAATTTATAGTTGAGTTACAGCCACTCAATACGATTTATATAAAACTAAATATAATTAAATTCATTTTCAAAGCACATAAATCCTTGAACATAACAAATTAATACCACGAGTATTAGACACGATTCTCATTGCCAACATATACAAAGTATATAAGACACTAAGGGTGTTTAGCTTGGACCTGTCCCGATTGACCTGATATCATCTCGATCATATTAGGACGAGTCTTGTCTCAGCCCAAAAATAATCGGGACGGGACTTTACGAGATGAGACAGGAAAAGGTTTAGGATGAGACGAGATACGAGATTATTATCGGGACGTCCCGTCCCGTCCCGAATATTTTATATATATATATATATATTATTTTTTATTTTAAGTATATTAATTATATTAACATAATTTATATTTATATTAATTATATCAATTATAATTTCAATACTTGCAAGTCTTATTTAAAACTAAAATTTTTTTATATTGATAATTTTAATAACATTGAGTAAATATGGCAATATCTTTCTTTATAATATATTAAGAATATTAATATAATTTATTCTTATATCTAATCTTAATAACTTTTATTTATAACGTATTTCTTGCTTTATTTTCAGAAGAGTAATTAACTTAGTACTTCTTCATTAAATTAAAAAAACAATGATTTGATATTGTATTTAACTTGCATGTTGTTGCTACTTTTATAACCTAAAGATCACTTGTATTTTCTATTATAATGTGTAGTTGTGATTAATGAAATTCAATAATTAACTTTAAATTGTTGTGATTTATATACTTGTGTTGTTTTGATTTTAAACTTAATGAATTATATAGCTTAAAATTTTAATAAACGTTATTATCCAAATTTTTCTCCGATATTATCTCATTTATCGGGGCGACGGGACGTCTCGATCCCGTTCCGACTCCTAACGGGACGGGACGACTTTTGTAACATCCTGATTTTTATATAATAAAGAAATTATGGAATTTAGGTTTTGAGGATAAAAAAATGATAATAATAGGAATTTATATTATTTGAGGTTATTTAGAAATAATATTATGGTTAGGTATTTAATTATGAATTAAAAATTTAAATTTAAAACCACATAAGCAATATTTAGTTAAGATATAATATATAAATAATTTTTTTATGTGTGTGTTAAAAAAAAAGAAAAGGTAGAAGGAACAAAAAAAAAGGGTGGAAGATTGTTGTTTCTAAGTTCTACATTGATTAGATATGGGAAGAGAAGAGATGCCTTCATGTATAAAAAGGAGGGGGTATGTGCATTAGGAAGCATGAATGGCTAAGATGCAATTTGGAGGAAATTATAACTTTTGGCCCAAGAGTTTGAATAATTAAATTCAAATCTATAGTTTTTTTTAATATAATTGTGGGACCCACAATTCCATTTTTATATTATTTTTCTCTCTTCCTCTCACGTTGCTTGGCGTGTTCTCGTAAGGGGGGATTATTTTCTTTTTCTTCAGGTATGCTCCAACTTTCCTGTTTAGATTAGCATTTAAAAAATTATTTAATTAAAAAATTAATTTTATAGTTATTTTTTAAATAGTATTAGCTTTCTAGTGATATAATTATTTTGTAGAATAGAGCAAATATTTTGATTAGAATTTTCTATAGGATAGTTAATCTGATGATATGATGGATTAAAAATATAGGTTGAAGTTCTTAGGGATATAATAAATATTATAAAATATTTTTTTGAGGTTGAAACTCATGTTTAAGAATTTTTGTGTTAAACTCTAGATCTATATGATTGAATTTATGTTGAATATGAGATGTAAGGATGAACATCTGATTATTAAATATTTATTTAAGTATGAATAGGTATTTTTAAGGTTATAGAAAGGTGATTTGAGGCTTCAGGATAATTCTAAAATTTTTAATTTATTTTTGAACGAATTTTTAGAATATAGAAGGATGAAATTGTGATCCTAGAAGTGATTTGAGGCTCAAAAATAGTTTATTAGGGTACAAGAATTTTAGAAAAGAATTTAAAAAATTAAATGAGGTATAAATCTTAAATTAGTGTTCATATGAATTATAGATCTAAGACTTTCTAACTCTTTAAATTAGAGTTATTTATTTTAATGTAAAATTAATATATAGTATTATGAAATAACTATATAGATTGTGTTGACAAAGATAGTGGTGAAAGAGGAATTGTGAAGGGGAACTTGTTATTCAAGACACAAGGTGACCATTATTAATGTGTTGTGATGAGTGTGTTTGTGAATGGTTATGTGTTGTTTTGTTGTTTGGAAAAATTATGAATTATTGAAAATAAATACTGTTATATACTTGTTTGAAATTATTGCCAAGTGGGTCAAAAATTTATTTTTGTTTATCATGATGAGATATTATTGTTCGGATATATTCCTGTTTGGATATTTGAATGATGCATGACTTGTCAAGGTATTTTAATATATAGTGTTAATGGAAATTTCTGTTCGGTTAATTATTACCACGTGGTAAGCCCTCATTGGACCTAATGAGTGGCGTGTCGCTTGGTCCAACTCACTTTTGGCTGGGTGATTTGGCGTTCGAGCATGGTGAAAGGAGGATATAAGGTGCAGTCATGCAATTAAATACTTGTTTGGTTTGTTTGAAAATATTGTTCGGTTAAATATTTTGTGTGCCCACTTAGCAATCACATGATTAGTTACATCCGCATGCATTATTACATATTAATTTTTGGTTACTGAGACTTTTAAGTCTCATTCCTCGTGGTTAACATTTTTACAGGAGCGAGTCCGGCCGAGAAACCACCAGAGGCATAACTTTGATGTATGAGATATCATCTTTTACGTTGCCTCTCATTTTGTATTATGCAATGTATATTGTGCCAACGTAGGACATATCTTATTTTGACAACATGTAAACTCTAATCCTTTTTATTAAATGCATTTATATAATCAAGAGGATTATGTTTGTCCCTCTTGATTCATGACTTGATTTGAATATCATGCCATGAGGATCCTGTCTGTCCCTCATGGTTCTAATTGCTTTTTGAAGACCTGTGGTATATTGTCTTGGATGTATCATGGTAGAAATTTTTTTACCATGATAAGGGTATGATAAGGGTTCAATGAAAAAAAATGATTTGTTGAATTAATAATTTACGAAAAATCGGTTTGTAAATTTGAGGGTGTTATAACTTTCAAAATATGACAGGACACGGGATTAAAATTTAGCCCCGATTCTTTTTTCGGGATAGGACACAAGACAAGGGTGTCCCAATCTCATCCCGTCCCGCAACACCCCTATAAGAAACTGGAGTCTACATGTTCAATTATATTCAAAATTTTCCTAAGTTGGCAAATATATATTAAATCACAAAGTGGGGCATAACAACTTCAATTGGTATTTCATACACTAAGTCTAAGCTTCTAGTGCTTTTTCTGCTAGACTTGATTTTGTAAAAATATTAACTATGGGAAATGAGATGCAAATGTTCTAGTAACCAAAACTATTATGCTATAATACATGTTATGCAACTAATTATGTGACTACTAAGCAGGGTATGCAAAATAAATTCCAAACGATTGGCACAACCGAACAAAATATGCAAGATTATCAACTTATCTCCTCTTTTATCCATGACTAAAGTCCATGCTCAATGCCTAACTCATCCGGCTCAAAGTAAGCCAATTCAAGTGATAAAGTACTACTCATGAATCAGATGACGGCATATCAGGTGGTATAGTTTGTTTTCAAAATCCAAACAACAAATTCCCCCTAACCTCCCACAAGGGAAAAAGTCATGCAGATAATAATTTTCCAATAATTATAAATTTCAAGCATTAATACATATTTCCAAACATAATAATTTAATATCGAACCGAAGTCTCTATCAAATTTTTATCTCACTAGCAATACATTTTTCAAACCACAATATTTATTTTCAAACAACATTTATGTGCAACAAAATTCACATAATTAATTACAAAACACACTATAACATAGGAATACAAGTTATCTTTGCTCCTAGTAAAAGCAAGTTTTCTTGAACAAGCAAGTTATCACCGCCAATAATGCTAACACCATGCTCTATATAATATTTAATACCAAACATAATCAATATTAGTGATTAAATACTAATCACAATATAATCTTAAGGTTATATTAATTACCTTCATTAACCCAACACCCTTCCATATGCTTTAAATCTTAAAACTTAATTATCTCTATTATTAATCCATTTCTAATACACTCATTTAGTCTCCCATTGACATAATTAACCTTTTGGGAGCCTTAATTTCATATTTAATAAATCCCAAAAATCTAGGACTTGCCTCAAGTCACAAACTATCATCTCAATACCTTACAAACATTTTTTGAAACCCAAATAAAGTCCTAATTATCATAAAAAACCTCAATTTACTCTAAACTTTATTTTCTTAAAAATTTCAATTCACTACTACAACTAAATTTCTCCTTCTCAATTACATTCCTATAATTCAATAATCTCATTTCACTTATCAAAGCTATTAAACAATAATAATTTTCTCAAGTCACCCTTAATCTCAAAATTCAAACATTTACAATACCTAAAATAATCATAAACTCCAAAACCAACCCATTTAATTATCATTATAATATCCATTAAACCAAAATAAATCATTACATTCAACATAAACAACCACCATATTCATGAATCACAATTTTCCCAACTAAAACTAACTTTAATTTATCCAAACAACTATTTGGCCAGACCATACAAATCTTATTCTAACCTTCATTAAAAATTAAATAATCAATTGAAATATCCAAAAACTCAAAATTCATCGAATCCTAAATTTTTCATCATCAAGAAATCAAAAATCAAATAGAATAGATAACTAATTTTTTTTAAAACACTTATATATTATTGAAATGCTTCAACTCTCATCTAAAATATCCTATTATATAGTTTAGACTTCAAAATCTCTTCTTCTCACCCTCGCTCGCTCCTTGTCCACAAGGCGTTGGACGAAGAAGACTGAGGAGTGAGGACCCTATTTCTTGGCAGGTGAGTGACATCTTGACAAATGAACTGCCAATTTAAAGCAATGAGTGCTCTCTCTCTCTCTCTTTCTCTAAATATTTTATAAACACTTCAATTATCTTTCATAATAAATTAACATGTGTGTATAAATGCATATATAAAAGGCTCCATTAATATTCTTAAAATTAAACTCTAATGATATATTCTACTTAAATACAATTTCTATTATATTAATATAATTGTAATCTCTTAAATGAAACTAACTTACATGTTTCTATTTAATCCTTGCTTAAAATATATAACCCTATGCGTCTCTATGGGTGATACAACATAATTTATATACCTCCTCAATTTACTTAATAAATCATATATTAATATCATTTACTCCCTCCATTTAAAAATGTAAGATATTTTTAACCAAATCTCACCTCCAATAAAATAGTTACTTATTTTCAAACTAACACATCTTTTCATATTTATCCCTATTTATAGAGTTTCACTCTAAAATAAATATAAAATAATTTATTTATTGGGACTCTTTTGAAAAAAAAATACAATGATTACACATCAAAATACTAAAAATATTTAATATTTTTTAACATTCAACCTTTTAAAAAATACCTTACATTTTTTAATGGAGGAAGTAAATTTTATGAATAAAAATGAGGGTGTTGCAAAATTTTAAAATTATTAAAAAAAGAATTAAAATGAATTTACGGCTCCACTTGAAATTCAATTTGTGAAATTTCTGAACTACATTGGAAATTTGCATTTTTTTTTTTTCATAAGTTCGTATTTCAGGTTTTTGATTTAAACTAATTTAATTAACTACTTGGGAGTACTTTTTTGAAGGCATGCCTTCTATTGAAAATTTAGTTGTTGCTACACATTCAAGACTCAAGATTCAAGACTCAAGATCTGTAGTTAGGTTGGACCAACTCCCTTATTAGGTAATACAAGCCAGGAATCTATAGGTTTCCATTATCTTGAAATAGTGTTGTTTATAATTATAAGAGGTTAGAAAAGGTGTAGACAGCAGATAAGGAATGTCCTTTGTCAATTGAAGGATGTGGAAATTATTTTCACTGGTCGTGATTCTCTAGGTTGTGCTGATCAACTCGCGAAGAACGCTCACTTTGAAGCGCAAGGAATGAAGATTTTGCAGCAAGTTCCCCTATGTTGGTATGATATTTTTTTGTAAAGACAAGAGTTCATGATCTAGTGTCTAGATGATTGTATCTTAACTTTCCCAAGCTTTGGCTTGCCCTGCCCATCCAAAAAGAGAAAAGAAAAGGTGTAGACATGTGGTATTTACTATTTAATATTTACTAGGCACCCTAAACATCTAACATTTTCCTTTGATCATACGCTATCCTCTATTTCCCAGTCTAGTAGGTCGCTCATCTTCCTCTTAGCTCTTCAATGAGAGCCCGCAACTACACGAATTGATGAAGATAGACCTCAGCCCAAAACCCAGAAGTCAAATTTGGCGCATCATTTATAGATTACAGTGCTGGAAATGGTGTGAACAAGCGACTTTTCACAACTGAGAATTTCAATCCTCAAGAGTGTAGTTGATGAGATTCTAGCTCTAGTTCTATGTTCCGCTAAAGATAACGAGCTTTCAAAGCTCATAAATAATTGGTGAATGTTGGGTTTTTGTTTATACATTTGTTTAGTTGATTGCAGCCCGATAGTTCCTTTTGTAAGCCTGAGGTTCCCCTTTCGTATATATTTTGTGTAATGATATCACTTCACTTGAAAAAAAAAAAAAATAAATCAAACAAACAAACATTCCAATTGTGTTTGGTGATCTCCTTTTACTTTGAGCTACTTTTTCTCCTAAAAAATGGGTGAAGCATTCCATTTCCAGGGTACCAAACTCTAGAAAAACATGATTTTGACAATTTGACTGCAATACTATAGAAAAAAATCATTTCCCTATAAACTACACTTTCAAAAATATTTCTCCATATACCATACATTTAAAAATCGGTTTGATGCAAACCGAGTTTCAAAATTATTTTTTGATATAAAAGTATGAAACTTGATTTCAATCAAGCCAAGTGCTATACTTTATTTAAAAAATAAAAGTTGATATAATAAGCTGATAGTCTCTTCCTTCCTTTTTTTTTCCATGAATAATTATTCATTTCTTCTTATTTTTTATTCTATTGTTTGATATCTTGAAAAATCTGAAGGTATTACCACCTCCTGCTCAAACTAATGCAAACTTTCACTATGTATGATTTTTATCTATGTGGATTGGGATATGAATTTTATATTTAAAATATTACATTTCAAATTTGACATTTAAAAAATTCATGTGTTTAAAATTTTTTATTTGGGTAATTTAAAAAGTTTCAGATGAAAGAGAGAGATAAGTTGATGTCTGAAACAAAAATAAAAATAAAAAGTGATGTGTTTACTTCTATTTTTTAATTGATGAGAAACAAGAAATAGAGATAATACGACACAAAAACATCAATAGTAAAAACATGAGAATGAAGTATTTAAAATAACTAAAATTTCAATTGACTGCGATATGAAGAAAATTTAAAATTATAAAATAAATATAATAAGAAATAGATAAATTTGAATTTGAAACTTAAATTTTTTTGTGTATACAAAAATAGACTTGATTCAATTTAAATTCTCATTAACTCAAACACACTTATATAAACTCATTAATCCAAATTTCTCATATTTTTATTATTGATATCTCCATGTCTTCTTATCTCTATTTCTTATTTCTCATCAATTAAAAAATAAAAATTAACACATCACTTCCAATTTTTCATTTTTGTTTTAAATGTTAACTTATCTCTTTCTTTCATTCGAAACTTTTTAAACTAACTAAATAAAGAATTTTAAATACTTGAATTTTAAATATCAAATTTAAAATGTGATATCTTAAATATAAAATTTATATCCAAATCCACATAGATAACAATCACGCATGGTGGAAGTTCACATTAGTTTGAGTAGAAAGTGACAATATTTCCAAATTTTCTAAGATACTAAGCAATAAAATAAAAAATAAAAGAAATATATAATTATTCACATAAAGAAAAAATGAGAAAGAAAATTGTTGGCTTGTCACGTTAATTTTTTTTTTCAATAAAGCATAGAACTTGGCTTGATTGAAACCAAGTTTTATACTTTTATATTAAAAAAATTTTGAAACTCAATCTGCATCAAACCAAAAATTTATAGTATATGAGAAAATATTTTTGAAAGTGTAGTATGTGGAGAAATGATTTTTTTTTCTATAGCATTGCAGTCAAATTGCCCATGATTTTATTCCCACTTCGTTTCCAGAGCAGCCATTTCCATCAAAGCAAACATGACCTTGGTCAGGACTAAATGCACTGCAGGCCCCAAAAAACAGAAATGGTAAGTTATGTCCCCCTGAATCTTCTGATCTGTTTCCGTTGGTAATCTCTGTTTTTTAAATTCTGCATCTTTAATTTTCCACTTATGTTTTGGTATGCTTCTTTCTTCTTCCTCCTCATCAGTCTTCTTCATCGGCTGTCCTTGTTTTTCTCTCTCTTTTTCTGATATTTTCCTACCAAACTAACTGGCTAGCCTTCTTAACCCCGTGTTAACCGGTTATTACCATGTTAATACCTGGGTCAATCGGGCCGCACGGTTTTAACCAGGAGAAATTGAAATTCCAGATCCATCGGCTCCAAATGCAATTCAAAATCCACACAAACAGCGCTTAGTTGAAGAGATATCAATTTCAGGTAAAAGATCAACAAGGGGATTTAGGTAATCCCGGTAATAATTCAAATATAAGATTCATTGAAGGTCGCGTCCAAAACAAGTGGGGCGACAAATTCTAATGGAAGACAAAAACAGCCAGATTCTCTCCTCTTCATCTGTCTCTCTCCTTTTTTACTCCCAGGGGAGGGGGTTTCCATTTGAGGAGCAAAATCTTATTAACTCTGAAACTTCCGAAATTGCAAAGGAACAGCCATTGGGGTAGCATACTGGAAGACTTGAAAATATTAACACCTATAGGCGTGCCTTTGACCTTGGAATAGGTGAAACGGGTGCGCTCTGCAGTCAATACAATACAGTGTCAAGTAATTATTCTTGTTATTCAGTATCATGCGTGTGTATGAGGATTGTGATATAAACAAGCCTTTCTATACCAATTATCCTCCTGCTAAATCTCTGTCATCTCGAAATCCATAATTTCGCACCACCAAGCAAAAGTACACTTCCCTCTATTTTACATATACTATAGTTGTAAGTTACTAAAATGTTCCATTTGTAATAATCCTGTGCGTGTCATTTTTATGGTTTTAACTGCAAATTCTTAGACTTAGTTGTTTGGATATCACAGGTTCCATGGACGTTGATGAACCATAATTTTCCCAAAATTTGTAAAGAAAAAGAACAAGATTCTTACCAGAGGAATGCCTTTCATTGCTCTTTCTTCCAAATACCTTGACGGTTTATAAAAGTTTCCGTATAGCTCTGACCATTTTTTCAGACGAGCATATACATAATTGGCCCCAAGCAAGTCTGCCCAGAAAACAATACCACCCCTGCCACAAAAAGAAGGGAAAATGAGATACACATTAGCATACAGGGTACGCTGATCCAACTTGCTATGGGCTCTAAACAAGTGCTGGATTAAGAACTTAGCACTAAAGTCAATTTCTAATTTTTGCAGAGAAAAAGATAATACTTGTTATAGTTCAAATAAATTACAACCTATTAAACCTAATCACAACTTCACAATGCTGTTATCACCGGGCAGGTCATTCATGCACTATAGTTTGCCTTTGCTTCAAGGAAAAGAATATTATGGATACGGAGAGTAAAATGCACAATAAGAACATAATGTCAACAGAATCTCGTGAGCATGCAGGAACAGAGATAAGCCACATATTGCACATGAAACCGATCAGATTTGTCCAAAAATCACTCATAGTAGGTCATTGTATCCTTGCTACTCCACCAGGCCATCCTCCTTCCCTTTTTCTTCCTTATTATTTATAGATGTACCCTTATTGCTTTTATCCCCCCTTTACTACTGTGTATATTCTACATATAAATTGCACAGGCGAGAATAGCAATGCAGAAGAAAGCAAGAAAAGAATGGCCCACCGGTGAGAAGGGAAGCTCATCCCAAGAACAGATGCAATGTCAAGGTCTGATGAACGGACAACAATTTCTTCATCTAGAACACGACATGCCTCATTCACCACTGGAAAGAGTACCATCTCTAAAATATCTTGGTCGGTCACAGATATAGGCTGCAAAGTGATAATGAATTCAAATTCCTCATTAGTTGGAGACAATTCTATATATAACTGAGAGAGGAAACTCAGATCTAAGTGTTACTTGCAGGTCAATACAGATAACTTAAAGCAAGACAGCATTGATATGATCAAAATCTTACTTATGACAGCAAAAGAATAGTACCTTTCCGCTGGGCATAATATTGCAAAGTCTTATGGAATCCTTAATAATAGGCAGAACTGAAAGATCAGGTTTTGGCTTGCTGCCCTTTTCATAAATGTAGTACCCTTTCCCATTGGCTTTACCTGATGAATAAGAAGTTTAGAGATGCCCAAGAACAGAAAGCATTAGTTACAAGTCACTACCAAGACATGATGTGTGGTGGACAAACAAGAAGTTTTGTAAAAATAATAGAGATCCTGCATTACCATTTCGCCCACTTTTGACCAACAGTTCAACCAATGGAGATTTAAATGTGCGATCAGGAAATGCACTAGCAAATTCTTTTCCAACTGCTAGGGCAACTCCATACCCAGCCAAGTCCTGAAGTCTGCAAGCCACAAAATCATCTACTTCAAAATGGGGAAAACTGTTTTAACCCTTTACTCCCAGGATGCCAGGGTGAGGCGTATGCCTGTTGCTTCATGTCCTCATGGCTTGATCATTAAAATTTTCAAAACCTAGCCCCGGCTTTTTTATGTATGGCAACTGGCTTGGGAGTTTATTTCTGAATGTTACATCAACTTCAAACAAAGTTCATAGAAATAATAGCATAAGATTCAACCACAAACTTCTGTTTAATCCTAGGAGATATGCATGATCCTGAGATCAGACCTTTTTCTTTCTTTTCTTTTCTTTTTTTTTTTGCATGAGTTTTTTTTTTTTTTTTGGGGGGGGCAATTGATGAGCAAATGCAAATCAATGAAAATGTAATGCATTTTAATTGACATAAGATGATAATATGTACTCATAAGAGAAGAAAATTACAGGAAAGGGCCCAAAGGAACACCGAAGTTGCTGATTACTCTGTCAATTCGGAAGATGTCCACACCCAAGTTGGCCAATAAATGAGCACCTTGTGAATAGGGGAAGAAGGTTCTGTTGACTGCAAAGCCAGTACAGTTACCTACCACAACAGGTACCTTTTTTATGATTTTCCCGACAGTCATTAAATCTAGAATTACTTGTGGAGAAGTTTTCCCAGAGCGTACAATCTCCAGAAGAGGCATAATGTGAGCAGGACTGTGCATCAAATAATGTTGGGTCAGAAATCTTCCATACAACACGTCAGTTTGTAGAGAGAATTAACTACAACAGGAACACAAGATTGGACAGAAATGTTCTATCAATCTGTAACTCTCATATTGTCAACTGCTATAACAAAGAAACTGCGGGACAAACAGAGTCTTCGGAGTAAAATACATCAAGAACAATTTGCTTTTTTTTTAATTAAAAGAAAAAAAAATTAATTGGAAGCAAGTGTCTAATAGGATTTATTATGCTAAAACAACTGTAAAGCTCATGATCATGCAAATTAGTACAAGGTAAGAAAAAAAAATAGTAATTTCAACAAGATAGACCTCAAGAAACTGTTAAAATATTAAATTATCATTTATGCTAAAATTCATCAGCATTTATCATACCTATCTTTCCCTATCTAAGGCTCAATTATATATTTGAAACACATGTCAGAATCCAGACTAAAATATGGCATCTTGAAAGATCTGATTTCTTTGAAGTACTGAGAATGAGTAATTTATTCTCTTTTTCATAGCATCCTCATCTTTCCAATATAGTAGTAAATGTTACGCTTTAAAGGAACAACATAAAGTTAGGGTAGCAGAGATGAAAATATTGAGATGTACGTGCAGTCATATAAGAAAAGATAAGATTCATAATGAACATATATTAGGAAAAGTTGGTGGCATCTATTAGAAAATGGTAAAAAATCATTTAACATGATTTAGACATGATAAAGACCATTGGAAGTGCCAGTGAGGAGGATGGAACAAATAGTAATTAGTCCTATGAAGAGGGGTAAAGAAAAATCAAAGAGAACATGAAGTTATTGAGTGAGAACTTTTAGGAAACAACTTATCCAAAAAAATTGGTCGCTGATATAGGATAATGGCATCGTATGATCCAAGTAGCTAATCTCACCTAGTGGGATAAGGCTTGTTATTGCTATTTATAATAATAGAAATTATAGAACCTACCTCTCACATGAATAGCTTCTTAGTCATTTAAATCTATGCAATAAAATGGCTTCATTAGAGCCACAAAACCAAATAAATATTGGTTGCAAAGACCAACAGAAGAGTGCAATAAGGTTTAGCAGTTAAGGTTTAATGATCTATTATTTCAAAAGCAACAGCTCCATTCCTTTGGTTGGTCATACATTTGTTCAAAGAAAGGTAATAAGAGAAATGAGTTAAATAACCTGAAAAAATGAGCTCCCACAATGCGATCTTGAGACCTGGTCTTTTCACCAACGATGTTAAGATCAATAGTTGATGTGTTTGTTGCTAGAATGCAGTGGGGAGGGCAGGTATTCTCAAGATCCTTAAATATAGTTTGCTTGAGACTAACATTTTCAATCACAGCCTGCAAAGAGAGAAAAACAACATTAATTGATTTCCAAAAGTCAGTTTACGTCATCCATTTATAAGATATTCTTCATCATACAAAAACACGACAGCCAGAGGAACAAACCACGAGTGAAAACAAAATATAAGGCCATTTGTCAAACTTATTTAAAGCATCCAATTCAAAAAAAGGCAACTGTTTTCCTTTTAAAACAAAGGGCCTTCCACACAGTATCAATGATAAATTGAAAAGATAAGAATTAAGCAACCAACCTCAATGACAATATCCACATCTTTGAATTCTGAGTAATCAAGCACACCTTTAAGCAGCGAGAGTGCCCTATCTGCCCCATCTTTCTTCAACTTTCCTCTTGTTACTAAGCCACGAACATTTGCTGTCATACAAGACAAAACAAAAACAAAATGTAAAACGTTATAAAATGATGTGCAAGGGATTAAAATTGTATAAATTCATCATTCCTTCAGTAGCTACTGATGTTCAAATATTTCCAACATGATAAATAGAGGCCTTCTATTGTTGCATTTTAAGCAAAAGTCTTTCATGGAGCGATTTATTGAACTTGTCATTAGTCTGCCGAAGTTATAATAACAAGCTCTTCCATATATATGGCAGATGCTATGTATATATAATATTGGGATATTAGAGCATTAATATGTCCTAGATTAGAAATTAGTTATATATGCCAATGGACTTTATAACATCAATAGCAATTGTTCATGGAAAATGATGTGATTAAAAATATTGAAAGAAAACACCATCTGTAAATATGGAGGAAGAATCACTGACGCCAGTATATATAGCAAATTATATATCAAGTTAATTTTCTGTCTCCAATTTGTCGTACTTCACTCAAATGACAAAAGAATTACCTTCTATTAATTTGATTCCCCTTAGAAGATATTGAGAGTTGACTTCCTTCAGTATAACTTGTATGTTGCTTAGTATAAGAGCTGTAGCAATGCCAGAACCCATTAGACCTCCCCCAATAACAGCAGCTTTCTTTATATTTCTTGGTTTAAGTCCAATATCAGTAACGTTAGGCACCTGGCAAAGATAGAATTCAGAGAACATTTTCAATTTAAGACAAGAGAGCGAAGTCTCAAATTTATTTTTCAAGTTCAAGAATGGGATGATATATCTGCACTAAAAGCAAAAAGAAACAAAACATCATTTGGTCCTTTGTTGTCTGATATGCGCATAAGTAATTTTCTTTTCTCTAATCTAATTTTTTATAATAAAAGATTGTCCTGAGCAAAATTTGCCACTTTTACATATCCTTGTCATGCATTTTACTGTCCATAAGACAGAGAAACAAATTCTTACCAGGCAAACTTTTATTGAATAGCATTGTTTCAAAATAATGAAAATACTCTACCAAAAAGTTTCATGCAAAATGACAAATCAGAAAGCAAAAGATAAGATCACCAAGCCCAGTTTTCCAATCATTCAGATTCCACAACCCATAGCAAAGGGTCATATCTTATTAATTACCTTTGATACTGCACGCTGGGCAAAGAAAACATGGACTAGACATTTTGAAGTGTCGGATATGACTAGCTTCTTGAATAGCTCTGCCTCCTGCAATCACTTAATGAAGTTAACAAATCTGTGAAGTCATCACATCACAAGTTGCACAAAACAAGCCGTGAGATGCTTGTGAATGTGAAGTATGCTAGGGCCAACAAACAGGATGCAGCATGTATCTGTGGAGCAAGGTGACAATGATATAACTACAAAATAAAAAAGTAAATGCTTCCTGGTAATCAAAGGGGGAAAAATATACCCTCAGAACACCACTATAGCCTCCATAAATTATTCCATGCTCAATCACATCAATGCAAGCCTGGTGCTGAGGCATATGTGGAGCAGTCTTCCTGACTTGCTGTCTGGCAATTTTCAATGCCTCACGTGCTTCAGAGAGGGAAACAAGTCTGTCTGTCCTATGAAGTGAACGTATCCAAGGTTTGTGCCTTTCTACAATGTCAACAGCCCACAGCCGAGACACCTTCAACAACTCTTCTGGAGACACGATAGCATCAATAAGCCCTAGTTTCTTTCCTTCTTCAGACATGATCGGTTTAGATGTCTGCAAGAAGTGCAATATTGAACTAAACCACTATTCATGAATAAGTCAAAAGCTGATACTATCTGTACAATATACATAGTTCTCTATTCATCATGGTTTACATCCATTCTACCATTTCCCTAGGAGTCAAACAAAACATGTACAAATTAACAAGCTAAAGAAACAAGGCATGAACGTGTAGATGCAACTTGTAGATTTCACTACTCCCACAACAGTTTGGAGTATTCTTGTTAATTCAATTGTCAAGCATAAGAAAAGCCACACCTACGATAACAACTTCAAACTCAAGTTTTTCAGTAGTAAGAGCTTCTAAGCAAAGTCATAGACAATACTCAAGACCCATGCATAGCAAGTAAAATGTGTTAAATTTATGGAGCATTGCCATAGCTCATAAACTTTAACATAAATGTAAGATCTCTTGTTTCTTTCTCATTCTTAGCTGTCCATTTTCTTTCTATTCAATCAACATTCACCATCTTTAACAGCAATAAAGTAGATCAAATGCAAGTTGTAAAAATGAAAACTGAAAGGAAAGAATCTTACCAACATCATTTCAACAGCCTTAGACAGTCCTAGAAGCCTTGGAAGACGCTGTGTACCTTATAGATTAACAACATCAGTTAGCAAATTCATATCTCCTGACATAGAGTACCGAGAACATTCATATGGATAAGCAGACAAACCTCCAAATCCAGGAATCACTCCAAGCGTCAGTTCTGGAAGGCCCAGTTGAGTTCTTGGAGCAGCAATACGTGCATGGCATCCCTGTATTCAGTGTTATTAAATTTCACAGTCATTAAGATATTTGGATTGCCATCAAATGGTGAAGGAAACGTTGTGCCTGCTCAAGAACAACGACTGACCATGGCCAATTCTAAGCCACCTCCGAGAGCAAGACCCTCTATGGCTGCAACGACAGGCTTCTTTGAATCTGTAATTATTAAATGCATTAATAATTTTACAATGATTAATACAAACAGAATCACCAAGTTCCCAAGGTAGGCTTCAGGGACAATCGCAACCTTCAATTGTATTGACTACCAGTTCCACAGAGACATCAGGGACAAGCGTGACATCCCCTGTGAAGAAAAATAGCAATTACCACACCTTCGAGGGTCAAAACTAGAATTTTACTATTATTTTAGCACAAGTCAATTTTTTCAACGCATATCAAATCATTGCACACCAGTTTGGTGAACTTTCTGCATAACACTGATGTCGAATCCACCAGAAAACCGCCCACCCTTGCCTGGAAGAAATTTCAGAACAATCACATAGCTTTTACTTTGACAATCAAATAGTCGCTCGACTTTATTTTCTGGAAAATTAGAGTGAGGCATGGATTGAACGCGATGTCTGTCCTTAAGCTTAGTTCACTCTACTTATTACAAATAAATTTAATCCAGAGAAACCTTACCAGTCAAAACTATAGCCTTTACATCATTTCTCCTCGTCGCCTCATCGAACTTCTCCTTCAACCCCTTAATAACTAAAACAGAAAAAAAACAGAATGCAAAAATAACATTAGAAAGGACGAAAAGAACGACAGCGGACGTAAACAAAGAATAAAGAAAATCTGAAGCTCACTTGGAATAGCCAAGGCGTTTACAGGAGGGTTACACATAGTGATGACTGCAACCCCATCATTTCCGATCTCCAGTTCAACCTTAACCGCTGCCATCTCTGAGAGTCCCAGGCCCTAGTCCCCTTCCTTTCCGGGTCTTAATCTTGTTCTTTTGGCATAAACAGAGGCAGGTGATGGTGGGTTTCGATAGGAAAGTCGATAACGATATTAGAAGTAATGATTTCAAGAGGGCTAAATGAATGCCGAATATCTATATCATGGAAAAGCGGGAGAACGCCGGGGTTACTGTTGTCTGCCTTCCTTGGCTATTTCGTGGGTGACTCGGGAGTGTGAAGCTGACTCACCGACCGGTTGAACATTTCCATTAGTGCGCCACGTGGATAATAAGTCATGAGAGTTAGAATCAGATGCATGTGCCACGAGTTAAGTATGAGAGACTTTGGAACGTGATTTGTTGTGGCCGACGGTGAGGGGCGTGAAGAGATTATGCGTGTCGTATGTGGCTCTCTATCGTCCAATCACATCGATCCAATTCCTCACCGGCAAATGCTTACCCAATGACTACGCTCTCCCAAGTATTTCCCTAAATTGTGTTTATTCACTTATTTCTTTCAAAAATTAAAAGATAATGTTGCCACTAAGGTTGACGTGGCATGATCGGGCAACCCTTGACTCATGCGAAACAAACCCCAGCTTGTTCGTTTTTTATTCAATGTATTTGGGTTGTTAAATTAAGTTTGTCAACCACTTTTTTTTTTCAAAAAAAAAAAAAGAATTTGTGGCCAAGTCTTTTATTTTTTAATAAAGAGAGAATGACAACTTTTTGGCCTACAGGCAAGTGGCAAAAGAAAATTATAAAGCAAGATAATTATTTAAAATTTTCTAAAAACTAATCACATGTTAATTTTTTGACGAAATAATATTTTAAAAGTAAATGACTATTTCGAAGTAATAAATGATTATTTTTATAAAGTAAATGACTCAAATAATATAGGAAATAATTATTTTCATTTTTTAATTCTATTTCATAAGTATTAAATCGTGAAGGTAAATTACAACTTTAAAATCACAAATGACTACTTTCATTGAACAAGTAACTAAAATAGTTTAGAATTTTGGTGTAAAAAAAGTACTGAAATAGCTTAGGAAAGGAGTGTTTCAATTTTTCAATTGCATTTCATAAGTGTTGAGGAAATGAAAGTAGTCATAATTTTAGTTACTCAATGAAAATATTCATTTATTATTTACAAAGTTGTCATTTTCCTTTGAAGGTATTATGGTCATTCTGTGAAAAAGTTTAATCTCGGACAAATTCTTAAGAACTTCGAAATAATTGCCCCATTTTATAATCTTCTTTTATCATCTATTGATCTAAGCAGGATTTATTTGTCATTCTCTTTTTAGTAATTATTATTATAAAAATAATTTAGATTTTTTTTTTTGCCTCCAATTGAAAGGGTTTAATTTAAGAGCGGCGTTATTCGACCAGGCCGAGCTTAATACAATTGTGATCCACGCAACTTTCAAAAGCCAATTAGTATACCAAATAGAATAATTGAAATATCAAATTATCTAGGATGGGCCTCCAATTGAAAGGTTTTGATTTAATATCAACGTTACTCGATTCGTGAGTGACTTGACTTGTGAATGAAATGAGCTTGCTTTTTTCAAGTTTTAAATTATTCTATTTGAAAACTAAATAATATTTAAGTTTTGTAATCAAATCAAATAATTACCTACTCAATTCAAAATTCATTGAACCATTGAATCAAAATAAGAGAATTGTTTTTATTCAAAAGGAATTGACACAAACAATTGCTTGCATGTTTTAGTTCGAGACACAATCTGCTGCCACGTGTAAGTAAATTTTTTTTAATGACAGTTAGCTGAACTGGGTTGCTAAATAAGTTTAGGTTGACACAACCCGAATTTCTCTGCAGATTATATAATTCTCTGTGAATCATATGATTAACCTAAAGTTTCATATTTCGATTTAGATTTAAAATGGAAATACTGCTCTTCCTATCTTCCATGCTTAGAGACAGACGTGCGTAGATTTGTAACTACTTTATTGCGCAGAGAAATCAGGGCCAGAGGGAAAGTCTAGGAAAACTAATCACAAAATGTACAAAAATCTTGGAGTGTGTTTGGTTGAAATATTTTGAAAGGAAAGGGAGGAGGGAGGAGAGAAGAGAAGAAATGTTCTCCGCTCATTTGATTAAGAAATTCTGTGAGAAAGGAGTTCCTTCATATTACTCTCCTCTAAGTTAGGGTTTTTTTGAGATGAGCTAATTTTTTTGATTATTTTGTCTTTATTTATTTTTTAATATTTTTATACCTATAGCTAAAAAAAAAAATTTATATCAGATAGTGCTTCCCTTCTAAATTTCGATTGACATCATTGGATTTTTTTTTAAGTTACATTTCATCATATTTTCTTATATATTTAATTATTTATTTTTTATAAAAAATATTATCATTATAATTACTTATTTAAATTTTTTTCATATATTGACAATATGATAGGATGAAAGTAAATTTTTAAACAATCATGCAATTTAAATTGAGGTATAAAATTAATTTCTACAAGAAAAAATTAAAAAAATTTAAATTAATGTATATGAACATAATAGTAAATTATTTATTATTTCCTCTCTCCTCACCTCCTAAACCAAATAAAGAATTATTAAAAATTCCTCTCCTCTAACAAAATCAAACAAGGCAACATTAAAACATGTTTTTCTCTTATCTCTTCTTGAACCAAACACATCTTTTAAAGATAGTATCATCTCAACATTTTGACCCAAAGATGCATGCCAAGTAGTTTTGATATTCATAAATTTGATTACTCTTTTCATATTTTGATTTAGATTTAAAATGGAAATACTGCTCTTCCTCTCTTCCATGCTTAGAGATGGACGTGCGCAGATTTGTAAACATAATATTATACAGAGAAACCAAGCCCAGAGAGGAAGTCTCAATTTTGGTTAGAAAATTTTGAAGGAAAGGGAATTTAAAATAACCCCTCCCCTTTGCTTTTCTCATATTACTCCCCTTTAAATTGAGAATTTTGGAAGATGAGCTAATTTTTTTTTATCATTCTACCCTTATTCATTTTTAAATATTCGTATGCTTATGGCTTAAAAAACTCTTATTCATATCGAATTGTGCTTCACTCTCAAACCTTGATTGACCTTATTGAATCTTTAAAAAAAATTACATTTCATAATATTTTATTACATATTTAGTTATTTATTTTTTATAAAAAATTATTATTATTATAATTAATGGTCTATTTTTTTTTCACATATTGACAATATGATAAGATGAAAGTGAGTTTTTAAAAAATCATACAATTTAAATTGAGGCATAAAATTATTTTCTATAAAAAAAATTACATTAATGTATAGGAATATAATAGTAAATTAGTTATTATTTCCTCTCTCTTCTTCTCCTAAACTAAATAAATGATAATTAAAAACTCCTTTTCTCCCCTTCCCTTCAACAAAATTAAATAAAATAGCATTAAAACTGTTTCCTCCCGTCCCCTCCATCACCTCCTAACCAAATGTACCTTAGATGATCATCTCAACGTTTAGACCCAAAGATGCATGCCAACTAGCTTTGATATTCCTTTTTTTTTCGGTCAAAGTTGGCTTTGATATTCAATTATTCATTATTCATGGCTTATGAGTAACTTGGCTAATTATTAGAATCATCGTTAGTGTTTAAAGTGACCCGACTTTTTTATATCTAGCTTTAAAAAAAAACCTAAATGGAAAGGAACATTTCTTCTTTTATTTTTATTTTTACTTGAGAAACATTTCTAATTTGTTTCTTCATATTTTCAAGAATTTTGTCCCCCATAATTATCCTTCAAAATAAATTTGTCATCATGGATAGCAACAACTTTCAAAGTAGATCATCAATATTTGTTTTCACCTCAAACCTTATCCTTCCTTGTAAAAAAAAAAAAAAGACATACACTTGCACATGCAAACAAACATTTCAATTTTCAACACTAAATTTAAATTTGTAACTTTTTTAAAACGAGGGAGGCAGCACTCTATTAGGACAGTTTGCCGTTGACAAGTGGATCAACATAAAAGCATATACTCTGATAATGCTAAGTTTTTTAGCAAAGATAAAATTGAAGTTGAACTACCACATACAAGAGGAACATGAGAGACCAGAGACACTGGTAAAATTAAAATATTTAAAAAAAAAAACTAACGAAAGATGAACAGGCACGAACACTAGAGACTAGAAAGCGAAGCATAATCATCTCAAATTCAATGCGTACGTTTAGTGCGCCGAATGAGCCATAAGATGTCGCTTCCATGGAATGATTTTCTGGGGCGTCCAACTTTCTGGGTACACTGCACACAAATCCGTTCACAGTTAAGAAACAAAGCAAAGCAAACCCAATTCAATATAATCACTAATCACTATGGACGCATGCGACAGTTGGAGAAACTCACTTGGAAATGAAACGTAGGATTTGGAACTTTTGTCAATACTGACAAACCATCTCGAACAGGAACCACTGTATCGTATATGCAAAAATTGTAGAAATTAGTATCTCAATAAACAATATGAAATAATTAGAGAGTAGAATTATTAAGGATACCTGTGAATTTATTGATCAGGAGAAAATATATATATATATATATATAATTCAATAATAACACCTCAATTATTTCGAGTTTAAATAGATTCACAACTTACTAAACTCTCATAGTTTTTAAAAAGTGTAGAGATAATGAAAAAAGTAAAAACAGTGTCGTATATTTTGGTTATGGACTAATCACTTTATATAGATCAGATCAATAACTACCTTCATAAAATAATTAATTAATTAATCTCATATTATCTTTAACTCAGTTAGTTAAAAGATAGAGAATAATTGATGGTTACAGGGTTGTAGATTAGGCTTTTGCACATTAAACTTCTTGTGTTATTCATCTATAACGATCCATACAAAATGTCAAGATTATAAAGACCAATATATTTTGGGCTCAATATCTAATTAACGCAAATTTATAATATATAAATATTTTATAACTATCCCAACAAAAATTAGGATTTTAGTCTATGTCCATTGTCATTATGCAGAGGAACATAAATATCTTATATACGGCTTACTGGCAGCAGAGGCTGACTTTTTATTCTGAGCTTGCAAGGATTTTTGAGGGCATACTACAAGTGGCTCCATCGTCTCCGTTACATCCTTAGTTTTTGTTTCACAAGGCAGCGTACCTTCAGAATCACTGCGTTAAAAATCATAAATGTCCAACTTAGTCATATCACATGCTGTTATGTTACTCTTTTCATAGTCAGATTTAGTACCTTGATTTTTCACTGCTTGATTTGTCAAGGGTGGGTGCTGATCAATGAAATCATTTGATAAAAAAAAAAAAAGAGCAAATTACGATAAGGGCCAGGTAAACAAAAAAAGTTATGGCAGTACAATAAAACCTCAAAAAGGTGCATAATTTTCTCGTGATTTCTGAGAAAATCAAAGGGGAGAATTGAAGCACTTACTTGATGATAAGTAACGGGAATGGAAACGTGGCAGTTTCTCACTCCATTGCATATTGGTAAGGGCAAGCTTATCAGCATATTGTTCGCACGAAAGAAGTCTCTGCCAAAAGTGACCCACTCAATTTACAGCTCTGTCTTAGACATCTAGTTGGGAACACTAAGCCTTTATTTGTATACAAAGTGAAAATACTAACTTGCTTGAGGGAATTAATGCGCAATTCAGCCTCAGAAAAGGCATCGGTCTGAGAAATAAGGCATTCAAGATTGGCAGACACGTTTCCAAGATGATCTATGACAGTAACCACAGCCCTGCACAAGTACTCTTTGGTGTTCTCCACCACACTGCATCAGCCATACATAGGAACTCTAATTTCTCACTTTGAAGATACCACATATGTAACAACGGGCCAAAGTAAACACGGGCCTAAGCCCATGTGAGGAAAACACAATGGGTTTGGGCTCAATCCCAGCTCAGAGATCTACCCCGAAATTTTTAAAAGTTAGCTAATTAAACAATAATTGTGGAGACGTTTCCAGGGCATATCATAGGTTTAATGGATCCTGAATCTAGCTAACAGCATACTGCTAAAATTACAGAAAGTCATTCAATGGAAGGTAGAAGCTGAAGCCAGAAGGCAGATATTAACGTTCTTGTTACTCACTGTGTCTTCTCTTTGCCTTTCAAGAACGCAGTTTCACAGTAATCTGCTGCATGGTGAAGCTGAGACCTCAGCTCTCTTAGCTCCTAAACATTCACCATGAACAAGCCTTAAGGTTTTCATAATAATGTAAACTACAAGAAGTAAGATAGATATGATTGGGTATTTATATGCTTACGGACCTGAAGAGACTTGTCAAAGTTGATGCTTTCTTCCACCTCGGCTTCTGGGGTTTCTAAGGAATAAGGCTTGGGTGCAGTTTCCATGGAGGAAGATGCAATACTTGAGTTCTGAAAGTTATGCTTATAAACCCCAGGATAGAGTGAAAAAGGCTTGCTTATCTGCTATCTTTTTCCGAGTGGGACTCGTCCATCGGTATAGACTTTTGTCATTGTAGCTCCAATCAGAGAGCGTGAGAGATGAGTTTTTGTGACTACCACAGGCTTGTGAAATCTTACAACAAACAAACAAACAAATTTGGAAAGCATGGTATGGAGGAAGATGACAAGTTAACAGTTTCAGTCCCGTGACATTCTGTTCTTCGCTTTTTGGAGCTTTAATTATTAAAAAAAAAAGCGGGGGTGAGAGTGACTCACAATCCACAAATCACAATGTAATTAAACGACATCGCTGCATTGATGAATTTGAAAATTGAGAATTTTATATGCAATTGTAGCTAAGGACTGTTCAGTAAGATTATCACCTGTAATTGTTTCGAACACGACAATATTGTGTCGCTAATCCTGCAGTGATGCCTCGATTTTAAACCAAGTTTCCAGAAAGATAGAAACAAAACCAATAATTGCATCGCTCTGGTTGCATTTTGAAAAGCACCTGAGTGGTGGAGAGCTCATTGAGTTTAGCTTACACTTCACCTGCAAAGCTTCATGTGAAATACAATGTGGAGCATATGATTCTGCACCCCCACAAAGATGCCTCGCCCGGAAAACCGAAATTAATTGAGTAAATATTTATTTGATTTTTAGTTGGACAAATTTGTCAAAATCAATTTATTAAAAGTTCATTTATACTAATGAGAGTTGCGTTTGGTAGAAGGAATGAGTTCCTCATAATATAGTATACTAAAAGTCAAACTCTCACTAAAAGATGTGTTCACATTTATAATCTAACTATGCCTTGAACAAAGTCTCCTCTAATAAAAAAAACTTGTAAGGGTAATTAAAAGAACTTGTTTGTAAAAAAAATTATTTATATTTGAATATGTTTTTTAAAAAAACCAATTGATAAATTGAAAATTATGTAGATAATATAAAAATAGTTAAAATTTAATTTCAATTCACTTTTTAAAAGTTAAAAGCTATTAGAAGTTGTATTTATCAAATAAACCTTTCAAGTGGCATGTCAAAAATGCTTTTCAAATGGATTGAAAAAAGTTGTATCTAAATAATGGATCACACCTAAATTGATTGAATGGGCTATTATTATGGACTACTTCACCCAGATATGCTAACATACGCTGAAATTATGCAGTGGTTTGGGAGAAAGCGACTGGGACAGAAGACAGAGAGTGGAAGAACATATCTAGGATTTGCATTGGACCAGGTACTTTTCTCCCCTAACTTTAATATTTTTAAAATGTCATGTTGATTAATAAACATGATACTAAGGATTTATAGGCCTGCTTAGATTTACCTTGTGTAAACTATCAAGATTTGATTTATTATTCAATTTTATGTTGTTTTCATATTTCTGGTGTTATGCTTGTGTTATGATGAGAAAAGCACAACCCTTTAATTTATATGCAGCGAAAATAAATTATCATTCACTTGCTAAGATTGTCACTAATAGCAATACTAACACATCATCATCTTGGCCCTTATCATTATGCTCACCCTTCTTATCCTTATTCTCCTTTTTTCACTGAGAGTTTTTTTTTTTTTAATATGACATGTCTTTTGACAGTAATGACATTTTATTTCTTGCATCTAGATTTAGACTTACTTTTATTATTCTCTCTACCATCCTTTGATTCTCTTTTTTTATTTCACCTTTTATTTTCTGTGACAAGCACCTCAACCTAAGATGAAAAACCATGTGCCTTCCTTCTCATCTCTTCATTAATACCCTGGAATTAGTAGACTATTTAGAAGCCATAGTCCTAAAATCTCGTCTACAAACTTGATACCTATTTCTGACAACTAATGTGGGAGCCCTTGAAATTCATTTAAGTGATTAGAAATAAAAGTCCCTTTATTGTATCTCAAATTCACTAAACAATTCAACAAACATAATTTGTTATTTCCTGACTTAGAGGCACAAAAGAACTCAATCTTCTCTCACAAGGTTATCGCATGTGTCTCATTAGCAATGTAGTTATATGCAACCCGCTCAGTTTATGTCTCCATCACCACCACCTTTTTATGTGCAACTCGCTTTGATGTAAATGATGCCTCCTAACATGCCGAGAGGGCACGTTCAGATATTTTAGAAAACTAGGAATATCTCTATGAGACCTTTTTGATGTATTATATTAAGAATTACTTTAGTATATTTTTGGTGTATGTGAAAAAAATTCCTTCTCTGACACTTATTATGAATCTCTAGGAAATTCTCAAAAAGCTGACTAAATGAATTTTGGTGGTATGTAAACAAATAATAGATATGATTTGACCTAATTATGTGCATAGGCAGTTTTCTATGATTTAATTTGTAGTTTAATTTTTTGTTTTTTTCAAGAATCACTTTCGAGTTTCTTGCCTAATGATTTAATCATTTGAGAGTCACTCTAAAATTTTGTTTAGTGATGATCTATGATTTATGCATAAGAGAATCATCCTAAGTTTATATTTTTTTTTTTGAAAATATTTCTCTATCATATATTCTCTAGATCCAGCAATACAAATTACAAACTCATCTTGAGTTTGAGGGAGTTATTGAGATAAAAAAAAAATTCTATTAATATATATTATCCATTAAAATTTATTTTGTTGAAATTTAGAGAATATTTTGTATTTATTAAATATTATTATAATATTTATTAATTATTATTAACACATTTTTCCGGTCTCAATTTCTTTTTCTCTTGACTTCTCAATAGACAATATATATTAATATAATAAATCCCTAACTCAACAGTTTTAAGGGGTGTTAGAATATCACTTTCGGTAAACTAACTTCCACTAAACCTATGTTTGGGAAGAAAAATCTTCTTTTTGAAAGCCCATCCACAGAACCTAAAAGCCATGGAAAAGTCAGTTTGGATAACGCAAGAGTTGTTTGTTCTGTTTTAAAAGTCAGTTTAGCAAATGCACTTTTAACAAATTGGAAGGTTTGGTTTTGAATTTGTCAAAAATAAATTCAGTAAAAATTTATTTAATAAAAATTAGTTATTTAAATAAAATTTATATTTGAATACATTTTTTAAAGTTGGTGTGGCAAACTGAAAGTTGTTTAAATTAATAAAAATTTATGCTTTTAAAATATACTTTTAAATATACAATGACAAAAAAGGACAATAATTTATAATAATTGGTAATTTTTATTATACAAATATAATATATTAAAATATTTAAAAAATAAAAAATTAAAATAATAAAAAATTCAATATGTTAAATAATAGGAATAAAAAATATATAGTTTAATACTAGAAAAAATTAAAACATAATAAGGGTATCATGGTCATTTATAAAAGTAGATACAAGCAACTTCCAATCCACAAAGAAAAAGGCAAATTCACATTTCATCCGCACATCTTAACCCATATTTATAATGAATATATGTTTGGTTATTTATATAGGTAATTTGTCAAAAAATTACCTGTAATTTTTTTTATATAAAAATCAAAGGTGACATGATCATATAAAAAAATAATGGATCGCATTTGAAAAGTAAATCTTCAAAGTTAAAGGAAATTAAGTTGAACAAATTTACATTCAATGATTTTTCCAAAGCACATTCATAAGATTTTTTTTTTACATCCAAACAACGTTTAATTTTCAAAAAATGTCAAAAACACATTTTAAAAGTTAAAAGAAGTTACCAACCAGACCCTTGGAGTCCAACGTTTGGACTTGTGAACAAGAGAAGTTGTTGTTGCCGGTTCATTTGTTTGCTTTTTTTGTAAGAATTAAAAAAATGTTGTTGAATAGTTTTGAAAAGCATATATATATATATATATATATAAGAAATTCTTAAGTAAATTAGTGCGGTATGCCTTGTTATTTATAATTTATCTAATAAAAATATGATATTTAAATTATATTAAATATAAATTAATTTTGATATTAATGATAGTAAAAAGAGAAAAGGCAAGAAATTAAATTTGCACTCTGTTATAAAAATAAAATTAATATAAAAAAATCACGTGAGATTTTATTTAGATTACTTGAAACATTTTAATTAGGTAGATTACATATGACATGACGTGCTCAACTTACCAAAAAATTTCTCCATATATATATATAGATAGCAAAAATATCCCTACCGTAGTGTAATATTATGCTTCTAAAATTTTATAGAAGTGCAATTTGATACAAAAAATATAATAGTAAGCTTTTACAAAATATTTGAAACTTGCCTTGATATTGAAAATCACAAAAAAGTTGAGTCTATTTTACCAATCAATCAATTCTTTAATTAAAATATAAATATAAATGTATGAATTGAATATGATAAGATTTAATAAAACAATTAAAAATTCACTGTAAAGTTTCGTATGAAAATTTAAAATCATAAAATTTGTAAAATTTCAAAAATTATTCTAAAGTTACAGCACAGTTATTGAAATGGTCAATAAAAAAATGGATCAAGGTGCATTTTTATTTTTGAAATTTTAAGGTGCATTTTTATTTTTGAAGTTTTTTCAAAGAGCGTTGGATATTTTATACTAATAAGTGAGGTAATTTTTCTCTTAAACTATTTTTCAAAGGCAAAAAACTCCTTCTGTTAATTAGCTATTAATTTTTTGTGGTATGTGCATGGCGCCCATGCATACTAACAAGTAAGACTCTAACCATATTATTTTATATTAATTAACTCCTAAACTCTTTTTTAAAAGTGCTAGGTACTCTAATTTTTTTTTCTAAGAGTGTTGGGTATTTTGAAATTTTGTTAAAATAAAATTTAATAAATATATAATAAAATATTAGATATTAATATTTAAACGTTTTTATTTATAAATATTCATTTGAAATTTATAAATTATTTTTTAAATATTAAAATCTCAAACTAGTTTTTCAAAAATTTATAGATAATTTATAATATTTTATATATCAATCATATTTTTAATATTGATTGAGTTTTTTTAAATTTTTTAAGTTATTCTCTGTAATTTTTTTGATCACCTAATGATCTTCCTTTAAAATATTACATCATCCAATTTAATATTTTAATGCATTTGATATTTTGTAATTTTTTATTAAAAATGAAGGCGATAAACCTCCAAATTAATTGAGAGTTTTTTTTTTCACTCATCTCTCAATTATTTTCTTGTTAAATAACTCTTTTTGTCATACATTAATGGAACGAGCGATATCTTCTAGATAAGTATTTTTGTTGGCATGTGATTGGTCTTGATATGTCATATTTTTTATTTTACCCCTAACACTATAGTGTTTAAGAGTATTAAATTTAAGTGATGCAATATTCTGGAGGAAGGTCATTAGTTAACCAAATAAATTATAGAAAAGAACTTAAAAATTTAAAAAACTTAACCAATATTAAAAATATAAATAAGTTTTAATCTGTACAAAAGGCATAACGATCTAGACACTTTCTTATAGAGATGTTCAAAGATTGATGTATAAACAAAACAGGTCATCTATAAATTTATAAAAAAACTAATTTATACTATTAATATTTAAAAAATAATTTATAAATTTTGAATGAATATCTATAAATAATTAATGTTTAAATCATTAAATATGAAAATATTTAATATTTTTAAAATATGTATTAAATTTTATTTTAACATGATTTCAAGATGCTTAGCACTTTTAGAAAAAAATTTTAGGGTGTTCAACATTCATAGAAAAAGAATTTAAGGATAAATTAACACAAAATGACATGATTAGAATTTTACTTGTCATTGTGCGTGGGGCTCACGTACATACCACATTAATAGAAAACAAAAAAAAAATTAATGTTTAATTAATTGAAGGGGTTTTTTTTTCCTCACTTTTTTGCTCCTCAAAAAAATGTTAAAGAGGAAAACTGTCATATTCATTAATGCTGGGTGACCAACGCTCTTACAAAAAAATTTAAGAATAAAAATGCATTTTAACTCTAAAAAAAATCTATGAAGGTAGATGGCTTGATGGTTTTGCAAGGGGTCTGGGACAGTGTAATGGCGAACAGGATGAGATGTGGGGATTATTGGCTGAATGACAGGTATGGCCTTGATTCAACAGTTTGAAGATAGAATACTGAACATCGAGACTTACTCAAGCTATTATGGCTTCGTGTTTAAACGAGTTCTTGCTAAATGGGGATAGTGAGAACATATTCGTGAAGAGGGCAACGATGTTTATGGAGGATAGGGAGTTTCGAGTCTATCAGATTGATATAGAAGGAAACAAATGTGCTCATTGGCAAACCAAGCGGAGCTTCCTTCAAGCCAATTCCATCCAGCTGCTAAGAGACCCTCCTTTGGGTTTTAATTAGCTGGTTGTATAGGGATGTTTTGGGGGAAAGTTGCCCCAAGAGTTTTTATGTTTTGGTTTTGTTGTCTGGGCTTTATGCCCTGTTTCTGATTTAAAAAAAAAAAATCTCAACTACTAAATAGTTTATTAGTAGAGTTGTTTAGTTTATAACCCATCCGCTCTTCTTTATAAAATATTTTTTAATAAAATTATGTATAACAATAAAATTTATTAAATGAATTTTATAATTTTTATTTTTTTTAAAACATAAATATAAGTTTCTAAAAACACTCTTTATTTAGCATAACCTTGTAAAAATAGAGAAAAAAAATATAATAAGGAGTAAAAAGTAATATTGAAACAAGTATAATTAATAAAAACTTATTTTTGTTAAAATAACTTATATTTTGAAACATCAAATCATCTCCAAAAGTACTCCTCCAGAGTTTTAGTCTAAAATATAAGCAGATTTTGATAAAAGTTCGCATGCCAATAACATCTTTATTTTCATGAAAAACGTATATTATTTTTCTTTTTACCCTTATTTTTAATTATTAATGCACTCTATGATGGTGAGGAATACATTTACATAAATATTTAGATCAATAAGTATAAGCAATAAAATGAATTTTTTTTACATATATTATGTTACTTATATTTTGAATTAATATTGGTTGAGAGGAAGTGCTTATATTTTGAATTGAATGGGGTATTTTGTAAACTGGAATAGAGGGATTAATAGTTAACAACTATTCCCTCTAATCTTATTTATAAATTAGGGAGAGAAGATTTTTTTTTTTTTCTATTTATAAGTCATTTTGTTAGATTGTCAACAAAAATTTTCCTTTCTATCTTCTCTTGAATGTTGGAAAAAAAGAAATATATTGTTAAAATATGTATATTTAATATGAACAAATTTAAAAACTTGTTAAATTTTAATATAGAATTAATAAATTTTAAAGTTTTTTTTTAATTTTAATAAAATATGTTAAAAATAATTTATAAATAGAGTCAGAAGAGTATCTAATAATAATTGATAACTTTAGTAAATTCAAAATATAAGCATCTTTTAACAATAATCTGCATAATAGTGAAATTCTTATTCTCATAAATAAATAAATAAATATTATTATTTGTGCCTTTAGTTTTAATTTATAATAGGTGAGAAGAAGACCATAAACTTACAGATACAAGAATATTAGTTAATAAATAAAAGGAGTAAAATGAGAAATTGTTTTTATAAGTAGCAATACGTTGCTTATATTTTGAGCTGGATAAGTTAAAAGAAAATGCTTACGAGAGAGAGTATTTAACCACTATTCAGCAATAATTAACTTTAAAATAATTTTATGAAAATTTTTTATACTTTTTTTTGGCTTGTCTCAGTAGAATTATACAATAATGTTTAATTGTAATGAATAAGGTCTGTGTCTGTAAAAATATACTTAATAGATTAGATGACCCCAAAGCGCAAAGAAAAATTAAGAGTGATTTCGGGGTTCACGATGATTAACCTTTTTTCTCCCTCATTTGGAGTTTTGCCATTTCACATTCTCTCTTTGACTGGATTACAGTTGCAGAGGTGAAGCAATTGCACTTTTGAATTCTCAAACGGCGTCACTCCCGGGGACTGCCGGTGATGGGCGATGGCCAATCGTTGATGGTAATGGCCAACAGAGACAAAGATCGAGAGCTTCTCATCCCTGTGGCAGATTCCGCCGATGAAGATGCCGCGTCTAAGCCTTCATCTTCATCATCGTCTTCGCATCATGCTGGCCGTGAGGTGATCTCTTCCTACGTTATTTTAGGGTTTTAACAGTTCATATGCGCTTACCTGTCTTGCTAGTTTGGCAAATACAAAAAAGGATAAACAATTTAACCATGGTTGACTTTTCGTGATATCTCACGGCCACCGTCGAATTGCTTATGCCGGACTGCACCTCGTTCAGGAAATTTGTAGTAGTTCCATTGACTTGGATTAGGACTATTTTCTGGTTCGGAAAGATTATCGATCAAGGATGAATTTTAATGGCAGCTTCTTTTTCTACTAATTTGGTAATCCCTTCCAATTCTGAAGTCAGTTTATTGTACATTCAGAACCTGCAATCTTCTTCCTTAATTTTTCACTGAACGAAGCTATGTTTTGCTAAGATAGAAGCACTCTTTTAAGCAACCATAGCACGAGTTTAGCTACAGGGTCAAACCTCCATTTATTATTTCAAAGGCAATTGTAGTGAAATCAATTGCTTGTAAAATCTGTCTTCATGGGGTTTATAGAGCATCAAATGGGATATCTTCTCTTTCTTTCTTTCTTTTTTTTTAACTAAAAAGGGCATGGGATCAATTAATGGTTATGAGGCATCTCTGTATTGTTCTTTTGTTTTTTTTTTTTTTTGGCATTACCAACCCATCTCTTGTAGCAGAGCATTATAGTGGAAGGAGTAGTGCTCTGTGTAATGCCTTACATTTTAAACTAAAATCATAATTGAAATTGTCAAAGAAAAGCTCAATTATAAGAAACACTCTGCCCGCTATTCCTTGCTTGAGCTAGAGTCTTTAACTGGAAAATGTTCAACCACTGGTGAAGTAACCATCCTCGTAAAGTGAATATCTCTGTAATATTACCAAGGATGTTACTGGAATATATCTTTAGTAGTTGAGGGAGTTTCTCAATGGTCTTTAAGTTTTCATAATTAATTGATATTACAAAGCCAAATTAGGCTCAAACGAAATAGTTTTTATGGTAATTTGTTACATTATATCTTGAGCACATGAAGTTTATGACTAAAGAATGAATTGTAGAGATTTAATGTTGTTCGATTGCCTGTTATTTTTCTATGTTTTCTAAATTAAAAGTGCAATACCATGTGTGTGGATGCAAAACAAATAATTAATAATAGAATAAATTTAACATGTCAGCTTATAGATTTCAGTTGCTTAATGTAGTATGCTGTATGCTCTGTACATCCTTAAGCTATAGAGAATTCCATTTAACTAACATATTATAATCATTGGTCTTATTACTACTAGACTTGTCCTCACAAATTGAACTGATTTTTCCATTTCACAAAAATATAATATATAATAAAAAGTTCCCTATCATATTTGCTCACTTCTTCACTCAAAAGTCTTAGTTTGACTGATTGCCATGCGTTGTTTCATCATTTTGTAGACTTTTTCCAAAGTTGTTAGGAGCTGGGCATCAAAAAAATTCATGACAGGCTGGTGCGCGATTCTTTCTTTAATCTGATATATTGCTACTTATTGCATGGCAAATTCTGACATACACTCAATGCTCATACTCCTACCTTTTAATTATTATGTTGTTGTCTTCTGACGAGACATATCATTTGCAAGCTTTGCATTCTCTAAAATCTCAGTTTAGCTTCAATTCTTGAGCCATGATATAGTTCTGTAGGCATCTTGTTGCTTATCTTTTATGTGGTAGTATGGTACAAACTGCAAGTTATAGTACGTAATAATCATAATCATTTTATGGTTGGGAGCTCCTACAAACCTGCTTGATTAGGATGAGAGGTGTGTTTTTAATAATAATCTATTCAAAGTTATACTCATTATTTAATGTGAAATCCTAATTAAATTGAATCCTAGGTTATGTGGCATATATTATCAAATGACTGATTGAGATTTACTAATTTCATTTTAGCCCTATATGCTGATTCCCAAATAATTGCACTGTGTGTTTGAAATACTTTGAATTGCAGCATTGCTTGAATTGAGATCGCATTTAAAAGTCAAGTTGATGGAGAAATTACTTACACACAAATGATTGAAGATATTAGAATTAGAATACTTGTTGTCAAGAATGTTTCTTCTTCTGCATTCTCCACTGTTCAAGTTTATACTCTTATAAATCTATGATTTGTGAATAATTGCCTCATGATTACTTGTCCTACCATTTCGGATCTCATACTGCTTTAGCCTTAAAGAATTCATGAAATCATTTTGTCTTTGCCACAGTTTCCTTATTTTGCATCACAAAAATCTTGAATGTTTGGAGCTTTGGACAATAAATAAAGCAAATGAAAAATAAGATGTTTTCTGCCATGTTTAACGGTTTTTACACACCTTTTTCTTTTATGTCTTGTCTGTCCTCTTGTCATGCTTTAACCAAAGCTACTTGTTTTATAACTATTGAATTGCAATGTCTACAGTCCCCACAGCTAAACCAATTGCTTGCAACATATAGTGACATGGGCAACTAAATGAATGTATTTCACACATGTATCTGTGTCTCATGGTGATAGCTTGTGGTTGGTTATTTTGCAGTGTCATTCTATTTCCAATTGCAATTACCTTCTATTTCACATGGTGGTTTATTCATTTCGTGGATGGATTCTTTTCTCCAATCTATGTTCAACTTGGAATTGATATTTTTGGTAAGTGCCTTTAAATTTATGGTGCCTCATCATATCTCTTTACCTCTAATGTACCAAATGTGCATGATGAACTATGAGTTGATGTTTGGATGGATGGATTTGGATTTTAAATTTAAAATCTCACATTTTAATTTCGTATATTTAAAATCCTTTGTTTGGGTAGTATAACTAATTTTAATTTTTAATCCTTTGTTTCAATTTGAAACTTTGGTGTGTGGAAGAAAACGGTTTAACACAGAGACAGAGATAACTAAAAGAGGAAGGTGGGAGGGGAAGAGGACAAGGGCTAAAATGAGAAAGAGGATGGTTGAGATTTGAAATAACTATGGTAGATTGGGCGTTTGAAATTCTAAAAGAATCTAATAAAAAAAAAATCCAAATCCATGCGAAATAATTGATTTGGCCCAAATCCAAATCCCCACTAATCCAAACATAACATGAGGGAATTTACAGTTCTGATTTGGAAAAAGAATTCTCTAAAATGTACACTACGCTTTAAAGAGTAAAATACAGAATGAATAACTATCAATGACAAAAATTAATTGTTCATATTTGTGTAAGGGACGGTGTACCAGTCACTGGATAACTTATTCCCTTGATTTTCTCATCAAGGATAAGTACCTGCTCTATATTCTCTATAGCGTCCCCTACATTGTGGAAGAGCCAAATCCTTTTGACTTCTGTAAGCCATAGATTTTGTTGTTTTTTCTATGGACGAGATTTTTTAGGAAAATTATTTTCTTGGTGTTGTTAAAAAGATGCTTTTTAGTAAATTCTGGTAGACATTAGGATGAATATGAACTCAATATTCTTAATATTCATTTCTTGTTAATGTTTTACTGTATCCAGCCCCCTTCATCCTTGCTCCCTTTTTTAAGTTAAAATGTGCAAATGGAGAACAAAACTGGTGGAAGTGATTGTTTGGAAATTATTAAGATGATTGAATGTTGTTATCTCTAGTATTCACCTGATGGGTTGAACATGATATTAATGTCATTTTCTGATTCTTAATTAGGTCTTGGATTTGTAACTTCCATAACTTTCATCTTCTTGGTTGGGGTTTTCATGTCATCATGGTTGGGTGCATCTGTCCTGGGTCTTGGCGAGTGGTTTATTAAGCGAATGCCTCTTGTTCGTCACATTTATAATGCCTCTAAGCAGATTAGTGCTGCTATCTCACCAGGTGTGTTACTGTGTGTATGTAGACACCTTACTCTTTTGTAAGGTACGAGTGCAAAGATGTTGATTGAGAACAATATTAATGTATTTGCTTTCACAGATCAAAACACACAAGCCTTCAAAGAAGTAGCCATCATTCGTCATCCACGTGTTGGTGAATATGCATTTGGATTTATCACCTCATCTGTTGTTCTCCAGGTTTCTAAGGAGCTTTTTGTTTGATGTGTTTCATGTTTGGAAAATATTCTTGCAGCAATTGTATCAGTTTCTGAACGCATGACATGATATTGCTATGTAGTATGGATCTTTAGGTTGTATTATGCTTATTGATACTAATATGCTGTGCAAATCTTTGTCTTGTATGGTGCGATGTACTCATCCATATAGTACACATATTAGATGTACTAATTAAAAATACTTAATCAGTAAAGCTGTCAAATTTTAGCATTAACGTGGACTGTGGTTGCACTGTAGGAGTAAGAATTTGAGTTGTTGACTTGTTGTGACTTGCTGTTTACCTTTCTTTCATTATTCTCAATTCTCATGCTTTCAGTTGCTGTATAGCCTTTTAAGTTCTTTTACTGGTGTAGCGTATCACAAAAGTCAAAACTCAAATCCAACATGACAGTTTGAGTTAAATACTATTTCTTTACATGATCCATTTTATGTTATCACTAGTGCTTATCAGAAGTGCATTTTTAATGTTAACTCGTGATTTATCAAAGTTGGAGTTTATGGTAATTTTCAGATGAGTTATCATTTGATGTATTCAGTCGACATTGGCGAGAATGGTTTCACATCAATTTGTATAATTTATATCTGGTTACATTTTTAAGCATTGTTGAAACTGAAATTTTTCACATATGCAGAACTATTCTGGAGAGGAGGAGCTATGCTGTGTCTATGTTCCAACGAATCATCTTTACATTGGTGATATATTTCTTGTCAACACGAAGGATGTCATTAGACCAAACTTATCAGTCCGTGAAGGAATTGGTGAGTGATTCTAGCTTTATTATAGCTTCTTTAACTTTGCATGCAATTATTATCTCTGAGTAATGCCCCAAATATTTTTGAGGTTGTTAATGCCACTCCCTTCAAAATTGGAACGAAGACGTTTTCTGTCTTAAAATTTCTTCTGGATAACATGCCGAAAGAGAAAGCAAGAAACGTAGTTATGGACCAACTTCTTGAGTATTTCAAGTTTCACATGATGTGCTAGTTTTGGTTGATGGGGCAGAATTTGCTTTATCTTGTTCAATGCTAAAAGGACAGTAAAAAAATAGCCTAGAATATGTAATTGTATTTATCCCAGTTGTGTTAGCAAATATACTCCCCTAGGAAGTAGCTAAATTTGTTTCCAAATTGCAGAAATTGTCGTATCTGGAGGCATGTCAATGCCACAAATACTATCAACGCTGGATCCTCGTGTCACGCCAGTGGATGGAATTAGACCTGCCACCTGATAGAAGCAGAGGGTGAAGAAAATAGGAGTTGTTACCTTTTTATTTTTATTTAATTTTTTTTTTCCAAGTACGTTGGTTTGATATGGAGCAAAGATCAATGCAATATTTGAATTTAAATTAGTTATTGCTGAGGATTAGCGATCAGATTGTGATGGCGTTATATACAGGTAACTTTTGTTTCTGTGCAGATAGAAATTAGAATTTGGTGCTCTTTTGGAAATGTAATTTGGGTGGTGACACTGACACGGGCATTACAAATTGTTAACCATCTTCTCATAATTCCGCGAAACCGGACCTGTTCGTTGAGACAATTCCGTAGTGTCGATTTCTGGTTTTGTCAATCTATCTCTTATCAAGCAGGTTATGGCTGGGTTCGTGTTGTGCAGTTGGTGAAATTTAAATGGATTCAAATGTCCTAGATATCACCTATTATTCTTACTCGGTAACTTTTTTATGAAATTTTTTTACCCGGGAGTCAGATATTCAATGATAGTGTCACTTATCTGGGCAACAGAAAGAAAGTAAAGAAAATATGGTGTAACTTGGAATGGTAACCGCTCACATGTTCCGAACAATGCTGGATAAACCCTATAAAAGTTGTTAGCTTAAAGAAAATCATACCAAATAAATTAATAATTAAGAAAGTACTCAAATGAAACATGTTCGTTATACACACACACACACACACACTTCCATCTAAAGTGCGTTTGAGGGTTGTTGGCACCCCAAAATCATGTCCTCCTTCATGTTAAGGGTCCAACACCTTAAGAATGATCAAACATTGATTTTGTGGCAGATTCACAATTCATGAGAATAATAAGATTGATAAAAATTAAATTAGGAGTATGATTATCGTGAAATGTAATTGTAATTTTTAAGAATAATATCCATTGAATTTAATGCAAAAAATAATTAAATTAAAGTGTATTTTAAAAATGGTTAAACTCATGCAGAAGGTCGGCTCGCCGCGCTCCACATTCTAGAGACCGAGTCAAACGCATCGGCTTAGTAAACCCTAGCTGCCAGAAGTTCTTTATAAGCACTACCGCTACATCGCGGTTTCTAATCACCGCCTTCCAGCTTTCCTTTCGTCTTTTCGTTAGGGTATTTAGCTTGCAGTCGATGATCACTCCTCCTGATTCCTATTTCTTTCTTCTCCCGTTCCTTTGTTTCACTGTTAAGAGTGTCTTTATTGAACCTATCTTCGCTTTTAGCACCTAATTGTTTGATTTGTTTGTTAGCGGAAAACAAACGGGACAGTGACGATTCTGATGTTAAGGTCTCGTTCGTCGTAATTGGGCTCACAGGCCTTGCCGACCATCCTGATATATCACCACCCATATTCCGAGTCCCATCGCCGATGTAAACAAATGTTTACTGTAAAGATTTTGTAGCTTGCTGTCTTAGGGTTTTGGGCTTAAAAGGCATTTGATTGTTATTTTTTAAACGTTTGCATTACACAGATTTATCGACCAATGATTATATCATAAAAAAATAGACAAGCATATGTCTGAAATTATTCATGTAGAACAATCTAATCTCTATGAGGCCGATAAACAGTTCTTGTATTTTCTTGTGGCTTTGGATTCGCCTCCTAATTAATTTGGCTTAATGTGTTACATGGGAGATGCTGATTTTATATTTTATTATTTTTCCTTAGTATTTTTTTCTTTATTTTTTTTCCCTTTATTATTACATCTGAGAATAGGGTATCTCATCGTTTTCATAGTAAGCTTTAAGTTGTGCTTCTCTTCCTCGCCAATGACGAAAGTTATGGTATCATGCAATGTATGAGACTTCATGATTACTATACCAACTACTGCCTTCCTTCTGAGGCCATTGATTTCTCTGTTAATCTTTCTCTTTGTAGCTTTTGATTATCTTTTAGAAAGTTTATTGCCTGTTCGAATTTGAAGGTTGCGATTAAGAATTCATGATAGGGTCATGTGATGAACAGAAGCATAGTTCAGATGACATTTTATGTGATTATTTCAGTTTTTAAGTCTTTCGCTCCTATCTGATGACCCAATTTTTTTAAAAAATGTGATACTGTTGTCGTTAATTGGTGTTTTAATTTTTAATTTTTTGCCGTGATCCATCTAGCTTGCCTGATGTTCATCTCTTTATTTTTTACACTCTTGCCCCCCTCTAAACATAGGTGCCATTTGGGACTTTGTCTGCCCCTTTAGCAGTGTCAGTGAGTGCTTTAGGGATGAACACGTCCCAGATATTTACCCATCCGAATCACTTTGTCAGCTCTTGTTGTTGATTGCTTGCTGATCATTATAGGATGGAATATGTACCGACTCCTGAATTGATGAGTCATATTTGTTTTATTATATTTAATATCATCACTGAGGACATGTTTAGAGGCTTGTTTCTCAAAACACTTGCAGTGGTTGCCTGAGAGGTGTTACCTTCGCCGGGTTTGAGAGCTACTGCTGCTGTAATCCATCCTTGCATGTCTGAGACATATCCTCGTGTGATGTCCCTTTATATGCCTTTAAATTGCATCCTGTTTTTTGATTTCTTATTGCAAATTTGTCTCGATTGTTATTTCTGTTTAGTGATTTGTGTTTGCAAGTTACTATTAGCTTTTTTTTGAGTGACTTTCTGTGTCCTTCTTCTGATAGTGTCTTAAGTTCATCTCTAATTTTCAGGCTTTGGTCAATTTCTAAGTTGTCGTTTATTTATGTGAATTGAATGTTCAATGATGACAAATCCAAAGGCTTGTTTCTCAAGACATTCGCAGTGGCCGCCTAAGAGCTTTCGCCTTCGCCAGGCTTGAGAGCTAATGCTGCTCATATCCTTCCTTGGATGTCTGAGACACGTCGCTCCATACGGTGCTTTTCTCATTTGTTTTTCCCCCTTCTCCAAATAGAAACCAATAGTTATGTGGCCGTGCAAACGTTTTTGTTGCGTGAGTTGCTCTTTTTTTATTCTATCGAGCGTCTTGATACCCTTGTGATTGTATGTAGAACCTGACAACATATAAGATGATGTTCTGTGAAGTATGATCAAATTTGATGGTACTGGTCAAGGGAATTAACTGCGCAATGATGACAAATCCCAAGGCTTGTTTCTCAATCATTCGCAGTGGCCGCCTAAGAGCTTTCGCCTTCGCCGGGCTTGAGAGCTAATGCTGCTCCTATCCTTCCTTGGATGTCTGAGGCATTTAGTAAAAACATGCATGTTTAAAATTAATAACCTAATTAATTAAAATGTTTTTACAATTATATTTTTGAATATTTTCACTTTTTTTAGCATTGTATTACTAGGTGATGGCATATTGTCAATAAAAAATTATCTTGTTTTGTGCCTGATCAGTAAATAAAAAATCAGTGTGTCAAGCCGGGAGTCCTGTTTTTGTTTCCCTGGGTGTTGGGGCTTTTTGTCCTGGCCAACGTCAAGTTTGGTGTAATTGTTAACGTCGAGGTAATTGCCCAGTTGTAAACTTGTACCCAAATTCAAGGGCTTGTTTTCACGGTGGCCGCGGGAGAGCTTGTGCTGTTGCAATCCAAGAGTTTAATGTTGAAGCCTGTTCTGTTTATTGTCAAATTTTTTTTTGGGTAGTTTCTGTTAAGTTTTATGGCGTTGGGTACTAGAGATACTCTCGGGTTTGAAATGGAAATGGTTTAGGTTATTGGTGACACATTCACAGCTGGGAAAATCACTTCCTTATATGGTATCTTCAACTCCGGTGTAGTGAAACCATTTTGTATATTTTTAAGTGCTGAAACCATTTAGTTTGTATGCTTGCATTTTGTGGAGTTCGGTGCTAGATATAATCCCTGCCCTAAGGAGAATCGTTTGCCTTAACGAATTTTACTTGTATATCTGCGATAACCATATTATTTGTACGCCAAGTATGGTCAAGATAAAATTTCATGATATAATGAGCACTAATCTAAGTAATCAGTAATCAACATCAATGTAAATAAACTATTATAAGCTATTTTGATATTTCTAACTTTTACAACAATATTTTAATTTTTAAGCATGCTCTTGCAAAATTCAAAAGCTAGCGCTCAATAAAAATTTGAACGGTGTAAGCTGACCATTTAAAGTACTAATTCGAGGACACTAGTCAGAACTGAACTGATCTGCAATATTTAAATGTTGGCGACCAATATTTTTTGTCATTTAATATATTGCACTGTCAATAGTATCTTTCATAACGTTTCCCTTGTAGCAGCAATTCAACAAATGCCGTTGACACCAGCATTCCGCAAAAATTGTAGGTGTAAATTGAAAAATCCATGAATGATATCTACATTTTTCCTGGCTATACCTTATCACACTGGAGCAAATTCAACGTATTCACACAGAAGTTTGGGAAGTTTGGGTCTCATGTTAGACCGATATGAGATCATCTCACAATTGCAAGTTTCCTCGTCAGCTTATTGCCACTACTGTGCCAGAGCCAAGGAAGGGCTTAACAAGCCTGTTTCGGATTTGTTGCCCATTTACAATCAATGACTGCACTCTGAAAGAGCATGTACGAGGTACAACCATCGAAATGGTAGCTTGCTGCATGCTGAAGGATGAAAACCCATGTCTAAAAACTATCATCTGACTTCTCATGCTGCCGTTGGAAGATCTTTCTTGATGAGCTACCACAGTTTCTTTAGGTAATTGCAATACATTATTAGAGTGAGGAGCACCCAGTTTTTGTTTCTCAAGAACCCTCCCCAAACTCTGCACCTGTAGTTCTTCCCCTCCAAAATTTTGATTTACTTCAGATTCTTCTGAACCATCTAAAACTCTCTTGGCTTCTTTAAATAAACCAATGGCACGCCATGCATCAGCAACCAGGTTCTTGGTTGTCATTTTAGGAGAAACACCCCTATCTTCCATTATTTTCAGCAGGTCCTCTGCTTTCCCCGGTTGTTTAGCTTCTCCATACCCCCAAATTAGGGTTTCATAAGTCTTTAGGTTTGAGGGAATTCCCATTTCACACATTTTATCATGAACTTGAGAAGCTCGGTCCATTTTTCCATCAGCACACCACCCACTGATGATGGTAGTGAAGAGAACGACATTTGGTTGCACGCCAAATTTGCTCATTGAAGTCAGAAGAGCCCCTGCTTTTCCCGGAAGTCCAGCACGTACATAACCTTTGGCAAGGATGCTAAATGCATGGATATCAGGCTCTATCCCAGCCTTCACCATGTCATTGAATATCTCCTCACAATTGTCCATAAGCCCTGCTGAGCTCCACGCATTCATAATGGTGCTAAATGTAACTACATCTGGTTTGACCCCAAATTCTTCCATCAATGTCAGGGCCTGAACAATTTTACATGTGTAACTTCAATGTTTCATGACAATATTAGATACGTAAAGAAGTGCAAGCCATCAAGCCACACACTAACAAACAGAAAGAATTCATAACAGAATAAGTTATGGTTATATTACTTCAGGGCATTTGTCTTAGTCACCATAGTGGAAAACCAGAAAGACCTCTGGGTTATAATTATCCATAAGATTCAGAGGACTGAACAAAATAAACAATAGGAAAAACTATTTTATGGCAAGTATCAAATTTGAGCATTTACCTCATCCACTCCATTTGTGTCCATAATGTCCAAATATCCTTTGATAAGAGAGTTGAAAACTACTAGATTTGGATGCACTCCGAGATCCTTCATTCTGTATAGAAACCTCAAGGCATCCACCATATTCCCTTCTTTACAATAGCCACTTATTATGATACCACAGGTACGTTCATTAGGTGACACTTTGTTATACTGCATTTTCAATATCAACCTTTCAGCACTCTTTGTCTCTCCACTCTGAGCATAAGCCCTTGCCAGAGTGTTGTAAGTCACAACATCAGGCTGCAGGCCAGAAGCCACCATCTTGTGCACAACATTCCATGCCTCTTCTAGTTTCTTCTTGGTACACCAGGCTTGGATGAGAATATTATATGTTCTATCATTGGGTTTCACATTTTCATCTAGTGTCATCATTTCTAGCAATTTCATACATTCTTCAGGCCTTCCAGCAACTCCAAATCCTTTAATGAGAGTGTTAAAAGTACTTGTTGTAGGTTTACATCCATACTGCTTCATTTTTTGAAAGACTTCCATTGCTTTATCTACATTGCCAGAATCAGAAAAGGCATTCATCAAGGCATTAAAAAGTATTGAGTCTGGCTTCAAGCCATTCTCTTCGACTTTAGAAAGAAGAGAAGGAATGGACTTGAATCTCTTCAGGCGGGTCAGAGCAGCTACAAGAGTAGTGTATGTTATAAGAGTCGGCCTATGTCCTTCCTCTATTAAGCCATTAAAGATGGCCTGGGCTTCGTGCGGCTTGCCTCTCCCAATCAAAGCATTCATCAGTTTTGTTCTAGAATGAACCGTTTGACAACTGTTGTTGCCCATGCAGATGAGACAACGAGATTCTTTACATGGCTCTTCTGGAGTAGAGCTTAATTTTGTTTGACTGTACTGCTTCATTCCCTGTTTCAAAATTACCACAAGTTCCATATCACGTTTCCTTGTACATAAATTGAACCTTATAAAGCTTACCCACTAATTATTTTTGCAAAAAAAGTAATTATCCTGGTCACTTGATCAATCATCAAATATTGCTCAGGTCCCAACTTAGAGGGTTGACTTGTCCCCCCCCCCTCCCCCAATTTATTGTCATATGCGTATTACTGATAGTTTGGACCCGTCAATAACTGGAGACAGAATAAAATTTCAAGTTCCAGATGTATTTCAAGGGTTTAAGTATTGGATCCTGCAAATTTATCATGGTTGTCGTTATCTAGATCCTTCCTTGTCTGGGGACAGAAAAGTGTTTCCAAGATCCAGTGTTTACTCGAGTTGTTGTAATAGACCTTTCAAGATATCAGAAAAATAATAAATGACAAGGTATTGACAATCTCAACAACCACTAATCATGTCCCTGTCATAATAATAACCATTGAAGTCATCTCAAAGATCCCAAAAGAGTACAATTCATATTTTATTATTTTTATCAGGCTTCTGGCCACCTGGTATAGACTTCAATTAAATGGAAATCATAGCAAGACACTCATTCAGATAATTATAATAAGTTAATCTAGTCCTGTTATTCCCTACCCATCAGTTTCAAATACTACACATTCTAGTAATAGACCATGTATCCATGCAATATTACTAAACAAAAATCTAAGAGACATTGCCCATCAGTGATTGGATTCTATCTTGCAAGTCAGATACAATTCATATGAATCAATGATGAAACAGTTTGCATGACATGACAGTTCATTCAATTGAGTATGGCCTTTCACCATAATGGTTGAGTTGACATAAATCAATTCTTATGGTCCAGGAATACAAGAATTTTTCTTTGTATCTTGCATGTTGAACAACCACTATCTGATGCTACTGAAATCACATAGTGCAAGAATGAATAAGAATTTCTTTCCCTGCTAGTTCTTGCTGACATGTAATGAATATAAGAATATAGGGCTCTTAATGCTTAACATCCTGGGGCTGATTATAACTCATTGAACTAATAGTCAGGCAATAGCACAGTCAAGAGATGAATAACTAAGATAACATGAGAAAATGTTGAAGCTTATGTTACCATGACTGGTATAACTCCGTTATTGCTCATGAGAGCTCCCTTCTGGCTGCCATCCATGATAGATAGTGAATAGACTTGATCAGATTTTCCCAGCTGTTCTCCACGTGCTTCTCAAAACCTCAATGAAGCACCTTGCTACCCGGGCTAAAATTGACCAGGCCCTATTCGATTTCTACTCCTATTCCATCATCATAAAAGGATTTATCCTACGAAGATTATAGCAAAAAAATCAATCAGAGAAGTTTGCCACTAAGTTGTGAGGTTGAAAAGATAGACAAGTGAGCAAGTATTTCTGGCTTAATGTTTTAAAATTATAAAGAAAAAGCAAGTTCTCAAAGTGAACCACTGATTCATCAAAAGGAACAGGGAAAACAAACAGCCCGGCAAACGAAACCAGAAATTAATAAAATATTAATGAAGCATTGAAAACCAGAGGCAGAGAACTCTGGTGAAGGCACAAAGATAAAATTCACTTCTCGTAATTGATCACATTAACCTGCAACATTTCCCAATCCTCTCAACTCAGGAAAAAAATCCCAGCAAATAGTCAAGCCAAACTGAAAATGGGATCAAATCCACTTCACAAATGGATTTCGAAGCTTGATCCCTCTTCGAGAAACAAAAATGAGTCGCATATTCAAGGATCAGAAACAAAATAATACTTCGAAACTCATATACTGTGTCGTGGAAAAGTCCAATACTAGTAAGTAAAAAAAGAAAGGACACAAGTTGAGGGGAAAGTAAGTACCTCAGAGTTGAGGAGGAGGGAGGGGGAGGGGAGGGAAGAGCATAGTGAGAAGAAGACATGGTGCATGCAAATTGTAAACAAATCGCGGAGGGGCCGTGGGATTCGTGTGTGCGGCATCCGCTGGAGATTCTTATCCACAAATATTTATCACCATGAGATTTCGAAGCGCTTTTTTGAGACCATTGCCAGAAAAGTACAAATGCGTCAGCAGATTTTCCATGGGTTTGCTTTTGCCACGCCAGCCTCCTATTGCCAACTCCTATTTTACCACGTATTTGTATTTCTCTCCTTTTTCTTTTTCATTATTTTTTCGTGTAGACTGAGAGTTGCCTCACGTTAAATCGAAAAACTCAGTGACGTTGATCATGTTATTAAATCCCATCAACTCATCAAGTTTGTGAAGAATGTTTTCGATCAGATGTTGTCTAAAAATATAGTTAGCATATGAAAAATAATTAAATCCAAATGATTCACTATAAATCTAATAATCCAATTTTCTTTTTTGATACACTAATAATCCAAATTTTTAATTGAGGCAAAATGAATGGAAATTACAACAGAGGAAACCTATAAAAGGAGAAAACTTACTACATGAATTCAATTTTTTAATTAAAGCATTCTTATTCTAATTTGATTGAAAAGTATATTAAGCTATTAACTTTACAAGTTTAACATAGATTTTTTCTTAATTATAATTGTACAAGAGCAAATACGCTTTTTGCTTGACATGTAAAAATACAACTTTTTATTAAAAAAATTATTTTATATTAATAGTGATAACAATATATTTTTTATGGTTAACAGTGATTGGTGGTTATAATTCCATCGTTTCTAGATGTAGAAACTAGATAAGTAATTTACATAGATTAAAAAAATTAGTTAAGTTAGTTTTTTCTTTTATAAATTTTTTGTTGTTGTTTATTTAAGATTGTAACAATTTAAATTTCTTAATCTTGTAATTAGCTGTTAATTGAGGGTAAAGTCATAGGTAGTGTAGGATTAAAAATTTGGATGATTACTTGATGATTTGACTCATTAGAATGTTATATGAATATATACAGGTGGAAGGAGTGCGTTTTGGGTTAAAGCAAGTGCACATAGTGAAAATAAATTTCACTGTGCCACGTGCCGCGACTTGTGCTACATGCGCTGCGACGCATAGACCAGAAAATGACTTCTTAAGTCGTGAAATTTTAAAAATTTCAAATGAGAGAAATTGAGAGCACATGAGAGAGGGAGAGAAGAAGGGTTGAAGAGTTAGGGCAAGCCATTTCAGGTTATTAGAAGGTGCTTTTAATCAATAACTTAACAAGTAAGTTACGTATAACTCTTACCTTCCATTCTACACAAATTTATCTGAAAATGAGTTATAGAGAAATTGAATCGATGAAATTTGAGAAGTTTGATTTTAACTCAATAGTAATAAAAAAGTTCTTGAAAGTTAAATTAGAGTTTTGCAATTGATTTAAAACTGAACGATATAGCTTTAACTTGTAGGCTCAATTTGGCCATAGGTTAAAGAGAGAAAGGGGTGAGAATCTAATCTAAGTGAAATAAGACCGATTGAAATGATGTAAAGTAGTAATCGAGTAGTCATAGACTTTGAATGGATAAATGAAAAAGAGTTTAATGATGAATATAGCTATAAATAATAAATGTGAGTTTTTGGTCAAAATAGACCAAATGACTAAAATGTGTTCAGATCAGCATATTGGATGTGTGAGTTGAGAAAGGAAGCTCGTGATAAACTATTGTGGTAGTTGAAATTCATGAATAATCTTTTTAATAATAGAAGAGTTAAGGTAATCGAATAGCTTCTTTTGTTTGACTTTTTATTGTAACTGTGTGTGAGTATGCTATATAGTGCATGAAATTATTTTGAACTGAGCATGTTTTGTGACATTGAATGTTTATTGCATAAAAAGAACTTTTGGTTAAACAAATGATGAAATCTGCATAGTTTGATATAAAATGTGTATATCTACACATATGAGAAAAGTGGTGATGAGAAACCTTAAATGGTTTGGAAAGCATGATCATAAAGGTGGGAGATCACTTGAGTGGAGAGGTAGTGATAAAACTATATGGCCAATGGCAAACGCAAGGCCTTGAGTTAGTGGGGGCATAAATTATATAAAATGTAAAAATAATTAAAAAATTTAATATATAAAATAAATATTTACATATCTTACAAGTTTTCTCTATGTGACTTCATGTTTTGAAATTGTTGTATAATCAACTCATTGTCAATGCTATTAAACCATAGGTTTCCCATTCGATTATGTAACTGATTTTTCACAAACTTAGCAAAAAAGGCTCTTTCTACAGTTACTGTGGCAACTTGCAATATCATTGCTAGTTTTAATCAACTTCTCACACTTAACCTCACATTTTCATGCCATTTACTCTGTCTCTCATCTCAGACTCTGTTTTCTAGCAAAGAGTCTCTCTATCTTCCCGTCTTTTGGTCTTCTTTTAGTTTTTGTATGTTTTAAAATATAAAATTTCATTTTTATTAAGGTTATTTATTATTTAGTTTGACTTTAGATTTGTAAAATATTAAAAATAAAAATAAAAATTATATTATTATAAAAGTAATCTAAATTCAAATATAATAAATTTAAAATTAAAATCTATTAGGCTTAAGTGAAATATAAATGACCTAAATATTTTTGAACTAAAATACATTTTAGTTTAAGTTTAATGGATTCAAAATCATAAGGACAATGGGGGTAAATTTTTAAAACTCATACCTCTCTTTGTAATTTTTTCAACTTGAGGGAGGGCAGTTGCCCCCCTCAACAATATGTAGGTCCACTACTATATATGATATATTCTCCTTAGTATTTAACGAGGTGTGATGTTAGAGAATTATACCTCCTTAGTGTCTCTTAAGATGTGGTGTTAGAAAAGATATCCTTAGTGCCTATTAAGGTGCAGTGTTAGAGATATGAGACTCCTTAATGTATGTGTGATACGGTGTTGGAGTCAACAACACTCCATTGTATGTATTGGAGGAAACCATAGTCTGAAAGTGAGATATAACACTTTTGGCTGAGTAATTCTACCACTAACAGTAAGCTCAGAGCTTATGAGAGTGTACATTAGTCTAAGGTGTGCCTATAGTTTCATGTCAGGGTGATTTGGAGTTTCGATTGATAATGATTATGTTATGAAATGTTATGTAATGTTTGTGTTAGTAAAGTGGTGAAATGTGGTGTAAAGAAGTGAAATGCAAAACATTAATGTTATTTAAGTGAAACTTGTGATATATGCTATGTTAATGAGATTTAAAGGATACATTATGCTTATTTTTATATAGTTGCATGTGATAGTCAATATGAGTAAGTTATTCTATTATTAAGATTTTTATCTCACCCCGTGTTTACATTTTTCCAGGACCGAGTAGTGATTAGTGCAAGAGTAGAGAGTTTAGATCAACTTGAGTCATTGAAGCCATGTAAACTCTGAGATTGTGTAATGAACCAAGAACTTGTATATATATGTATATATGAGTTGCCATAGGGTTGCATGCATGTCTAAAGCAACGATTTTGTAGAATCTTAGCCCATTCATGTATTTTCATGATGAAGTGAATTAGGGGCTATGATTTGAGCATGTTTGTGTTGAACTTGTGATTAATGTTAGTGAATTTTAAGCCTAAGTGTGAAATTATGATGAAATAAGTAATTTGAGGTTAAGATTGTATTGTGAATATATTAAGGATGTGCATGTATGGGATTATATTGAGTAAAAGGCCAAGTGGGCCAAGTTGTGCCAAGTGTTGGTAAATTATGAAAGTTTGTGAAGTGTGAAAATTGACCATTGAGGGGTTAAATTTTAATATATGTGTATAATTATGATATGGTATGGTCAATCAGGTGTTTTAGATCCTTTTAGACTTGATTCAAGGCCTCGTGTGGTATAATGAGAGAAAGGGATCAATTTAAACGCTTAGGTGTGCAAAATTTTTAGAAAAAGTGACATTTTACACCCTGAGTGTTTAAATTTTGATCGGACTGTTAGATTATGTCTAAACATATCTCATTAGCTAGCTTATGAGATAAGTTTCGTGTGGACGCTTGAATCACTCCAATTGAACATTGTATGTAAAAACGACGCACGCTGAAAGTTTATCATTTTGCTATTAAAATGATAGCAAAAATTTGGATAGGCCTATCGCGGCACATGTCACAGAGGGTTTAGATGCATGGCTCTGTGCCACATGCCGCGGCACACATATTGCATGTTATGGTGCATAGCCTATAATTTCACCTGATTTTATAGTTCTTATGGCATGTAATGAGTGATGTGAATGCATATAAATGGCTTCCTCTGTGTGTTACTCAAATGTATTATGATTTTGATGATTTTTGAAAAATAAGTTTTTGGCTAAAGCTTTTCAAATAAATTCTATGGTTATTAAATTGGTGTGTTTGAGTAGTGATTTTTCTAATTTTCTCCTGTATCTAGTGAATATAAAGGATGGTTACAAAGATTATCATCATTGATTGCACATTTGCACACATTAGAATCAAAGTAACAAAGATGATTTTTAAAAAATAATAAATATGAGATAGAAAAAATTAAAATCTAAATCAAACCAAATTGTTTGACTAGCTCTTCTATTTAATCCAAGAGCTTGTACGGACACATAACAGAACAGAAGTAGTAGCTCATAGACAAGGCCACACATCCGCATGTGTGTATGGGCGGAATTGGCCAATCTACCTCTTGGGCTGGAATTTGTGTTTCGCTCCCTACACGCAAAATTCCATTCTTATAAGTTAGAACTCATTAGAGTTGGAGTTAGAAGAATATATTAGTATCTTTCAATGTAACATTTGAAGTTTTAACGAAAGAGATATCTGTATTTTATATTTAATATTATTTTGAATATGATTGTCTTTAAAAAAATATCGTTGAATAAATAAATAAAAAAAACTCCATCCCTTAGTGCAGATTATCTAGAAGTTGTCTTGCTTACAAGATATATAAAATGTGCAATATAGAAAATGTCTAGCTAATTTTAATAAAAAGAATTATATACAAGGACTTTTTAAAAGAATTATTCGTAAATAAAGATCGATAATAAATCACCATTATAAAAAAATGTTTTTGTTCTCTTATAATGTCCTCGGACCAATTCTTTATTTGAATATGAAACTAAATTCACATAAAAATATTTCCATTCATATATCATAATTAATTTATAAACTTGACAATAGTTATGGGAGATTTGAAATTCAGTATAAATATGATAATAGTTAGGAGGTGTCTATTTTTTGCTTTAAACCTAAAAGAAATTAATCTGGTAGAGGATATTTCTTATGCAGACAAAGTAAAGTAAAATAAAATAATTCAAATACAATAAAACAAAATTTGATTATGGAAGAATTACAAACACATCCTGAACAAGGAGTTAATTATTTTCTCAATTTTATTTATAATTTTAATTTTTTATTTACATGTAAGTAAGACATGGAAATAATTAATTTTCTCATTCTCAATTAATCTCAGGGTCTATGTTGGCGAGTAGTTAGCTCTAATCTAATTGGTTATTATTTCGTACATTTTCACATCTCCACGCCAACGAGCCTGCAGCCGGGGATGGCAAAACCATCTTCTCACGGAATGTCACTCAGAACTAAGTAAATTGCGTCGGGCTTTCCGAAACCTGTGTTCTTGCCCGTGTTATCCCTACTTGAGCTTCTTCTCTGCAACGTAGTGCGGTTTTCGTTCTTCGTCAAACCGATTAAATGATGGTGAAGCTATGGAATTGGTACACCAACTGTCTCTCTGTTCATCCCGTCAAGACCCAGGTTATTAGCTCTGGCGTCCTTTGGGCTGTGGGCGATATTACTGCTCAATACATCACTCACGCTGCAACAAAGAAGCGTCTTCACCTCTCTGTAAGGAACACCAACTCAATCTAAGCGTCTCACTTCGACTCCTTTACACACACACACACACCTTTTTTTTTTCCCACCACTTTGACTCATTTAGATGCCCAATTGCCCATTCCTTTGCACAATACTGGGTATTAGAGTATATATATTCCGATGGGTTGAACAAAAGAAATCAATTACCAAGGTCATTTGGTGCATGTTCGTGTATTTACATTGCTTTATGTGAATTTGCTTTTGAAGATAGGAGATGTGGGTATACATTTGGATTGCCAATTTTTTCTGCTGTGTCTTATGTAATTGGAGAAAAGTTAGAGAAATTATTTGTGATGGGGACGTATCTAATAAATTTAATGAGAAGTTTTACTGAATTGCTATTAGACTAGTTATGTTATATGATAGTAGATGTTGGCCTTTAAAAAGGTTAGCATGAGTATAAAATTGGGCTAGTAGAGATGAGAATGTTGAGATGGGTGTGGTATACAGGAAAATATAAAATTTGAAATGAGCGTAGACAAGAAAGTGATCGTGGCATCTATTGAGTGGAATATGGTAGAAAATTATTTCAGATGATATGAACATGTATAGAGAAGGCTGTGGAAGGCACCGGTAAGAAGAGTAGAACAGATAATAAGCCCTGTAAAGAGCGGTAGTAGGAGACCAAAAAGAACACTTGTGAAAGTTGTTGAATGAGACCTCTTAGTTAACAATATTCCTAAAGCTGGATTGGTGATAGAGCACAATAAGATTGAGCAATCCATTTAACCGACCTTATCTAGTGGGATAAAACTTGTTGTCATTATTGTTGTGGTCATCTTGTGCAACTGGATGTAATCTATCAGCTTACTACTCAGAAGTCAAAATGATGGATGCGGTGAATGTTATTAATGGTTCACTTACTGAAGGCACGTTAGTGCAATCATGACTACTAGACGGTTCGAGAATTGTTAATTAGTTATTTATATAGTAGTAATTGCTTGGGTGGAAACTATATCATGAAAACCTATTATTGTTGATTTCTCTCACATTTGTGTGAAGTTACGGCAAAGGAAATAGATTCTTTAGGTTAAGATGGTATAGTTATAATTCCTTCCAACTCTGATTAACTTGGATTTTACTATTGATAAAGTTCCTCATCAATCTTTAATTATCTGTGATGTGGTAGGATGCAGATGCTAAATTTATGATCGACTGGACGCGTGTAGCTGTCACAAGTGGATTTGGTCTCGGTTTTGTGGGGCCAGTTGGCCACTTCTGGTATCTGTTTCCCATGTTATTTCTTTAGTTTTTTTGCAATGTGGTATGTTTAATAGTTTTTTTTGTTAAATAAATCATGTCCAAATAACACCAAGGGAATTTAGTTTAGTAGTGTTCACTGTGTATGGCTGAGGTTGTGTTTTGTTTCCTCCGTTCGTTGGATCATCTTAAAAGGTAGGATTCATATCATAGATTTCCTGACCCAAAAAAAATTATCAAGCATAGATTTCAGTTCGTCCCCAACAGAGTCTTCATATTTCCCGTCAAGACTTGTTATGTAGATAACTTACCGTATAGTAGATGGCTAAATGGAGAGAATAAATTTTGAACCACAAGGACGTGATTTATGAGTAAATTTCTGCTTTTTATACCCTTCTAACTGATGTAGCAAAGTACACATAATGCACCCGAGTCCTGTCAATATTATCAAAGTTTGAAGATTTTGATCATGTAGAAAGTGAGAATTAGGTCCCTTGTAAAATCACGCTTTTTGGTTAATCTTTGGTTTATTGATTAAATTTGCTTCTGCTTCCAAAATTTATTGTTTTGGGAATTTACTATGCAACGATATGACATTCATTTTACTGGAAAAATAATTAAGAGATGCTCCTGCCAAAAGTCGTAATTCCTTAGCTTAACCTTGAGTTGAAATATTCGAGTGAGAACTGAAGACAATGCCAAAGAATTCGTGCTAACATTAAACTGATCCTGATGCTTGCAGGTATGAAGGAATGGACAAGTTTATAAGGACGAAGCTTCAACTGCAGCCAAAGTCTTTGCGATTTGTAACTTCTAAAGTGGCAATGGATGGCCTCATATTTGGCCCCATCCATTTATTTGTCTTCTTTACGTATATGGGATTGTCGGCGGGCAAGACTATTCCACAGGTGAAGGAAGACTTGAAGAGGAATTTCGTCCCAGCATTCCTTCTAGAAGGTGGCGTGTGGCCTATTGTCCAAGTTGTGAATTTTCGGTACATCCCTGTGAAGTACCAGCTTCTCTATGTAAACCTGTTCTGCTTGCTGGACAGTGCTTTCTTGTCATGGTTGGAGCAACAGAAGGATGCACCTTGGAAGCAGCGGTTTATGTCATTTGTCCTTTTGAAGGAGAAAGGAGACAAACATGGTTAAGGAGAATTATATCTCAACAATAGTATTTCCCATTCCTTCAATCATTCAGGCACCCTTTATAACAAAGTCACCTTTTCCCTGCTAGAAAGAGGATCTGGAACATTAGCTTTTATACTTGTAGAACGCTTTTGGATATTCTGATGCATGGGAGCAAGTCATCGTTTCGGTTTTATTTTTGGAAGGCATCATCAATTAATTTTACTTGCAAGCCATGCGGAATATGACAGCACAAATTCTCAGTTTTTCAGTCTTATTTGGTTTTATATCCCTCTCCCGCCTTTGATCTCACCTACAAACAATGAAGTCTGATTCCTGAAGGACTCATGTCTAAACAGACTAACGCAATTTACAAAGGTCAAGAAACTCTTCATTTCAATTTTCAAACGAGGCAGCATCAGATTTCTCATTTTATACAGCTTAATAATCTATTTGATGGCGGTAGGCAGATAACATTAATGTTTCTTCGTGCAACAAAAGTGGGACTAGTCCCAGGTAAAAATATCGGACTCTCTCATGGGTACCACAGAATGCGTGTCCATGCTGTCACAAGTCTCAATCTGACCTGTCATGCTGGTTGAATAGATTTGCTACAATTTGAGGATCAGCTTTTGACCTGTGTGAATTTTACCATGGAATAAAGCTTAATTGCTGCAATAGCACTGAAATTCCAATCTGCACCAATCACACAACCTGCTAGCTAAGTTCCAGGATCTTCTCGTCAGCATTGCTTCCCGTAAATCAGTCAATTCTTACCAAGTCCATAGGAGGCGAACTGTAAATCTTTAGGCCAAGGAGATTACAGCATGCTCAGCTGCTTTTACAATTTCTCCGCCCCGTCATTTAATATACCTGAGATACTTCCATAGCCATCACCTCAAGATCCTCCTTCCCTCTGACTAGAGATTCTCGGGAGTCTTTCCTGTGGAAGCTTGCTTGGTAAGAAGCAGATTATAGCTTTTCGACCTCCACAACATAAATACTGTTCCATCTCCAATTCTCCATCATGTCCGTTTTGATTGCCTGGTCGACCTGGAAGTTGCTGAGATTCAGGCGGTCTGGAGCAATTTCTCTCATTTCAGATTGAGAAATCTCCAGAGAAGTGGCTCTCAATTTGAAGAACAGTTAAATATAGAAGGGAAACAGCAGGAGCAGTTGTACTATATGAATGAGCTATGACCTCCCCCGAGGGGTATTTTTGGCTTGAACTCTGCTTGTACAATCAAGCGTGGACAATGGCTGAACTCGACAGTCTGAAAAGAAATTTGCACAACATTAGGTACCAAAGAAGTGCCAACCATAAAGCAAAGATTATATGGGGGCGAATTTAGATCTTCAAAAGCATAAGTTTTAGATTAATCAAAACACGCCACAAAGATTTGAGCCTATATTGAAGAAACTTTGGAAGTAAACAGTATTCACGGCAGGTTGTAACTTATTCCTCTCTTGACTGAATTCAGACGAAAAGGTTATATCAAAACAAAGAAAAACAAGTAAACTAGTCGCCATAATAGTAAAAAGTTAAACTTACAGGAATGCTTAGTAATTGTCCATGCAGATTGACCAGGACAGGCAGGCTTCTTCTTGCAGCAACTGGGATAGACTTTAATAACAGGAGAGCTTTCTGTGCGGATACACAGGCATAATGGAAACATAGAGTTTTCTTCTCCATCATTTGTTCTATTTCCCTAGATTTTATAGCCCCTTGTTGCTCGAAATTATTGGGAGGGGGGTACTTCGACAACTTCCCAAGATACAGCCAATCAGATTCGATCATGGTACGCATTTCAAGCCTAGTGTTATGATTGACAATGAAAGACATGCAAGAACAGTTCCAGCTTTCGCCAACCAAATCCATGCCACATGTAAATAAATCAGACAATGCACCCCCGGCAATGTTTTCTTTCATTCCCCATGTAATAACAAATCTATTCATGAAGTAACATATCTGCCCTGGCTTGAATGTAGAAACAATATCAGCTTCATGCTTTGGTTCAGAGTTAGTTTTGTCCTCAGCTTTAGACTTGAAGCGATCAGTCTCTTCCCTCTGCAATTCGATGATATTCATGTATGTTGACTCAGAGATAATATTTAGTCGTTTTGCTTTAGTCAGAACTAACTCAGGAGTCACATCCATAAAATGAACATCTGAGGCATCTAGAACTAATTGACTTGCATATGATTTTCCATGTTCTATAATTTTCTCCACCTCATTCAAAACATGACATTGCAGTTTTTGATCAGAGAATGACTCAAAAACTTCCATCTTTAAAGGCAGAGGACCGTCAACTGAACAGCAAACCAAGACTCTGGACCCTCTAGAACCAGGATCTGGGCAGAGGTAACAACCAGCCGCTGTGAGAGAATTCTACGGGACAATTTTCAAAGTAGTAGTCAGGGGAGAGACAATCAATAAAATTTAATAACCAAATACAAAAAGAAGCTAAAACAACGAACACATCAGAATGATAAAATGACATCAGTATCTATCAAAATATATTTGACATCATTGAATGACTTTGTGTAGGATGAATTTCTTATAAAATTCACTGTTGGATAAAAAATTAAATTCATAAATAATATACATAAATTTTTACGTCAATTTAGCTTTATTTTATACTCCATCAATATATTAAAAATTCAATGCACGGTATATTTTTGTAACAACATGATTACATGCTTCTAGTTAGCTAATTTTTTTAAAATTTGGCATATAAGATTAACAAGAAAACTACTTCTAATTCAAAAGTTAGATCAATGAAATTCCCTCCCTATAATGAAATATTGAGATGTCTCTGTGTGTCCCAACAGACAAGTGGACTATGAATAAACAAACTGGTCAGAACTTCCACATGATGACAACAGATTTACCTTGCATGGGAAAGTACGAATATAGTCCAACAGCAATTTTAAAGCACTACCTCTGATTGGCCTTTGCCTTTGCGATATGAACTGAAAAAGACAAGAGCACTGTTACAACAGTGTCCACAGACTAATCAGGTTTAAAGACAGTTAGCAATCTGAAGTACCTGCAAAACCAAGGATATAAACTTTGACAGGCATATATCCACGATTTTTGAGGGATTAAGAATCTTTAAATCAACAATAGCATACCCATGCTGCCAGAAAAACCAACCCCCAACAACAGTCACAAAGTAAATACTGGAAAATCATTATTTAAGCAAGGGGATACATTATATATGGACCATCTCCAACATATCATCAGAAAAACAGTACGATAATTGTCTTCAGATATTAACTATAAATGGATAAAAAGGATCAAAGGCTTACCTCCCTGATGACCACAGCTTCATTTATCAAGCTATAACAAAATTGATTGACATATAACCGTGTCATTCGACATGCAGAAATGACTGCTTTTAGCTCAGACTTGAAAGTGGCTGGAAATGTAAAAATAATATCCTAAGAAGTTCAGAGAACATCATTGCAAAATTTAAAAAGAAGTCATAGAGATACCATCTGATCTTGAAGTAACTAATATATGCAAAAAAAAAAAAAAATCCTAAAACTAGAAAAATCTTTTACTCTGAGTTTATCAGTTGTCTTGATTTCAAAATGGAATAAAATCTACCTGTTTTTATGCGCTGTGATAGGTCAATCAATCATGGATCAAGAAAAACTAGACAAGTTTCCTCATTTATTGTATAGAGCTTGAGGTAAACTGTACTGTTCATAGTTTATGAACATGACTTGCTATAGATTTTACAATTTTATAGCAATGGTTTAACTTTTCTAATTTTCGCTTTTCTCCCTTGAACATTTCCAATAAAAGTTCTGTTCTTCTACCCTTCAATACAGACACTGAGACACAGTTTTCTGTAATTACAAAAGCTCTGCATAGGACAAGAATCTAAGCATGTCAGATGAATGACAAAAAGTGATTTTAACCCAAAAGAAATGCTGCTCAGAAGAATTTAAAAAATTGTTAAGAAAATAAAAAAGTACATCACTGAGTAGCATCACTCATCACAACTTACATGATGACAAATTATTCAAAGACATCCGTATCCTATTACGTGCAAATAATGGACTCTGATTTGTTGGGTCTTCCACCCAGTCCTTGCAACCCCCAAGACATATCTGTAAAGTTAATGCAATGACTAATTCACATCATTGAAAATACATTCAGATGTAAGGAAGGAAAAATAAATTCTTACAATGCATAAACATATAATATGTCATACCAACCTTGTACATATCTTCTTTTGAAAACTCTAGGAGAGGCCGCACAAGAAGGATACCATAATTCAATGGAACTTCATTGTACGAATGAATGTGTGTGGAGAAAATTTGGGAGGTAAAAGGCATGCCTGCAAGTCCAAGCACACCACTATTTCGAGAAAGCCTGAGGATAAATAACTCAGCCTGCATTGTGCCTCAGCAATCACTACATGTCTAATATGCGTAAAAAGCCTTTAACGTTACAACTAACTTGACAACGAAGTACTGCATTCAACATTAGAAATCAAATTATTTTATAAAATTTGAACTTTGAACGCATTTAAAAAAACCTGCACCCAAAAGGAACCAGACAGCTTATGTTCAAGATCTCCTATAAGAACCAAAAGCGTCAGAATGTCCTAAATAGAATTAGAGAACGCAGAAAGGTATAACTGGGATGCAGAAACAAATAGTATTGCCAACCAAACCTGATCATCAGCATGATGTGCAATAAGCAATACACCAATCTGGTGCTGAGCACACACTTTTTGAAGCATTTGATACCTACGGTTCAAATTAAAAACGAAATAATAACTTCAATCAGCATATGTTGTCAAAATCCATGTGTAAACTTAAAAAAAAAAAAATTCTCTTTCTAAATTTAAGATATAGTAACCTTATTTCACGAGCAGCTTCTTGCAAATGACCCAGTTTTGGTCTGCCATTTGACCAATCACAGTGGGCAATCTCACATCTGATTCCTATTAAAAAATTTGTGTTGGCAATGAGAATAGCTGAAAAATGGTTAAGAAATGAACTCATATTACTAAATTACAAATATAGCACCCATATATGGATGTACCCATTTCAGAAATCCGATGACTGACAACGTTGGCCTCATGTTTGCTCTCTGCTCGCAACCCATGATCAACAATTATTGCTAGTAGCCCATCAATAAGACCACCATTATCGGCCTTAAGACCGGCAGTTTTCCACCACGCAGTTAATACACAGAGTGCCATACTGTCAGGGCCACCGGAGACTCCTAAAGCTGATAGAAAAATGGGCATGGAAGCATCAAGCGATTATCATGCAGGGAAGCAGCATGTTATTGGCATCATAGGCAAAGAGAAATACGGAAAACAGTTCGTTCTCTTCGTAAAGTAATGCTTGAAAATAATTATAACCATTTCAATTCACCCAGAGCAACATACAAAATATAAAATATACATAATTAAAAATATACGTCTCTTAATTACCAGAATTTTTTTAACAAAGCAGGTAAAAGATTTAACTTTGCTGCAGGTTCCAAGGAACCATGAAGAATGTGGTGTTGGGAAATGATGGAGTCAAAATAACTAACCAATTCGATGATGAGGTTGAAGCCCCGCCATGGCCATTCGCCGCGAGAATGCTTCTCTGTACTCAGGAATGTCGATTGGGTATTGGGAAGCAGAAGAGTAGCAGGAGTAGCGAGCTGGAGCAACATAGCGAGGTTGCTGGTGAAAGTGATGCCACAGGGGGAAGCCGAGGAAAGGTTTGCTTTTTTGGTGGGCCTCTTTAGAGAGAGACGATAATAGAATATTCATAGCGTCTGGTCTGCTCTGGGAAGATAGGAGGAATCCCCGCGCCATAATCTCTTCGTTGCTCGGAACACGGAGCTGTCAAGGTCTGTAAACTTCAAAAACATGAACTCTGAGACAAGTTGAATTCCAGGCTTATACCCTCGCTAATATTATTTTAATAAATAAGTATAGAATAAATTTTTATGGCCTAAACAAAAGATTACTAAAACCAGAGTTATTTCCCGGTATGTTTTAATATTTCAAATGTAAAAATAAAATAGAATTATGAAAATACAAAAAGTAATGATAACGCAATAAAATAATATAACGAAATGAGATAATTATTTAAAGTCAGCTTGGACTTATCTAATCTATTTTTTTTTTTTGTTAAATTATGTTTCAGAGTCAACAAAATAATAAAGAGAGCATAGTTTGTTAAAATCCAAACTGTTAATAATGAATGTAAAGTTACTAATATAAGAACATACTTATTAATTTAATCATATAATAATAAGTACGCTCCCTTCTTTGATAACTTTAGTTTAATGATTAATAATTCTAATTTACGTATTAAATGTTCAAAACTTTAATTTAATTATATAATAATAACTACATTTTTTATATTAATAATATTACATTTACTATTAATAAGTTAAAATATATCTTTAATTTTTTAATTTTATACAAAATTTTATTTTGATCATTAATTTTATTAAATATATTTTTAACTTTTTAACTCTAATATTATTAATTTTATCTCAAAAATATTTTACATTCAAATTTTAAATATTAATAAATTATGTTTAAATATTAAAATATTAAATTTAAATTTTTAAAATAATAATGATAAGCACAAAAAAAAAATCAATTAAAAGTATGCGGTTTGGGCAAAAGATTTTATAAAATTAAAGAATAAAATTAAAATTTTATATAAAATTAAAATCATTAATAACTTTATTTTAACTCTTAACAACTACATTTTTTATTTATTTGCAGTGTTTTTATCATTTTCAAATCAGGTTAAAAAATATAATTTAATTAAAAATATCATATCAAATCAGGTTCTAAGAATTTCAATGTTTAGAGTAATTACTTGTAGTGTTTTTTATCATTTTCATTTAAATAAGATTTATTTGTTATTTTTTGTGTATAAAAATATATAAAAATAAATAATTTTTATATTTAAACACTTCTCAAAATTTTCCCTTTAACCCTATAAAATATAACAAAAAGCGGAGCTGAGGATTGTTGTTTCCGAATGACCTTCAGACAAATCGTTGCTGACAACAACAGAAGACAATGTGAAACCTTCACAGATTGAACTTGACACTGAATAAAAGCCGAGCGAAGCGTCTTCAGTCTTCGTCCCAGATGTGGGAACGCAGCTTTCCCGCCAAATCGACGATCTTCCGTTGTCTTCCCTGACACCGCCATGGGCGCCCATCGCACCTCCATCTCTTCTCTCTGGCTCCTCATTGTAATTATCGCCGTCTGTTTCTATCATTTCCAACCCTCTACTGACTCCGCTCGATCACAAAGCCCAACCCTAACTCCCTCCAAAAGTGTTTCAAATTCCACCGTAAATGACAAGCGTCAGCCCCAAATCGCTCGGCAAAACTACATCGTGCGGTTTCTGGAATACAAGGCAGCCGAAGTGCACCGAACATACCTGCAATCGAACATTCGATCCGTAGGGTGGGAGTGGATCGAGCGGCGAAACCCAGCTGTGAAGTACCCCACTGATTTCGGATTGATTTCGATTGAGGATTCGGTGAAAGAAGGTTTGATAGAGCAGATTCGGAAGTTGGGTATGGTGAAGGATGTGAATGTGGATATGAGTTATAGAAGGGGTCTGCTTAAGGATGGCCGTGATAGAGTCGGTGCTTTTGTGGACGGAAAGAAGCGGCCCGGGAAGATATTCACAGCAATGTCTTTTAGCGAGGGACATGGTGGTCACTCTTCTAAGATTAGCAACGCTTCCGTTAATTGGGGGCGGCAACTCTTGATGCAGGTTAAAAGTTTTGTTTTTCATTTCTTCCAGGGGCTGGGGTTTTTCTTGGGGTAAATTTGTATTTTTTTTGTTCTTTCGGAAAAAATAAAGAACAAGAACTACAGAAAAAGAGACACGTACACCATTTTTTTAGCGCAATTTCTTGATTCTTGAAAGTATGCGTTCTCTGAGACATGCCTCACTCTGACAGAGATCTCAAGTTACTTCCATGTTTGGTGCCCAAGATCTTTGGGCAAAAGGATTCACTGGTGCGAAAGTGAAAATGGCCATATTTGATACTGGCATTCGTGTTAATCACCCTCATTTTCGTAACATCAAGGTAATACTTACTATTGATGACATGGAGGCCTTTATTTGGTTTAAAAGGTTTTTGGTAGACGTTAGATGAATTGATTTTGAAGGCCTTTACAGGAGCGTACAAATTGGACCAATGAAGATACACTGAACGACAACCTTGGACATGGGACTTTTGTTGCTGGTGTAATTGCTGGAGTAGATGCAGAGTGTCTTGGTTTTGCACCAGATACAGAGATTTACGCATTTCGGGTGTTCACTGATGCACAGGTAATGCACTTGGATATTATCAATATCGCAGGTTCTCTTTACTGCAAAAAAAGTGGGATTTCAGTTTATCCAAAGTATCTATTTTTGTTAGGGCCTCATCCAAAGTATCTTACTTCCATTAGTGTATATAAGTTTATCTTATCAATGGTGTAATCCTCATTTGTCATAAGTTTATTGACTAATTTTTGCTAGCTTTAAACTGGAGCATGCTGATGCGTTTGCAATTTAACAATTTATTCACCATCTTATAAAATCAAATTAAATTGCAATCTTATTTTATGATTCTTCTGCTGATATTTGATATTATAGAGTTTAGCTGGAATTTGAGAAAAATTCATTCAGCTCATCGCAGGTATCTTATACATCATGGTTCCTTGATGCCTTCAACTATGCCATTGCTACCAATATGGATGTGCTAAATTTGAGCATAGGTGGACCTGATTTTTTGGATCTCCCATTTGTTGAGAAGGTAATTTATTTTGTTCTAGTTTAATAGTTTGATAGGATTAAGGGTACCTTCGTAAATAGGTGCATGCAGATTCTGTAGAATCATAATGTTAAAGCTAGTCAGTAATGCTAAATATTTAAATAACTGGTTTAGGTTGTCCCAAAATTTTGGTCTTAAACCTGCAAATTATCTCGGGCAATGAAAACTAGATTATCAATATTTTGTGGTGAATCTAGTGAACTATTTTTACAATTTCAAATAAGAAAGCAGAGAGGTGAAAGAGCTATGAAGCATGGGCACGTAAGAAAAAAGAGTTGTGTCTATGTTTGAGATGTGATATACTCTTTCGCTAGACATGATGTGATGCTTCAAGTAAAGCTTGGAGTCCTGGACAGTTTAAATTTTGTTCTGTCTCCATATCTTAATTTGAAGTTTGTTAGAAACAAGGCAGAGAAATAGGGATGTGAAAAATAAAATTTTCGAGGATATGTTTTGAACTAGTCTTGACCTATAAATAATTCAGGGTCTATAATTGTCATTAATGTTCTTATGGGGTCCCTAATTGTCCATTTCCCTATTTCTGACAGTGTATAACAGAAGCATCCCTTAGTGTTTTTTGTTGCTAACTTGCTAACATGTTGATCAGGTTTGGGAGATAACTGCAAATAATATTATCATGGTTTCTGCAATTGGAAATGATGGTCCGCTGTATGGAACTTTGAACAATCCAGCAGATCAAAGTGATGTGATTGGTGTTGGGGGGATTGACTATAGTGACCATATAGCCTCCTTTTCCTCACGTGGCATGAGTACTTGGGAGCTCCCTCATGGGTACGATTTTCTTTCTTGTTTCTCTGACTTTTATTTCTTTGATCCTACTTCAATGAGTATCTAGTCAATGCAAGTTGAATGAGGACTGTGAGCTTTTGTTAGCAGCGTGATAATCTAAACACCATAGTGATGAAATAGAATTGCATTTGTTGCTTAAAGATTTTGTTGAGTTAAAGCAATTTATTAGTCTCCTAGTTTGGTCACTCTCCGCTTCCATTCATTTAATGTTTTGCAGCATAAAGAGTGATGAGCCTTCCATAATTGAAAGTGGCATGGTGGATATGTAACATGCACTAATTTAAAGGGGAAAATGGGGGCTGGATCAAGCAATTACCTTGAAAAGTCAACTTACTCTATATTTAAATCCCATCTGTATGTTAATATTTTGTCTTTTCCATATGTGAGGTTTATTGGTTTTTGGTCAGGATGCTTTGTGTTGGCCTCCATGTTGTACATGCATGCATGCATCTTATGATTGCATATATTTTCTTCATATTTCTATGATTCCTAAGACAATCCCATCAGTGTCATACACATAATGTTCTTCTTATTATTGTTTTTTATTCTCTTCATTTTCATGCATGTTGGATTCTTGATGATAGTAGATGTGCAAATTAATGTATTGACATGTTTACAGTTATGGTCGTGTTAAGCCAGACATAGTTGCATATGGACGGGACATAATGGGATCCAAGATTAGCACAGGCTGCAAAAGTTTGTCAGGAACTAGTGTTGCTAGTCCTGTGGTCGCTGGTGTTGTATGTTTGCTTGTTAGTGTCATCCCTGAACCAGAGCGAAAAAATATTTTAAATCCAGCAAGCATGAAGCAAGCATTGGTTGAGGGTGCTGCAAAACTTGCTGGTCCAAATATGTATGAGCAGGGTGCTGGCAGAGTTGATCTGTAAGTTCTCCATTTCAATATGCTAAGTTTGAATGAATATAAAACTTGTAGGTGCACGCAATCTGACCTGGCAATAATATCTGTCATTATTATAATTGTCTTTTGTTGACATTATGTGCATTGATTTGTTGATCTCTACTGTCAGGTTAGAGTCATATGAAATTCTCAAGAACTATGAACCCAGGGCAAGCATCTTCCCCAGTGTTCTTGACTATACTGATTGTCCTTACTCATGGCCATTCTGTCGTCAGCCCCTATATGCAGGTGCCATGCCTGTCATCTTCAATGCAACCATTTTGAATGGAATGGGTGTTATTGGCTATGTTGAAGGACCACCAATATGGCATCCATCTGATGAAGAAGGAAACCTTTTAAGCATTCATTTTAC